AGGGACAAGGCTTCCGGTGATCGATGCGCAAGATCTATATGTAAGAAAGGAATTCAAGGATCTCTACGATTTAATCACCAAACAGTTTTGCAACGCTGAGGACGATGCACGAAACCGTATTGTTGTTACAGGGACGGCTGGTATAGGGAAGTCATCCTTTCTCATATATTTTGCCATCCGACTACTTGCAACCAGTACTGAGGATGATCCACCTATTGTCATCATCCAGCGAAAAGAAGATTCAATGTGCTACGCTTTTGGTGGGTCATCTACTGTTCAAAATGGAGATATAAAGGATTTCGCCGCCTTCCTAGAGCTACCTAACACTTGGTTCCTAGTCGACAGCTCACCAAAGCCGGAGCTTATGGAGGCTCGAACTATCTTCTCAGTATCACCAAAGACGTTATTTTCCGAGTCCAACATGTATCAAGAAATTGTAAAGAGGGTGGTATGGATTTATTACATGGCACCATGGGAGCTGGATGAGTTAAGACAGTGTAGAAAAATGGTTCGGACCTTTAACATCGTCAGCGAAGAATTTATGATGGAACTCTATGAGAAGATAGGTGGTGTGCCAAGGTATGTTCTCGAGAAACCAGCGAGCCGACTGCACTTTAATAAAAAAGATCTTGATGGAGCTAGGAGGGTAGCATACAGTCGCGTAGAAGAAGCCCTCGACAACCTCAAGGATCCATTGAAGCTGTTACAATATTTTGAACAGGCCAAAGATTCACTACAATATAGCAGCCGACTTCTTCATCGTCGTCCAATAGGAGATCACCAGCAATTTGTGTTAGAGTGGGCCTCTAATCACATTCTCGAAAAGGTGTACGAAGCAGCGGACGACAATACTTTTGATATGATATTGGATCGATTAGTCAATGGCAAAGTTGGAGTAGATCTAGGAGCTATGCTCGAGATATGTATACGTCGCATACTACGGAGAGGCGACTGTACCTTCGTGGCCAAGAGTCTAGATGTAGAGAAAAAGCAAGATATCACCATCACCATCGATGCCAAGCCGACGGTTAAATTCTTCGAAGCTTTTGATGTTTACAAGGAATCGATGAAAGGAGAACTATGGATCCCAAAAAGCAAGACTTTTGCCTGCGTTGATATGCTAATAGCGCCGAATTATCTACTCCAGATTACGGTAAATGTAAAGCATGGTATCAAGAGTGAATCTTGCAAAGAACTTCTTAAAAAGCTTCAAGAAAAAAAGTGGATTCGCTCAGAGAAGGACGTTGTATTTATTTTTGTTGTTCCAAAAGCTAAGGCTGAGGAATATAAGAAACAAAAATTCAAGATTGGGGCTGGTCGGGTGGATCCTAAACCGACAAAAGAACTATCAAGTATCAAGCAATATGTCATGGGGGTAGACTTAAACGCAGAATTACAGCGAGGTAGACTTGAGGGCAGAACTAAAGCGGTATAAAATAATAATTTGAGAATAGTACATCAAACTGCTTCCATAATAATTATAATGTAGAATGACAATATATTCAATAAATAGAAGAATAGAGGCTGGAAGTAACACTGTAGTATTGGGTACCAGAATAGCCTAAGATGTCTTTGTGACTTGGTAAAAGGAATATTTCCAAGCAACTCTCGAGGCTGAACAGCTTATATTTCATCAGGTTACCAAAATCTCTGTCTGGATATTTCCTTACCATCCTGTGCTTTTACAGAGACTCTGCACACCAATTTCACCACTCTGCTGATTTTACTGCTACCACTAGATTTACCCGAGAGAAATATTTATCTGGTGGGTTGACTCGCAAATGCATTCTATAAAAGAAAATAAAATATTGGGAAGTCTACCCACCGCTATGCGCATAATACAGGGACTATATCTATCTCTAATTGACAGACCTTCTCTATCTGACTCAACTTTTTTTGCAACCTCGACTCCGACCCATGTGAACCAATGAATTCATGCCATCTCATCTTTATCCATCTCATCTCTTTTGTCATCCATCTCGAAATTTATCATGCAACGTTTTGTCACACCGCAGTACTCCCATCTCCATGTGATCAGCTACAGTCATCTTGTATTGTATTTTTGCTGAAAGAATTGCTTTTCACCATTTCTCCTCATTACTATTCCAAACAATGACTACCAAGAAGTGCACCAGTATGTACAGTCACCTGAAACAAAGATTGGACAAAAAAATAAAATATTGAAATAGTTACGTAGGGAAGCGTTTCCTTCAATCTCTTTCCTTCCTGTTTTTCACATACAAACAGCTTGAGTAAACCACCATGGCGAGACACTTAGACATTGAGAATAAAGGTATCATCGTTGGAATGCACCTCGCGGGCATGAAGGCTGCGGAAATCGCATTGCAACGCGGTGTACCCCGAACCTCTGTTATTAATATTATCAGGGTGTACCAAGAAAGAGGCACCACTGCTTGCACTCCGATCCCAGGACGGCCCAAAGTACTAAGTGAACGGGACCTCAGGAGCATCGTTCGCCATACTAAGCAGAATAGAAGGTGTACTCTTAATGATATCACTAACCAATTGCCGAACAAAGTTTGCGAGAGGACAGTTGCGAAGGCATTGCATTCACTGGGTATTTTCAGCCGGATTGCAGTAAAAAAACCATTCTTAAAAGAAGGACATATAAAAAGGAGGCTGCAGTTTGTCAAAAAATATATGAGTTGGTCCATGGAAGACTGGAATCGGGTAGTTTGGACTGACGAATCATCATTTGAAGTTGGTAAGCATTTTCGTCAAATAAGAGTTTGGCGTAAAGTAGAGGAAAAGTACGATCATGATTGCCTCGCACCCACTTTCAAAAGTGGTAGAACAACTCTGATGGTCTGGGGGGCGTTCACAGCAACCAGAAAGTCTCGGTTGGTTGTATTTGAAAGAGGTCGTAAAGATGGACGGTGTTTCGTGGAAGATGTATATCAAGGCGAGCTAGCCAGATTTATGGCTGAGGTAGGGGATGGCATACTTATGGAGGATAATGCTCCAGTTCATACTTGTAAGATTGCAAAAGAATGGCGCGAAAAAAACAGCATCCCGAGGATTCCAGACTGGCCTTCATGCTCCCCAGATTTGAACCCTATTGAACATGTATGGTCACTTCTTGCGGATGCACTCGATAGGCGCGCTAAAGGGCCAAGAGATCTTCCCACTCTCACACGGGCTCTTATCGAAGAGTGGAATAATTTACCGCAAGAGAGGCTGGCCAGCCTTGTCGCTACCATGCCCGAAAGGCTGGAAGAAGTGAATGGGGTCGATGGTAGGAACACTCACTATTGAACCTACATGGCACTTTTGCTACTCTAACAATGCCGTCTTCAAAACCCCAATAAATAACAGTATTGACCTCTTTAGTGAGCATGTAAAATTTCATGTGTATTGATGAAGTCTTTATGTATGTTGCATATGAGCTGTTTGTCCAGGTTGTTCAAAAAAAAATCAAGAAAATCCATTTTGTCCAAACTTTATTTCAGGTGACTGTACATCGCTCCTCCATTTTGCTTTGTTGATTGACAAACTACATTCTGATACTAAAGAAAAATATGACTTTTCATTACCCAGAAACAGCGCAGGAAGACCCTTCTATTGAAGCGCTGCGCAGAGAGTTGGCAGCTGTTTCGCTAGTGCTCAGAAACACACAACAGGATCTCAAGGATGTTGAAGATAACCTCGCATACATTCAAGCAGAGCGCAATACAGCACTATTCAGTCTCGCTGAGACCAAACTCGACCTGCAAAACGCCAGAGACGCTCTTGCCAATAGTGAGCGTGCACGCCGAGAGGCCAATCAGGATCGGGTCATTTCTCGCCCTTGTAAAGAGCAGGAAGTCTTTGTTATTTTAAAGTTTCAAAAGCCTCAACCATCACCTGTCGGAGGATTTCGCATCTTTGCACAGCAACGAAAGGTCGTTGACCGCAGACTGAAGCAATTCATTGCTGATAACCCTGAGCTGGATGCCGTTGATGTTGAGGAGTTGCGATTTGATCGTTCGCCGAGGGGAGAAAACGTCATTCAACATATGAGGCGCGATAAAGATGCCCCAATCAAGCTCAGTCGTCGCAACTTCATCCTCAAGGACGGCAAGACGGAGGATGAGATGGTTGAATATATCACACGAGTTTTCAACACCCATACCCAGGAGAACTAAACTGTCCAATAAAGTAATCTTGACATTTCACACAATTTCTTTTTAAAAAGATATTGTGCTGCTGAGGTAAATTGTATTTGTAATGGGTGTTCCCCAGCAATGTGTGTGTTCAGTAGGTGTGCTACGGAGCAGTTTAAGACATCGGTCAATGAGTGTTGTATTCACAACAGGAGGGTCGTCCCAATAATAATCCACCTCAACTCCGGTGAAACATTTATCCGGTGGGTAGACTTGCAAATGCATTCTGTAAAAGAAAAAAAAAAATATTGGAAGTCTACCCACCGCCAAGCCTGGTTCGTGTGCATGCTTTTAATACATAATATTCTCATTGGAAGGTTTGGTGTCACTGGAGCCAGAGATTTGGAACTAACACCGCTTCTGGTCTGCATTTTTCCTCTATAATTCCTATGGAGATGAAGATGAAGGCAGCCTAGAAGGCGGTCATCCGAATCCAAGTAGTCACCCAAGATCCAAAGAATTGAGCAATATCCAGAAGTTGGCGAAAGGCGCATTGATATCGATGGAAAGATCTTTGAAATATATTTAAAAAAAGTATGCAGTTTGAGGTAGTGAGGGGGTTGATCTTGTAGTTTTAAACACGTTGATCCAATATAGTTGGACAGATAGCTCGAGAATGGCGGTACATGGCTCACTCCACTTCCACATCCAAGCCAAGATACCAAAGCTCAATTGCCATAACTATGATTCAGGATCTCTTATTTTAGATATCTATGATTGCCGCAGCATGCTTTATCGAAACTCTATTTGTTTTTAAAAATAATGATTGATAGATATAAAATATACTTTGGCACTTAAATCCATACAGGATTCAGACAACCGCCAAAGTTTATTTCCCACCGGAACAGTTCAAATTGAATATGATATTCTGTTTAAAACACTGCATCATGCAATCACTTAGTATGAAAAATACAATGAATAGAAGCAGGTAAGCTAGGGTGTGAAGTCGTTCATTGTAGCCGACTTCCTAAAAAGTTGTGCTTTCAACGTCCGCTGACTGCTACCTACAAAGTCGAGTCGTCGTCAACATAGATGGTGGATTCACCACAGTTCGTGCTTAACTTGCTGCCGCGCCGCTGAGACTTTGGGGAAAACACAACGAACGGTATGCCGCGCTTTCGGGACGGGGGAGTCGTTGGTCTTTGGGGTAATGACACTGCTGTGAGCGTTGGAGAGACAGGCGCAACAGCATCCAACATGATTCCTGGAGACGAAGTGGTCTCAGCTGTTGACGCCGGCAGGGGCCATGCCAAAGGTGTGAACGGCGAGGAAAGGTCTTCACTGACGGGGAATGTTGAGTGTGGTGTGACTGGGGAGGACGCAAGCGTAGCAGTGGCCTTTTTAGCATACAAAGCCATGTGTGCCTATGCAGATCAACTCAGTATTAGTCGTCGCTCTTGAACATATAAATACCATGCAGCTATCTCGAAGAAAGGTACTCACCCGAAAGCCAAGTAACACCTCAAACGAACGTGAGTTCAGAAAAGCATCCAACATGCTGTATCCAGATGGAAGCCACACCTTCTCTTGCGTCGCTCGACCAGCACCGATAATGTCGCCGTAACGTCGGAGTGCGTAAAAATCAACAGCTAGAGCACGAGTTTCCGCAATAATAGGGTGCCATTGTGCGATCTCAAGACCCTTCTCCTCCAGGGCCAAGAGGATGGCGGTGTTCAGGCAGACACTTTTTTCTTGTTGCACTTGGCAGATGAGATCACTGACCTCGGGTTTGCACTCAAATATGCAAATCTCATCCGCCCAGGCATTGTTGATACAGACTCTGATTGTCATGTCTACTTTTTTAGGGTTTATACTGGTCGCCGTCTTATGGCTGAATGCGTTCTCGGTCAAAATGCGAGAACTCCGCGAGGCCTTACTGCCTAGTTCACCACTATTCAAGTAAAAACATAAGGTATTGGACAATAAGCGGTGCGATATCCCGGAAAGCGACAAAACTTGTAATATAATCCACTTACGGAATACTTCGTAGGCCAGATTCATCAAAGAGTATGTCGAATATATTACTCCATGCGCTGACAAACACTTGCTCAGATAAGGGTGCTACAAATCTATTATATTTCAGCAAATGCAGGACGTGATCGACTGTAAATAGTAACAATCAAAGGTGATCTTAGGTGGAATCGAAGGTCAAAGGATACTTTATTTGGCTATAACGTAGTGGACTATTTATACTGATAATTGATAGGGTTGGGGCTTGGTGTCTTGGCACTTGGGCTTGGCGTCTTGGCGCCTGGGGTGCGCGTGATAGTTGAGCCCTCCTCAAAGGTTTGAGTTCAGTATTGTATAACACGTTTGCATCGACAATCTTGAGAACCAAGAACCTTTCTCTAGTTGTCCATGTAGGATGTGGACAAATGCACTCATTGAGCGACGCATAAACAAATTTCTGAAGAGATTGGACAGATATAGCTGTGGGGTCATTAGGGTATTAGGGTCTGGATATAGTGCTGCTTGCAGTTCGGCACGCCAGCCTGTCAGTGAGCGTTAGTGCAATGCACATTAGTCACACAGGCTGGTGACGAGCCTAGAAAGGAAAGCATCATATCATTAAAAACAAAGCCACGATTTAGCTTGATCATTATTAATTCAGAATTTATAAATCTTTAGTGCTAAGTAACATTTAGATGGAAAGCTAATTCTTTTATATTTAATGGCACCTCAACTCGGAACGTACGTGGGGGATCCTCCCTCAGAGCCACAAGGCCCAAGCTACTCAACCTTCTGGAGCTCCCAGTGGACCGAATCGCCTCCAAACCCCCGCCTGAATTGCAGGGCAACACGAGGTGGCCTTAGATGAAGGGCTGAGACGCCGATAGCAATATCCTCTCCGTTAAACTGCCTGGGGAAGATAATGTTGTAGAATCCTTTTTTTTCATCACTATGTTTGAGCCTCCATACCTGTCGGTTCTGACCAGCAACTACAAAAGCATTGGGATGAGCCTCGCCATGCAATCCAAGGTAACGGCCAGTCCCTGGACTCGAGATGGTGATATGATCTTTGTCAAGGGGTTGGATGTGCCAGATTTGCTCCAGATATTCATTGCTGCCCAATAAGACGGTAGGCATTTCCAACACTGTCTTTTGCACGCTAATTAGTAGACTGTTTTGCTTAATACGGTAGAATCCTTCACAAAGGGCCACTGCAAGAGTCGCTTGTAACAAGACAAGGAAGGTGATCAAGGGAATGACTAAGTAAATCATTTCTAAAAAAAAAAAAAGAAAAAAAGAAAAAGAAGCATGAGAGGGTCAAAACTATAGTACTTAAGAATATCTGGTTCATTGTCAAGTAATAAAAAGCATGAAGATCGCGCAATATCTGAGAGTTGAAAAACATATACTTGAAATATTGGTGTTTCTAGAAAGAGTAAGTAGTAAGAGCCCTTATGAATAGAGGAAGCGTTGGTGAGGCGATATCTGAAAATTATAAAGAAAAAAGGAAAAAATCACTATAAGGAAGTTATTTAAATGTTCTTGCCAAGTTAATATGCTTTTTTTTTTTTTTTTTTTTTTTTTACATGGAATTGAGGAGGCTATACTTTTTCCTTGCTAGATTCATGTATACGCGCCTACCTGCCACAATCCCGCGCTTCCTTATCCTGCATATAATATGGCATCAACTAGCTTTGAGTATTATAATTGATAGTATTACATTGTAGATATATGACACGCGTTTCGCCCTCGCCCAAAAAATAAAAATAATAATAAAAAAAAGCACTTGGTACAGAAAGGTAGAGAGGCGAAGCATATGTGGAGATAGGAAACGATTCATGTTATTTGCCTCCGCCGTCCATGCGTTGAAAGTCCAACAGCCGAATTTTTCCCTCCTACTCTAATTTAGAACGCCCGGTCTTAGTTAACCTTAGAATTACCTGAGGAGTCTTTTCCTTCATGAGCGTTTCACGGCAGCAGACGTTGTTATGGTTGACACAAGGAGTAGATTTATGTCGCCGGTTGACCATCACGATTACAATCCTCCTACAGGCCTTTTTGAGCGTCCCTCCTTCCGTTCTTCCGCTTTAGGCTAAGAAGTAATAAAATATATTCTTCTTTTTTGTGATGATCTGGTTAATTCTTTAACTGATAAATTTGGTTGCAAATGTTGATTTTATTTTTTTTTAAAAAAAAAAAAAAAAAAAAAAAAAAAAAAAAGCTTCTTTCATTCAAAAGGGTTGTCTTGAATCCAATAGAGTAATGTGTAGATCCTTTTTTGTCATTTTTAAGGAATCGTCAGAAATAAATAGGACACTCAGCTGTGCAGAGATATACTTGTAATAAATAAAGAGCGCTTATTTGTTGGATGCAAGGGGAAAGGGATGTGGAGAAATTAGAATCAGATCGTCGCAGCTTCAGATAATTATAGCCGGAAAAAATTAACCCTAGTTGAATTAAGCCCGTGAGACAGATACTGTGATCTTGAGACCTGGAAATTCACTTAGGCAACGTTGTCGAGCTTTACTAGAAAGGGCTTTATTATCAAGCATCACTTTGCTGAGAAGTGATTCATATCATGCCAATCACGAGAAGCAATAACATAGTCTCCAAAAAATGTTGATACAGGTCCCTGCATTTAATCTCCCCTTGGAGCTAGCATCCCTCGTTCACTCTATAAAATAGGACATAACTTCGCTTCATAGTTTCACCAGCTCCACATTATAAGATTTACTGGGGTTCACAGGCTACGTGTGCTTGTACTCAGAGCTTTACAACATGACTTTCTTCCGAAAGATCTCATCTTAATGATGACAGGCTCATAAGGAAAGATTAGCCTCGTTCAGTCATCAACTATCCAGCACAAATAGTTCTTGGCTAATATGTACCTATTGTTGGTTTAATCCTCGGGCAAGTTGGCTTTGTTCACCGTATGTGTCGCCCCGGCCTCTGGCTTTTGGTGCTACTTGATAGTGTTCATGTTAATTTGTACTCGTTCGGTCGACTAAATTATAGCCCCTTGACAATATTTCTGGCAAAAATGCCCATACTCAATTTGCAATCAACGAGCTTCATGGTGCTTTTCGGCGCTTTTGGATGTGGCCCTACATTTTGCTGCAGAATATAACCTTTTAATCTACCCGTACTTAAAGAACAGAGCTGATTGATATGACGAGTTCTTTTGTTGCTTTCCCTGATGACCTTTCGTGATGAGGGAGCGCCACGACGCCACATTGAATTAACTGTGTGATACACATCACTTTGATTTGGCAGTGATTTGAGGAAGGATACAGAGTATGTCGATGCATTGCAGAGTGAAAAAAAAAAAAAAAAAAAAAAAAAAAAAAAAAAGCCTTCAGTACATCGAAAAGACTGGCTTTTATATTCTTTTGAAAGGACCGCGAAAACCGATTTAAATTAACGGCAAAGAAAGTTAATACATTACAATGAGGAAAGTGTACATTTCGAATCCATTTTACTATCCACTAAAGGTTAAACATGAGCCAGATCAATGAGTAATCCAAAACTAATGGCAGTCTTTTATTGCTTTAAAGATATTTAGATAGATCCCTAATATTTAATGTCACCTCAACTGGAAGTCCAAGTGAGAGGCCCTTCCCTTAAAACCGCTGGGCCCAAACTACTCAACCTTTCGAAGCTCCCAGTCGACCGTGGTGGCCCCGAATCCTCGCACGTATTGCAGAGCAATTTGAGGTGGATAGATTCGGGAGGGTGAAATACCGATAGCAAGATCCTCTCCGCCAAACTTCTCGGGATAGATAATATTATAGAAACCTGGCCTTGCACTCCTCTGGATCCTCCAGATCCGCTGCTTCGGAGCGACAATCACAAAGGCATTAGGGCGAGCCTGGTCATGTAGTGCAAGCTGACGACTAGTACCTGGGCTCGAGATGGTGATGTGGGTATGGTCCACAGATTGGATATGCCAGACTTGCTCCAAATGCCCATCTCTGGGATATAAGATAGCAGGCGTTTCCCCACCGTCTTTTTTCGTACTAATCTGCAGACCGCGCTGCATGATGCGATAGAATCCACTGCCAATAATTTCAGCAAGGGCCACCTGCAACAAGGCAAGGAGAGCGACCAAGAGAGCGACCGAGCGAGCCATGACTGAAAAAAAAAAAAAAAAAAAAAAAAAAAAAAAAAAACCAAACAGCACGAAGTCAACATTCAATGTATAAGGTCAAGTCCATTGTACTATAACAAAGAACAAGGATAGCATGCATAGCAGAAGGTTGAAAGTTTATACCTGATATATTGGTACTTTTGAAGAGAATTTATATAGGAACTTTTAGATGTGGATGGGTTATAGATGATAAGCTGTCTATATAAAAAAAAAAAAAAAAAAAAAAAATCGAACAGAGGGGCTATTTAAATGTTTTCGTCGAGTCAAAATGCTTTTTTTTTTATCCATGCCTTTGAGCCTATATCTTTATCTTGTTGAGGTCATGTATACGCGTCCACCTGCCGCAATGCCGCGCTCCCTTATCCTGAGTTGAATGACAGAAACCACCTCCGAGTGCTAGTATTGCATTTTTGCGCGTTTCCCCGCAAAACAAAGAAAGCATTTGGCACAGACAAGTAAAAAGGGTCAACATGCATGCGAAAATACAATGATTGATCTTTTTTTACCTCTGTTGTCCATGTACTGTGCGTCCAACGCCCTTTAATTCTGTTTGTTTTATTTTTGCTCCTGCACTAAGTTACAGCACCCTGCCTGCGTTTGAATTTTTCTACATGGATATATCGTGGCGACAGGCGCTGGTATGGTTGACAAAAGGAGTAAACTGCTTGGTTTTGGATTCATTAGACAAGTAATTCGTCTCCTCGTTTGACCATCACGGATATACACATTTCTCTTTCAGGCGATCCTCCTCCCCTTTTTTTTTCATAAAAAAAGTTTACCAAGGTCAACAAGACAATGGGTGCCAGGTACATAGATCCATTCATGCCTTTTACTTGGGAAGGCTATCAAAAATGGACAGATCACTCCACCGTGTCTTTCTCTCGCTGCCTCTAGAAAGGGATAAATAAAATAGCGTTTACTGTTGGGTGCAGAGGAGGAAGGAAAGATTGAAAATGAGTTTCAAGGCCGAAGCTTCAGATAAAAATAATCGCTAATATAATGGAATCTATTCTGTTCCTTTTAGGGCCATTTGAATACAGGAAACGTTCGTGCAAGACACAATATGCCCCAAAAATATCCGGCGTTGTTGAGGTCCGAAGAATCACCGAACAAACTACTTTAGAGCATTAGTATTGGGATTTGATATTTAGTCGTTCTAGAATTGGAATAGAAAGCACTTGGGCATTGTCTTGCAGATAAATGAATACTATGGGATCTATATCATATCAATCGTAAAAAGCTGGAGCATAATCATTGAGTGGATTGTTGCAAGTGTCGGGGTTGATCCCCTCCTAGAGCCAGTATGCACCTCTCACTCTGTAAAGCCAGATACATTCCTTAGACCATGGTTTTGCCACCTCCACTTTGTGCAGTTTTCTGCACTCGATGAACCTACTACAACAGGGGCTGAAGGATCTCTTCCTGGTGAAAAGGAGTATCTAAGATATAGATGCTTATTAGCAAATCAATATATGGTTATTGCTGGCTTGGTCCTTGATCAGGCTGGCTTCTTTCGCTGTATGTATCGCTTCAGTCTCCCGTCTTTGGTCCCTTCTGGCAGTGTCTGTGCTGGTTTGTATACCTTTGATCGATTGAATCATTACTCCCTGGTAATCACTTGCATTTGGGAGGTTCATTTTGCAAGAAGAGGATTCATCCTACTTTTAGCTGTGGGTTGCCATCCCTATCGTCTTTATAGACCTTAAGGAGAGAGTTAACTGAGTTGACAAGCTCTTTTGAGGCTTTTCTTGATAGTTGTCCTTTAGTAAAGGACACCATGGTATCATACCGAACCAATTGTGCTATACGTATCGCTTTGATACGATAATAGCGCAGGGCTATAGAGCACATTGGTACTTTTAAAGCAGCTGAGCTGTTGTAGGGATCGTATTTCATTTCATATGGCAAAAATATCAATCATTTTGGCTGATCATGTCTTGGGTTTATCCAATATTTAAACAAATGAAGAATAGCTGAAGAGCACAACTATTACTTTACATTCCCAACGAGAAGAACCGAATGTCGAAAGTACTGCTTATGCTATTATAGAATATGGAACCAAAAACGTCTTTCTTGGCTGTTTCTCTTTTCTCTACCTTCAAAACAAGTATATAAAACTATATTTTATTTTGGAAATAGCTTCTTCTATTAACGTCTTGTTGGTGACAGCACACTTGGAATCATGGCGATTACAAAAGCTGCTTATGGTAACTGTGTCTCTTAGATCAGGCTAAAATATGCGACTTACAAATAAAAATAGTTTTCCTTTGGGAGTCGAGTCTTGATTTTGCAGTGCGCAGGACTGCCTGGAGAAGCCGTTCTCGAAAGAGAAAGACAAGCTCTTTACGGTACAGATAGGATAGGTCACCATGACTTGTTTTATAAAAATAGGGCTGGGAAATAGTGATCCCTACCAGTCATGCTTATTAAAACTATATTATTAAAGAGGATCTGTTTCTCAGTCTTTTTTTTTTCTCTTCAACCCATTTTATTACTATTTCAAACTATGAAAGATTTTGGCCGCAAGACTTGCAATAATGGCAGCTTTGTGTGCATGCTCTAAACGCATGAAAACTTCCATGACACTGACTCCTTTTTGATCTCTGATACGGCCGAATGTCTTGCCAGCATAGGCTCCCTATGGTGATGATAAAAAAAAAAAAAAGAAGAGTCAATACATGAGCCAAATCCTTATACTAGTTTTTATATACCGATAAACTTGGATCGACTTACTAAAAGAGCTCCCGGTGGTCCGCCACAGATGAATCCAAGAGCTGCGCCAGAGGCCATGCCGACTGACGAATAAAAAGTGCTAGGATTCTCGACTTCTGGTCGAAGCATTTCCTCAAAGACGCCTCCGAAGACTTGTTCTGGTTCCGTATGGTTTGCTTCGGCTGACCATGTACTTCTGGAACCCCTACTCTGAGCTCTCCTTGCAATGTCGTACTCTCGTCGTCTCTCTTTGCTCGACAAAACGTAATATGCATCTAAAAAAAAAAAAAAAAAAAAAAAAAAGTGAATATTAATCCTAGCTTTTTATTATTATTATGGTCGGACCACATCAAAGACGTCATATTTGTGTATGCTTAAATAAGGATCGGGTCTTTTTTTTTTTTTTTTAATAAGAGATCCTCCTTTACTTTACCTGCGACTTGCTGGAAGCGAACCGTGGCTTCTTGCTTGGACAAGGGAGGTTCTCCATCAGGCCCACCAATGTTGGTAGACCTATCGGGGTGTGTTCTTAATGCTTCTCGCTTGTAGGCTTCTCGAATCTGATCTGTGGTGGCTGTTTCCTCAACTCTAAGGATGGCTATGTTGTCGTTAGGAAACCCATGCACAAAGAATACAAAAAAAAAAGTGTTTGATGAGCTTAAAAGCGACGTGCAGAATGTAGAACATGGAGAAACAATGGAGTTCATGTTCAGTTTTTTTTTATTATTTAATGATGCTCTGCCATGTTGCAGATACCATAGTAGTCTGGAAATGTGCTCATGGTTGGTTAATTGGTGTAATGAACGAAGAATGTGTAAGAAGAAAATAAAAAGCGTTTTGGGTGACAATTCATAAATGCCAAGAAGTCTTGATTCTTGGGTCACACAAAAAAATTCAAACCTGCAGTCCCAATACTCATAAGTTTGTGTTTTCTCAGATTTGGCTTTACAAAATCGGGATCGAGTTTTCATATACCAAAAAGACCTATCAATATGTGGGACATTTGGTGGCCTTAATTTGCTCATGGCATGCATCCACCAATTATTAGCGATCCGTAACCGCAACTGACAGCTGTAGCTATTCGACCAGAAACTAGACAGCAGCCTTGGTGATCTCTGTCTTGGCTGGACATCCTCTCAATGGATTTTTACCTAAATCAAAAAATCAAAACCAAGAGATTATATTGATGCATTTAACGCTTTTTGATTGCAGTACTGGACGACCGTTTTATTTCGCAAGAAAGAGTAAAGGAGTAGGATCTTTCTCAGTGGTGAGGACATTTTTCAGCAAAAGAAAACTTTAACTCTCCTGCGAGCTCTATGGCTCTAAAGCCGCGTTTAGGGCATACACGGAAATAGACGCGTTAAAAAAAAAAAAAAAAAAAAAAAAAAAAAAAAGCGCGTTAAAGTATAAAAAAAACTATACTCCTTCTCTGTCAAACTTGCACAACTCGGCTTACGATTAAAAGATAATTCTTCACGCCGAGTCGCAGACGCTTCATGCATAATTGAAGTTCTTCGTACAACGGCATGTCATATGATTGCACCCTTTTAAACGATAAGGGAAATAATATACAATTAGTCGAGCATTCGAGGATTAGGCTTGGACTTGCTTGGTGTGAATTTTTCCTAAACTCACCTCCATTTTTCTCCACCATCTGCCCACAACCTGGACATCTCTTCCAATGTCTTTCGACTGCAAGTGTTTCGAATAACCTGTCCGATTGATCGCCTTTGGCTTGTTCACAAGTCAATCCTGTTTTTTTTTTTTTATAAATAAAAAAAAAAAAAAAGAATCGGTAAAAGCTGTCTCCTCATCCTAACAAAACCCTTTTTTTTTTTTAAGTTTATTTCATATAAGCATCTTCGCATTTTAAAACATGTGCATCCAAACTTGCCTGCATGACCATCCTTCAGACAGAGTGCACAGAACGCGTAGCTGCAATAAGGGCATCTCACATTGACTCGCCAAGATTTGCTGCTATTATTCTCGCTCCCTGCATCACCCGCATCAATCAAAATATTGCATTTACTATTCGGACAATAAATCTGTTCCATGTTTAAAAAAAAAAAAAAAAAAAAAAAAAAAAAAATCATGCGTCAGACATTCACGTATAATACTGGATGCTTTTTTTTTTTTTTTTTTTTTTTTTTTCAATAAATAGTAACAAACCAACAAATAATAATAAAGCATAGTAATGATAGTAGTAAAGAAAAAAAAAAAAAAAAAAAAAAAAAAAAAAAGGAGAAAAATACACACACACTGACCCTTTTCGTGATAGCGTTTTCAATCCCAAGATTATGCCAGCGGTTTATTCTTTGGCCCAGGATACTTCCCACAATATCCAATGAAATCATCATTTGGCAGTCATCCATAGGGCATTGCACAGGCCAAACATGATTGTTGATTTGTGTTTCGATGTATTTTTCAAGACAACTGCCGCAGAACGCATGGTCGGGATTGCATTCAAGGGAAAGTCCTAACTTGCTAATTTCATGATAACTCGCCGCAGAGGGCGGGGAAACGGATGAAGTAGATTTCGGTTTCGCTTTGGAATTGAGTGCAGCTGTAGATGTAGCTGTAGTTGTAGATGTAGATGTAGACGTAGATGTAGATGTAGCTGTGGTTGTAGTTGTAGGCTTCGGCGTTGAAGTAGATGAAGTTAAAGGCGAAGATGTTGGCTTTAACAAAGACATAAACTTGGACTTGGGCATCGATGTGGACCTAGATGTAGTAGATGTAGATGTAGTTTGGGACATCGCTTTAGATGTAGACGTTGATAATGAAGGTGTTGATGGTATCGTTGATGAAGACGTTGATGAAGACGCTGAGGAAGACGCTGAGGAAGACGACGACAAAGAGGCTAATGGAGACATGGATGCAGACTTTGGTGTAGACGACGAGGATGAAGGCGGGGATACAGACATGCTTGATGTTTCACGAATTAACTCTTTCATGTCTTCAAAAGAATCCTCATTGTTGAACAAGGACACTGAAAGTTCCTTATTATTCTTGGCCGACTCGTATAGAGAAACCAAAAGCGTATAATAGTAATCTCGGTCGCCATATAACCTCGCTTCAGTCAATGCAAAGGAGGAATATTGGTCAAGCACATCGTACACCTCCTCGTATCTACTCCGGTCAAACCCTTCTTGGGCTTGCGAAGGCAGCTGGGATATTTGGGTTAACTGGATCTTTTCAAAGTCATCATAGCAAATCTCACATCGCGTAGTGCGACAGTTTGAAGAAAACTCCATTTTTTGAGTGTGGGAAGACAAGTGAGATGAAAGAAAAAAAAAAAAAAAAAAAAAAAAGTGGGGCATTGCAATTTACCCAGGCCACTTCTCTTCTTGCTTTCGCTGATCCAGTGATCCTCTACTTGGGTGTGCATAAAAAGAAGCATACAAATAACGTGTTCCAACACCCCCTTGTGATCATCATTATTTCATTTAGACATCAAGATCAAAAACATGGTTTTTTATTATTTCAATAAGGGAACAAGGAGAGGAGAACCAATAAAAAGAGTAACAGAATAACAGTCGGTATCGCATTGAAGGGACAAAACGCATTGCATTATATCAACAGAGGAAAACACGTGTAAATAAAAAAACAAAAAAAAAACAAGTGGGAGAATGCTGAAAAGGTGTCACTATCTAGTGGTAACTTATGCATCAGGGTTCAATAGAGGGCGGTTTTCGTCAGGATGGACTGCCTTTGGAGGCGCGAATACATGAGGTCTGACGACGCCATTGAAAACAAAGGTTCCATACACCAACAGGGCAAAGCCTATTTTTATTAATTAAAAAAAGGTAAAAATAGGTTAGTATTACCGGAAACTGGTCCATGCATGATTCAAATAGAGTGATCCCATGACAATCATTAAAATAGGCTTCAGGCTTACCAAGAACTTGCAGAGGGAGGAACTTCTCCCATCCAAGATACAGCGAGATGGCCCAGATGAAGAGCGTCCGGCACGAATCAATGGTCGAGCGAGATGTCGCACAAATGGTTTTGGTGACCGAGATGCCAAAGAAGTTGAATGAGGAGATGCTGAACAACATGATGATAGCAGGGATCCAGATCTGAGGATATGATGTAATCTGCTCCCATCCCGCGCTCAAGTCAAAGTACGAGCCAGGGTTAGCAACACCAATGGTAAAGTGGAGGATCGGCATGGCAACCAAGACAGTGAGAGTACCAAAAAGGCCCTCATAACCAACCGCACGCAGAGGGGCAATATGGAAGCCAGAGAGGAACTTTTCTTCAATCACAAACTGGGTTGCAGTAAAGACTTGTGCAAATAGGACTAGGAAGATTCCAACAATGGCTTTAGCAGCTTTGATAGCCTCATCGGAATCAGGATCATTGTCGCCATCAATAAGGGGTTTGTCTTTCTGGGCAATGACGGAAGCTAATCCCACGGTGGCAATACCGACAACAATGGTGAAGAGCGCAAACCATTCAAACGCTAGAAGACGCCTACCCAAAAAGATAACGGAAAGGATTCCAGTAAAGATGACCAAGGCTCCACGCAGCATCTGATAGACGGATGCAGCACAGTAAATCAAGCCAACATTCATCAGCTAAGAGATTTGAAACAATAATGGTAATAACAGTAGCATTAAAAGATAAGGATGTGGGTGTTGAGTTAGCGCAGCCAGCAAGCAAAACAATGTTGATACGTTTGGTGCCATTCGCACCAGGCTAGGTATCATCTTTGAATTAATGTAGGAGGTTGGCTTCAGCTATGATAGTTTGTATCATCCATCCATGGGATCCATCTTTCGCCCTACTGTACCAAAGCATATATCTCTTTCCGTTTCCCATATTCCTGTCCATGCCCTTAATTTATATCCCTGTGTTATTGCTATTGCTATGCCTTATTCTATCCCTGAAATCCTGCAGCTCGTCTAAACCACCCATGCAACAGCAATGTAGGAAGGGGGCAGGCAGAAATAAACATGGAAAGCTTGGTAAGGAGGGACCATCCAAAGAAATCATGGTGAACTTACAGTGCTTGCTGTCATATCGCAGAGGGTTGGCAGCCAAAGCAAAAAAACATAAATGCCTTCGAGTTTTTTCTTCTTGATGGCAGCACCTGGGTGAGCATGGCCATGAGGTGCAGGAGGCACGATCAAACCATCCGACTCAATCACAGCAGGAACTTCCTCCTCTTCATCATCAAGGACCAATTCAGCCCATTTGGCACGACCATATCTCTCTGCGAGCCAAGCACAGACAGAGGCAAACACTAGACAGAGGGTCTCACCAATAAACATATTGAGGGTCTGCCAGATTGGTTGTTCAAAGTGCTCATGCGTATTAGGATCAGGATTGTCGCAGTTCTCGACACAGGCCATATCTTGGTCTATTTTGGTTGATACGAGAAAGCAAAGAAAGTTTTAATTATTAAGGAATGTCGTTACTTAGCGTACTTGTGGCACCATATTGCTGACACTGCAACAATGAAGATGAAGTGAGTCAAGGGCGCTGCGGATGTTAAAATAATCAGCCATGCAGGACCCAAAAGGACCCTTTCTGACCAAAATACATGTATTCATATTCATGTTCACACACGTTTTTTGGTTTCTGAAAGAAGCTGAACGCTTCAAAAAGAACCCATGTTAACGAAAGCAAAAAAGAAAGTACACAAACGGTGGCCTTTGCTTTTTTTTTTTTTTTTTTTTAGGTGCATACATACACTTGGTAATGATAGTATTTGCTGTTCCAGCGACCAGCATGCCGATCACAAGACCGACATTGCCTTTGTTAATGGACATTGTTTCTGAATGAACTTTTGAGTAATGTTGAAATAAATAAGAGAATGAAAATAAGTAAAGGAATAAAAAAAATTAGAGCGCAGGTGTGAAAGGAGACAAGAGTAAAAGAAAGAGGAAAGGAGTTGAACTTTTGTGGGAGAGAGAACCCTTCCTTTTCTCAGTATTAGATGTAGGTCCATGCATATTGCATTGTTTTTATCACTTGGGCCCCAAAAAAGAGGGGCTGAGGGCCTCAATGGTTTATTTCGCAAGCTGGCAAGAGTGACCTTTGACCAATTAGAGCCTCCACCAACTTGGTTTCCCAAAAGCAAATCAAAAGGACCCATTGATGTTTCTGCTGAATTATAAATATATACACATGTATGCTGCCATATTTGGGCGACATCGTTCAACAACCCAGTTCGGCGCTCTTATTGTACGACAAGAAGCATGAGCATGATATGGACTCAATAGACCCTACAAAGATCACTACTCCAGTCCCTATTTGTGAACAAACCTAGTCATGTGCCCATGGAACATTTTTCCTGGTTTGAAATGCACGGGATCGAGAAGGACTGTTTCCTCGTTTCATTAACACACGCGCTTTTCTTGTAGAAAGAAAATATTGTCTTAAAGAAGAATGCAAATTGACATTCCCTTCATCACTCATTTGCTTATTTCTGTCTGTCCGTCTTTCTCTTTGTCTGTTTGTCTTTTTTCCCTTTTTTTTATCGTTTGCTCCAATACACACGACTAAGCTACATTTCCACATTCACATTTTGCATCCTACCATTCTGTGATCTGTTTTCTCACACGGGTTGAAATGTAAGCCCTGCGAGCCGAAAGGGAGTGACAGAAAGTTCAAGCGCAGGTTTCCCTATTCGATCAACTAACCCTTTATTTTATTCTCTTTCTGTCCCCTACTTATTCACACGCGCATGCCGCTCTTTCCACCTTTCTCTGTCCCTTTTCCTTTCCCTCTTTCTCTCCCACTCTTTCTCGCTTCTATCTTTTTCTCTTTGAATGGCTCATTCCTTAACGCTTCTGGAATTTTAGCAATCAAGATTGATACAATCCGAATCAGATATTTTAATCCATCCTTTCCTGCCAATCTTAGCTATTGCTACTTCCGCACGACATAGCACTGCATTCCAAATCAAAGCACAAAGCAAACGAGGGATTGGAAATACAGGATGGACTTTTTAAAAAAATATGAGACATTCATCTACAAGAATGCCTCACAGATCTCCAGTATTGAAAGCACCTTACGATCCTTGACGTATATCCTGCCAGGTAATTGTCTTTCAAGGAGAGGAAAAATTAACAATGATAACAAATCTTTGGAATGCTGTCTCTAGAAAAAGCATACAGCTTATTGTTTACTGACTTCTCTTTATTCAATTCCATACTATATTACTGTCATTACTACTCTACTTATTCGATTGTAGGACGCTTTGATGATGCCGAACTTGCCTCCGAAGCACGTAAGTAACATTTCTTTGCTCCTACTGCCTTATTGTTTGTGAGCTCTGTCCTCATAGCCTCCCTAATGTCCCTAATATCCCTAATATCCCTAATGTCTTGATGGATTGAAAAAAAAGACTAACACAAAGGGACTTCCCTTGTTTAGTGTTCTCCACGCTTAATTTGCTTGGCATTTACCACGATACAATCTTGACTAAGCATGTGGCCAGCTTGCCTCCAACCCATCGGCCTACATCCTCACCCTTGAACCGATATACGCGCGACTGGCAGAACAGCTCAATGGCTTATAAGCGGATCGTTATGCTCCTGACAGTCATTCAGTACACAGAGGTGTTGGTTGAGATGGTTGTCCAGAAGAAATGGGGCCAACAATACAAGTGGCGAGTCATCACTGCACTAGAAGCCATCAAGTAAGTTCTCAATATTCTGACTAGAATCAACATTCGTCCCAAAATGAAAATTTCATGTGCTCATATGAACCCGAAATGACACATACACCACTTGTGTTACACACCGATGGACCAACCGTCATGTCTATCCTCCTTCCGAAATCGCCTGTGCACGCATCACAACACGTACATGCTGTTCAGTTATGAGAATCACCTAAAGTTCCATTAACACCTTCTTATTATCTCTCCTAAACATTCTTTTTTTTTTCTTTTTTTTTTTTTTTTTTTGTGCAGAGCTGCTGGACGATTGGGTTTGATGAAGTTGACCAACAACAGGATGTTGATGCATCCGGTCCACACGGAGCGTGATGTTGATCCTTCAACTCTTGCAGATCTTGCAGAGACACAAGCGTCAGTCAATGAAAGTCACTGGATAGGAGCCAGGACAGGAAGCACACGTCTACAATTAAGTGCAGTTCAAAAGAATGGCAAATCTGGAAAGGGTTCAGATGTGACAGAATTTTTGTTGAGCAAAGTTTTGACGCCGGATGTGGTCCGTCGGCCACGCGATTTAGTGGGAATGATGAACGGAGTAGGAGCTGTGGGGGAGTATTTATTTATCTTGAGACCGTTGATCTACGTGTTGGCAATGCGCAAGTATGGACAAAAATCGTGGTACCCATGGTTCCTTTCATTGACGATCGAATTAGTATCGAGAACAAGTATTAGGCATTTCTTGAAAACAAGTCGTGCCAACGGTCGAGCGACACCATTGGAGAAGGATGAGATGAAGAGGCGATTGTGGCTCTTGTTGTATTATGTACTTCGAAGTCCATTCTATGATCAATTCACGAAGGAGCGTCTCCATAACTTTTGCGAGTCTACAAGCAAGAAGCCGTTGATCTCACTTGTTGGAGGTATCGTTCGTGACTACCAACCTCTCTGGGAGTCTGTATACTTTTACACTGCTGGATCATAAAAATGGTAAAACGCCCGTTCCTCTCGCTTCATTCCCTTCATTTCATTTTTTGTAGCCAGATCGTAAAAAAAAAGAAAAAGGAAAAAAGACGTGAATACGATGTTTGATAAATGGCAAGACAATAAATTCCCCAAAAGTAAAAAAAAAAAAAAGTCTTTCTTGTTTTTAATGTAATATAAAAAATATCGCGGTTATAAATTGGTGGCAAAGAAACTGTGGTATGTCGAAGGATTTGCCATCAGTCCATGAATTATGTAAAACTGCATTGGACGGCCAATATTCCTTACAATCTCCTTGTATGGTGTGCAATGCATAAATCTGAAAGGCGTCTTTCATTTATTAATGCGACAACCAAATCAAGACAAATAAGATAGTACAACGTATTGCATTTGGACAAGTGCAGGGACCAAGGATGTAAAACGTGCTCTGAACGTCTTTCATAGACCCAGGCACACACATGTGTATATTTTGCTTGCAATCCATCGGAGGCATTTTTTTCCACGTCATGTGTAGTACACTCCAGTTTGTTCAGATTTTTCATTACACAGATGACATGCTTAAACTCATTGCTGTGACGCCATTGGACATGAAATTCCTTTCCATTCTATCTGGAGTTGTCTTCCTCTACAAGGTCATTGACTATCATCTTTTCTTTATGAGGGGCTGAAAGCCAGTGAGACAAATAGATCCTGTTACAGGCAAAAGGTATATGGATACTCTTTGTAAAAATAATAAAAGGGCTTGTGATCAGACTTATGCAGATGAAGCTGCAGGGCAAAACTTCGTGACAATACCCGACCGAGACATCTAGACATCTTGTTGGAAAATACTAGCTTAGCTCTCCGTCCAAGTTCCTAGAATGAAGCCAGCGTAGGTAACAAATTGCGCGTACGTGGTAGAAAACAGAGTGTATCCATAGACTGTAGCCAATGAGAGTTCATCACGAAACGACATTTCAGATTTTCATAAATCTGTCAAGATAAAGGACAGAAAGAGAGCAAAAAAAAAAAAGGAAAAAATAACTATAACCTTAATAACCATTCATGATGTCTGTCAAGGTAATATGTGTTTTACTGCATCTTTATTGCTCACTATGACCATGGGGTCATGGTGTCGTCACCTGTGTTGACCCATGTCAAGGTCGAATGCTCCCCCCCTTTTTTTTTTATTCTAACTCTTTCGACATTAACTTTTTAAACCATGCGCACGCGTATAGAGGATCGAAGGTCAAGGTAGATCTCTTTCTCTACTGTGCTGTTATAGAGAAAAAAATTACAAAAACAAAAACAAAGAAAAATAAAGGACGCGACATTGATTCATTATGCGTGCAATGGACAAAGTTGTTCAAAAAAGAAAAAAAAAAAAAAAAAAAGGAGCCGCAAAAACGCAAGAGTGATCAAGAAGGTACATGTCATATAAAAGGGATTTCTACAAAAAAAGGGTCAAAACGTGCAATGGTTGATGACCTACCATCAGGTACGTACACACGTTTTGACGCGTGAACCAAGTGGACTAACTCCTTTCAAGACACTTTCAGGGACCACTAAAAAAACAAACATTAGACGCTAAACTCGGAAAATAAAATAAAAAAAAATAAGCATTCCCTTCCAGTCGATATTGAGCTGCGACAACGTTTGTCTCTGATTGCGGTGTGTGTTGGGCTGTAGGATTCACATCCCTGCAGCAAATCTGGAGAGGCTATTGTATATATTTTCATAATTTCATTGAAGGTTAAAAAGAGAACGCAAGAAAAAAAAAAAAAAAAAAAAAAAAAGCGAATGAAAATCGGGCGAACTGATCCTTGACAATTAGTGTGCTAATGAACCAATTGGTTGCCTTGGTCATTGACCAATCCTATCGACACTTCATGTAGAAGAGGAATAGGAATTGGAGTAGGAGTAGGAATAGGAACCAATCTCTTTCATTATTGTACTTTATCTTTATTGATCTGCTGTGTTTTTTTTAGTGTCTTTGCTCTTCATCTGCAATCCTTTTTGGTATTGAGGACTTCTCGACAGAGTTTAAACATTGTCATTGTATCATTAAATACAGTGTAAACAGCGATAAACAACTCAATTCATTACAGCAGACATTCGCCCCCAAAAACTGTCATTCTTTCTCCTCTCCTCTCCTCTCCTCTCCTCTCCTCTTACGCTCATTCTTATAACAGTTGACAGTCATCTCTCATCCTATACTCATCTCTCTCTCTCTCTCTCTCTCTCTCTCTCTCTCTCTCTTTCTTTTTTTTTTTTATTGTTTTCTTCAATTCATTCTCATCTGCTTCTGCATTCACTCATTCACTTTTGTTCTTCTCGGACACTTGTTCATTCCACTGTTAGAATAAGAAAAAAAAAGGAAAAGCAAAAAAAAGGAATAGGGCCAACAAGGCGAATTTGTGCAAGCAACAGACATTTAAAAAAACCACTCCTTAAATCCACATCCCTCGCTACTTGGCCTTGACCTATTTACTTCTTGGTCCTCCCTTTTTGTTTTCATTATTGCTATTACTATTTCTCTGCTGATCCCTCCCTTTCCTACTCATCCTCTCCTTACAACTTTCTTCTTTCTTTTCTACCGGTGTGCACTTGCTCAACAGCGTATGGAAGGGTAAGTTTCAGCTTTTCTTTTTATCCAGGAACATCGTTTATTCCGTCCTTTGCCTTGGTTTTTCTTTTTCCTTTCTTTTCTGAACAATTGACTTACCTTTGCCCCCTCTCTTCTTCTCACCACTCTTTCCGATCATCCCTTTGTCTTCATACCCTGCATTGCCTTATCTTCCCTTGTCTTATTCAATTGCATGATTGGACAAACTATTCTGCTCCACAGCAAAAAATAACTTTGTATAAAAACTCAAGTGCATTAGCACCCTGGTATTTTCTATCCATTCTACCAAACATCTTTCCACAATGACCTCATCTCCACCTTCCGGCGCTTCACCACCACTCTCTTCCACGTCTTCGACCTCTTCCCTTTCTCTTCCAGAGCAACAACAGCAGCAGCCTGTGTCTGAACAGCCATCTCCATCAACATCCAGTACACCCGCACTGTTGTCTCCATCGTCCACGTCTCTGAGCAGCTCCAAATCCCAGACTCCAACACCATCGCGTCCTCGTAGCGGATCACTGCCCATGGCATATCACCCTACACGAGCCCCTGCACCATCATCTTCATTACGAGTCGAAGTCTTAGCAGACGATCAACCTACTACTATACCATCGTCCACCCCTACTTCTGCGACTTCCTCTCACTCACTGCTGCCGTCAGCATCACCACCTTCAACGCCAACATCACCATCATTCTATAACACACAACGAAGCGGCCCTTCTTCAGTCTCGAATCCTTCAAAACTACGCCATGTCACCTCACTCTCCGCATTCGATTCCACCACTGCTACGAGCAGACGATCCAGAAGTGGATCCATCACCTCGCCTAGGCCCCCTAATCTATCACTCCTAAATCCACCTTCACCAGGACTCACTCCTAGTAATACCACTGGTAATAATAGCTCTACTGGAGCAAGTGCTGGTACTGCTGTCACACCTTCACATTCGCCCACAATCTCTACGCCTCGTCGACCACGAAGTGGAAGTGCAGCAGCGGCTGTTGCTGCATTGTTTCCAAACGATCGCACCCAAGATCAAACAGCACACTTGAATGAGGATGGCGATGATACAGATTTGGTTCATACACAGCTCAATCTCTCACTAGATCAAGGTCCGCCTCAGAGTATTGATACATGGGAGCCTGTCATTCCTGATATTCTGGTTCAAGATGAGGATGCAGACGAGAACATGAAACAACCTATAACTAATACCGACAACACTCTTGATCTGACCCAACATGATGATCCTGACAATCCTGATGGCGAGGAAGAGAAGATTGTTTCGCAATATCAGGTCTTGAACCTGATCATCCCTGACATTTCTGAGGCAGCAGCAGCAGCAGAAGCTGCAGAGCAGCTCGAACTGGAGAAGCAGCAGCAGTCAGATAGTGATGGTCATACAGATTCAGCAGACACAGCTGTTATGGTTTCAGAATCTGATTCCAACGTTAATAACAATGACAACATTACCAATGGTAGCAGCAATAATTCTAGTAGTGTCGAGATCGGCAATACGAGTAATAATGAAAAGACCATGAGTGAATATCTCAAATCTGGCCTTGGTGGTGCAACCGACTATCTAGCGGTCGCATCACTGGGTCTAGGCGCAGGATTAATTCCACCTACGGTATCCGGCTCATCTACGCCGCGTCCAGGGACACCAGTTCTACCGTTGTTCAACAATTCGTCATCCGTCGCACCATTCGTAAGTGGAGCTGGAGTTGGAACTGGAACTGAAGCTTCAGCAGCAGTAACCCAATCAAATAGTGCCTCGCTTGCTCCTGGAGTTCAGACGACTCCGCTCGCTGCTGCCACTCTAGCTTCTCGTTTTCGACTACCCTTCTCATCCCGAGCCTTCAATCCACCCTCTCGTCCAACATCGGTTCATCAATCAAATCAAGTTCCAGGCAATGAGACAACACCCTATGCGGGATCATCTACTGTCCTAGGAATCAATAACCCTATGCAACCACAGAACAATCAATCCAACCTCAACAACGGTCCCGGGGTCCGAACTTCTTTCTTTGATTATCGATTCACAAACTTTTTCGGTGGATCAAGTATTGCAGGAAGCATCCGATCGTTTGATCCGACTAGAAATAAAAATACATTTGGTGATCGTTTAGATCTATATGAAGTCGAGTTTAATCAGCCGAAGAATCCAGCAGAAGAAGAGAAGCGACGATTGGATCACACGACATTGGGTCGAATCCGTAAGGTTCTCCGTGCAGGGTTCCCAGGACGTGATCTGGACCCAAGGACGAGAAAGCCTCGGTACAAGTATCCGACCAATAATATCAAGACCACGAAGTATACGCTACTCACGTTCCTGCCCGTCAACTTATTGTTCCAGGTAAAAAAAAAAAAAAAAAAAAAAAAAAGGTTTATTATGTTTGTGTTTTAGATGAAATATCGTTTGAGTGTGTCAATGGAGAAGTCGAAAGCCGGTCTTGTTGCCAGCAAACTCTTTATCGGCAAAATGGATTATGCGCCTATGCGATGTGAATTGCCGTTCGGACAAAAAAAATTATTTTTTTTTGTACAAGCTACCGGTTATTGCTTAATTATTAGGAGCCTGTACCTGAATCTTATGAAGATGAAGTGGGTTACGTGTTTTGTTTGGGTTGCTTGATACTCCATATTTTTTTTGTCCTTGTCCTTGTCCTTATCTTTACACTTCACTATCTTTTTTAAGTGTAGTTCGGAATCAACTACCCAACCATTACCTTCTTCTTCACCCTTACTCCTCTCACTTGTCTTTCATTCTTTTTATACTACTGCGTATTTCCTGCGCAATGCAAAAATGTTTCCCTCTTCTCTAATGCGCTAATGCGTATGCGGGCCATGTCGTGTGCATGTTTGTGTAACAACAACAAATTCCTTCGTCATTTTTATTTATTTATTTTTCCCTTTTATTTGGCCCAATAGTTCAAACGATTCTACAACATCTATTTCTTATGTGCTGCAATCTTTGTCTGTGCAGAGCCTTCACTCTCTCCCGTGACCGAGATCTTGCCGTTGGCTATGGTACTTACCATTACGGCCATCAAGGATGCGCTTGAAGACTATGTAAGTCATTTCTCTCTCCCATACTATTATTAATATTTATGTTTATTTTTTTATTGAAGAATTAATTACCTACTGTTATTGTCCAACTCATTTAACCTTTTTTTTTTTTTTTTTTTTTTTTTTTTTGTATGATAGCGTCGCTACCAACAAGACAAAAGATCGAACAGTCTTGAATGTACATTAGTCAAGGAAGGACAACTCATTCCAATCAAGAGCAAAGATATTTGTCCTGGCGATGTGCTAAAGATCTGTAAGAATGACAAGATTCCCGCAGATGTAGTTCTCTTATCCACATCAATGGATGAAGGAGCTTGTTTTGTAGAAACGTCTGAATTGGATGGTGAAACCAACTTGAAACGGAAAGCAGCTCTGGCATTGACTTCAGGTCTGACTACAAAGGAACAAATCTCCTACTTAACGGGCACTATCACAACAGAAATGCCAAACGAACGCTTGTCTAGATTGGATGGTCGAATCCAGTTGCGATACGATAGTGCAGCGCTGCAGCTGGAGACTCTGCAGTCACAGGAAGGAGTAGGAGGCGGGGGAAGAGGAATGAACGATGAAAAACATAGTTTTGAACGTGGCCGTACATCCCTTAGTAGTGTTCACAGAAGCAATAGTCACAGGGGCGGCACTGGTGCTGGTGTTGGCTCTGGTGCTGGTGCTGGGCGCTTCAAATTGGACGAAATTGCACCAGTGACCATGTCAAATGTGGTGCTTCGAGGATCTTGGCTCAAGAATACAGAATGGGTTTATGGTGTAGTCTTGTATGCAGGCGTGGACACGAAAATGATGCGAAACCTCAAGAACACAGGGCTCAAATTCTCGACTATGGAGACAAAATTGAACCGCATGATTGTAGCGATCTTTGTGTTCAATGCGTTCCTTCTCGTTAGTTCCATGTGTTTTGCATATGTGGGCGAGCGAGCTCGTTTTTTGAATCCTCCAGCAGCCTGGTATACAACTCAGGAAGGATCCGAATTTGTGGAACAGCCGACGAGCGCAAGATTGTTTGTGGGCCAGTTGATGAACTTTTATGTGATCTATACATTTGTGATCCCCATCTCGGTCTTTATCTCTGTAGAATTGTGCCGTGTGGTGCAAGCACTTTGGATGATTTGGGATGAGGAGATGAGGAGCTACACAGAAGGTCCGTTGAGTCAAGCAGAACTGGAAGAGATTGCTCTAGAGCAAGGGGCTTTAGGAACAGGAGCAGCAACAGCAACAGCAAAGACAGCTTCTCAAAAGCCAAAAGCCATGACAAAAGTTACAAGCGACGATAAGGGCCAAAGAGCGCCTTCAACCAGCTTGTGGAAAAAAGGTACACATAAACTGGGTGAAATGTTGCCAGCAAGGCTGAAGAAAAAGAAGAACAAGAAGAAGAAGAACTGGACTCGGATGCATGTCCGGAACTCTAATCTGAATGAAGACCTTGGAGCAGTCGAGTACATCTTTTCGGACAAGACTGGCACATTGACTCGAAACGTAATGAAGCTATCAAAGTGGCATATTGGCGGGCGAACATTCCATGAGCTTCAGCAACCCGGCTCATTAGGACAACGAATGCGAGATCCCTCCATCACTGATGAAGAATATGACTTGCTGATGGCGTTTTGCCGAAACATTGTGGTCTGCCATTCAGTTATACCCTGTGAGGATTCCAAGACTGGAGAGCTCCTGTATGAGGCTCAATCACCTGATGAGTCTGCATTGTTGGAGGCATTGAGGGATAATGGTGTGGTCTTGAAAGCCAAGACCAAAGATTCGGTCACAGTCGAGATCTTTGGTATCGTGACTGAGACCTATCGTGTTTTAAAGGTGTTGGAGTTCACCTCAGATCGCAAGTGTATGTCAGTCATCATTGATACACCTCAAGGGATCCAGTTGTTCTGTAAAGGTGCTGACAATGTGATCTTGGCCCGAGCAGATAATCAAGAGAACGACCCGTTGTTGATGCGACAGTTGGACTCGACAGTTCGAAGATTCTCGATTGCTGGATTACGAACTCTCATGTTGGCATGGCGGCCTCTCAGTCCGGAAGAATACCGTAATTTTGATGAGAAATATTCCAAAGCTGAATGCCACATTGGCGGCACTGGCGAGGGTGAGGATGCGACCGAAGATCGTGAAGAGCTGATCCGAGTAGCTTGTGAGACTATTGAGAGCCGACTTCGATTACTGGGTTGTACTGCGATTGAGGATCGTCTACAGGATCAAGTGCCCGAGACGATCGAGTATCTGATGGAAGCTGATATTAAGATTTGGTTATTAACGGGCGATAAACAAGAGACTGCGATCAACATTGGTATTTCCTCTCGTTTGATCTCGCCTGCCATGAAGATTTTGGTATTAAATGTCAAGACGGAGCGGGACTGTCGGTTGGTACTGGAGTATTTTGTAGAGAAGATCAAGGAACGCGACCGTGATGAGGAACGGTTTTGGCAAGAATATCAGGAGAGTCTGTCATCATCAGCACTGGCTGCAAAGCCTTCAACTCCTCCATCTCCACCGCCAGAGAAGGATCGATACGCGCTTGTAGTTAATGGAGAGAGTCTTGCGTTTGTCCTTGGAAATGAGATCTTTGAAGATATGTTCCTTCGTATTGGAACCAACTGTCACTCGGTAAGCGACTAGAGACTATTGGGCTATCCCGAGCTCTTTTTTTTTTTTTTTTTTTTTTTTTTTTTTGGCTTGATTATTGACATTTCATTTTTCGTTTTTTTCCCCTCTCTTTCTGTATAGGTCATTTGCTGTCGTGTCACGCCTCTCCAAAAGGCACTGGTAGTCAAGCTCGTCCGCAAGGAACTACACAAGGTGACACTAGCAATCGGTGATGGCGCCAATGACATCTCAATGATTCAAGCTGCTCATGTAGGCGTAGGTATCGAGGGTATGGAAGGTGCACAGGCTGCAAGATCATCGGATTTCAGTTTCAAACAATTCAAAAATCTAAGACGTCTCTTGACAATTCATGGGCGATACTCTTATTTGCGGATGAGCAAGATTATCTTTTTCTCATTTTACAAATCAATTTGCCTGATCACGGTTCAATTCTGGTTTGGATTTATGAACGGATGGTCCGGTGGACCGTTGTATGATGAACATTTCTTGACGCTTTGGAACATGGTATTCACAGCTCTTTTGCCCATTGCCACAGCCTGTTTCGAAAAGGATGTGGAGGAAGAGAGCATTGGACAGTACCCAAAGCTTTTCAAGGCTGTTAAAGATGGACTCTACTGGAATACACTCACCATGGCTGGATGGGGTCTTGCCTCACTCTGGCACTCTGGTGGTAAGTTTATATTATATATTTTTTTTTATTATTATTATTATTTTTTTTTTTTTTTTTTTTTTTTTTTTTTTTCAATTCATTATTTGCTAACATATTTTCTTGTCGCTATTCATCTTTTATAGTTCTGTTTGGAGGAATTTACGGCTCGATCATGCATGGGATTGTCAGCGGAGACTCTGTGGCGTTGGATGTTTCCATGGTTAGCTTCATTGCCGGTTCATTGGTCCTGATCACAGTGACACTCAAGATGTTGTTAATGATCTCACATTACACAATGCCAATTATCTTGGCTCTCGGAATTAGTATGGGAGGATATTTACTCGTTTGGATTGGACTTGAAATTGTTGGCTTGATGGAGACCGGAGTCTTTGGAATGCTGCATTCGCTGCCGTTTTATTATTTGGCTCTATTGGTGATACCCGTGGCATGTCTCTTACCGGATTATGCCCTAGAATATTGTCGCCGACAATTCTGGCCTTCGGATGCTGAAATCATTCAAGAGGAACAACGCTTGACCAAGATGAAGAAGGCACAGTTAGTGGCTGATGCTGCCTCTGCTGGTACTACTGGTTTCAGTATCTTTGGGAGGAAGAAAAAGAACAGTGACAAGGATGGGAAGAAGGCAGCTCAGGATTTAGAAGATCAAGAGGCCATTATGGAGACGGATCTGGATCGCGAGCGAGAAAAGATACGCCGTCTCCGTCATCAGAGACAAGGAGAAGAAGAGACTGAGACGGAGACGGAGAATGATGAAGATGATGAAGAGGAGGATAGAGAAGGAAGAATGCAAGGTGTGGATGTTCAAGTGTACAATGCGGATGAGAAAAGTTCGTTTGGCACGGGCGTTGGACACAAGTTTTGATCCTTTAATTTATTTAATTTTTGATGATGTATTTTTTTTGTGTATTTTTACTTTTACCAATTTTACCATCATAAACTCTTGTAAAAAAAAAAAACCTGTGTATTGTTTTGGCTTTTTTTTTTTTTTTTTTTTTTTACGCATTCTGCTTCTCAAACTCTTTCAAAAAGTCAATCAAGACATCCACTCCTTCCTCTGGCATGGCATTATAGATCGAAGCACGGATGCCTCCAACAGAACGATGTCCTGCCAATTGCAATAAACCCTTGGCTTCAGCTTGAGCAACAAAAGCAGCCTCCAAAGCCTCATCCTTTTTCTTATCCGAAACTGCATGAGGATCCAGCTTGTCTGCAGTCGATATCCTAAAAGGTACATTCATCTTTGAACGACTCTTCTCATCCGTGACCACGATCCGATACAACTTGGACTCTTGTAAAGCCTTATACAACTTTCCAGCCTTGCGAGCATTCCTGGCAGCGGCTGCTTGCACGCCCACCAAATCCTGTTGGATCGACTTGTCGGCTTCTTTTTCTCCGTCCTGAATCCTTTGGGCTTTAGGATCTAATAACCATTCAAAGACCAAGCTTGACATATAGATTGCAAACATGGGAGGGGTATTGTACAACGAATTATTTTTGACCATGGTCTTGTAATCCAACATCAGGGGTACAGGCGAAAGACCATCCTTCTCTTCACTGGTCTGCAACAGATCGTCCCGAATGATAACTACAGAAACACCAGCGGGCCCAATGTTCTTTTGAGCGCCTGCATAAATCACTCCGAACTTGGACACATCGACAGGTCGTGATAGAATGTTGGAGGACATGTCACAGACAAGGGGCACTTCCGGATCATGCATCGATGGAACAAATGAAAATTCGACTCCATTGACGGTCTCGTTATCACAATAGTAAAGATAGGCTGGAGTCTGGCCTGCTTCCTTGTCGGCCTTGCGGGTAGGGCCCTCGGGATCAGAGGTCAACCAGGTCTCTTCTGCTGGGATCCCAGTGAAGGCACCCAGACTCTTTTTGGCATCGCAGATCACTCGAGCGTTCGCTCCCAATCGTTTGGCCTCCTCTACAGCCTTGGCTGACCAAGCACCGGTGACGATATAGTCCACTGGAATATCCTTCCAATGATCACTAGTGGGTTTATTGTTTGTTTTTGCTTTGTTTTGATGATGTCTCCATGCGATCAGATTATAGACCACGGCCGCAAATTGAGTATGTCCACCTCCTTGCATAAACAGAATCTTGTAATTCTCTGGAATCGATAATAACTGACGAAGTTGTTGTTGAGCTCGGTTATTGAGGTTTTCATAGGTCTCTGAACGATGTGAGAGCTCCATCAAGGAAACACCGGTGTCCTCATAGTTGAGGAACTCGGCTTGAGCGCGTTCAAGAACTGGGCGTGGGATCATGGCGGGCCCTGCACCAAAGTTCCATTTTTGAGGAATTGTCGACATTTTTTTTTTTGTAATTGTTGTTACTGAATGAGAAGAAAGAAAGAAATTGAGAAGAAGAAGAAAAAAAAAAAAAAAAAAAAAAAAAGGGAGAGAGAGGAAGAGAGGGAATGAAGAACGGTCTCTGTTTTTATGTGCAATGGTAATTGATATTGGTTTTTTTTTTTTTTTTTTTTTTTTTTTGCTAACTTTCAATAGTTTGATGTCAACAAAGCACTGATGACAGATCACTTTTTTTTAGTAAGAGATAAGAGAAATCGAATGAATCATTTTCGCTCACCTGCCTCTTTTGGATAATGCGGGGTGTCTTTTTTTTTTTTTCTTTCTCCGACAGAGAACAAAAGAAAGCAGTTTGATGACTCGCATTTTGATTTAAAGGATCAAAAAATCTAATTTGTTTCTTATTCTTCTTTCTCTTTAACTCTCACTCGCCATACTTACTCATATGAACTCATTCAAACGCATGCATTACGTGCATCTTTCTCCAGTCACTGCTTCACTGATTCAAGCCTTTTATCACTTTGACTTTTTTTTTTTTTTTTTTTTTTTTTTCAATCATTAACAGGGTTATCCTGACTAATTTGCAATGCCTTTCTTTTTCGAAGCTTAAACATGGTAAACTAATTGAAATCTTTCTTGGAGTGATTATTATAACCGCAATCGTTTTTATTATGTTGGTAAGGGCACTGTTTTGTTTTACAGCTTAAAAATAAAAGTAAAAGTCGCCAATAAGGAATATAAAAAAAAAAAAAAAAAAAGAATTGTCAATAGTTTCTACATGAAATACAGATAAACCGAAAGAATGAAAGTGAATGAAAGAAAGGGAAAAAATAACAATAATAATAAAACACCATCAGCATACACAGATGAGGCGATCAATGCCCTTGTACTCCGCTCCGTTATGCATGATAAAATATAAAGTAAAAGTTAAAAAAAAAGATGGGGAAAATAATTTTTTGCAATGCTGTTTGAACAATTGGCGACCAATATTTGAATGTTGGGAATCTTCGCTTTTTATCGTGCTCGTCGCTTAGCTCGCGTTGAAACAGTTGATTCCGTATTATCGACCGATGCTGCTGCTGATGCTGTATTAGCTCGCTTCTTCTCTAGATGGCTCGTATTGTAGCTTCCTCGGCTCGAGCGAGATACTGCTGCAGTTACTGCTGCAGCTGCGGCCGTAGCCGCTGATCGACGAGTCGTTGCCGAGATATTAGACGTCAAGATTGCAGATGAAGGCGTGGAGCCTTGGTATGGAGGTATTGATGATCCTGAAGTCGTTGATGACGTCATAGTTGTCGAGCCAACTTTACTTGAGGCATTTGATTTATTGCTGCCATTGGTACCATTGACATTGCCAGCTCCCATGCCGTCACTGTTTGCTCCATTAGGATAATCTCTCTTGGGAGGAGCAGGCGAGTTTCTCTTTTTTGGCTTCTCCTCTAAATGGTGATGGTGATGCCGATGTGAATGATACTGCGGAGATGATCGTGTTGCTCGACGGCCCTTTGGCGTGTAATCGGAGTTTTTTACAATCTCTTTCAACCTTCGATGTTCTTGCTTCAACTTTAGTAGGTGGTCCATAATGGTTTCATAGAATGCCTCACGTTCTTTGGATCCGATCGCCAGCGTCGGAAGCACATGTTGAAAGTTGTATTTTATTTCGCGACGCTCCCGCTCCAGTGGTTGGAGCAGACCATTGCTGGAAGAGCCTATCTCTGGTGATTCTTCCTCAAGGCCTATTGAGGACGGTGATGACGAGGAGGAGGATGTTTCAGATAAGGACATAAGAGTTAATTGCGGTAAAGATGAGGAGGATTGTTCGCAATCCTGGTGCTTTATTTTGCTGTCGTCTCTGAGCTCCCCTGGCGCATCCACGTCCATCGCCGTCGAGTCATCTTCTGTTTTCTGTATCGTGCCACTTTGCCCCTTTTGCTCTACATCCCCGGCTGATGATTTAACATCATTTTCATCCTTTTGAGGCGTCTCCCCATTATCAACGACCTCCTCCTTCATAGGGGTGTCTGTAGGACTCGCTTTATCCGATAGGACAGAGGGGGATGGAACAGTAACACCCATTGCGCTCTTAGGAGTGGATCGTTGTCTTGTCATACGCTGAGTTTGTAATCGTACGGGTCCTGTTGCCTCTTGAGGTGACTCTACGAGCTCTTCACTGTTTGGGCTTTGGCTTTGCTGGCCGGGATCTGATGACTTTGAGTTTCGAGAAGAGTGCCGGGTCGATCGAGGGGATGGAGAAGGTTCTGCAGATCCCTGCCTAGACGAACGGTTGGAAGCAGAGGTTACACCATCTTGCGTGGTATTTTGAGGGTAAATCAGTACAGATGGACCCCCTGTCATCTTTCGTTTCTTGTGAGCAGCTCCATGTGTGGATGTTTCAGAAGATGCAGCCATTCCTGGTATGGAGGTCGGTGGCACTGTCGTTGTGTTGGAGTTAGGAGAAGACGATGAAAATGACTGTTCGCTGACGTTTCTGGATCGCTTGTTCATCGTTTCCTTTTCAGTAGAAGCTACGCTAGCCTTGCTGTCAGTGTCCCTACTGCCTCGACGGGAACGTGACCGGCTCGGTGAAGGCGTGATGGGATTATCCTTTTTCAAGGTTCCATCCACCTTGGCCCTCGTTGAACGGGGACTGAACTCTGTTTCATCCATGGACTCTGTTGGCAGATCGTTGAGACTAACAGGCGAAGGGAGCAGGCCTTCTATCAACTGAGATGTCGCTCCAGCATTTGACCGCTGCAAACCGTTCTTCAGATTACCACCGTTGCTAATAATTGCTGATATTGACGATGATATTGAAGAAGATGAAGTCCTAGGGCTGTCATTCTCGCTATCTGTGAAGTTTTTGGCCGAGGTCGTAGGTGAAGATGCCTCTGAAGAAGAGATACCGCTACTAGGACCACGCTGCATAGTTTGCTGCATGTCATTGAATGCCTCATCGGTGACCAAAGGCAGTGAGATGGGTTTGTTGTGCTTGAGCATATCAAGACTAAGCTCCTGATCTTGTGCTGTACCCCAGCGATACCAAGAGAATTTGCGCTTGACCTTACCGGATTCGAGATAAGCCATTGCATTGACCACGCCACCATTCTTGAGGAACTTTTGACCAGCCGCAAGCTCAAATTCGAGGAATGGGATGGTTGTTGGGACGAATGGTTGTAGATCGGTGAAAGGTACGACAGAGTACTTGTTGTCCTCAAAGTATTTGACTAGACATTCGCCCGGGTTCAAGACCGTGCAATCCATTGATGAATCGATCTCTGGAACAGGAACGATCTATCCAATCCGTGTGACACAGCGATGATAATTGAGAGAGAGAGAAGAGAGAATGGGAAAAGAGCAGAACAAGAACGTGCGATCATAGGATCGTTAGAATCGTAAAAGATCCATCTTCACACAGACGCACACACACAATAAAGACTTTTGTGTACATGAAAGACAATGGCTGTTTGTGCATTTCACATGGTGTAAAGCATTTACCATTGCGGGCCACCAGTAACTTTCCTTGTCATCTACATTACAGAGAGAGAGAGGACACGAATAAACTTTTAGCCCTTTGCCCACTATTATTTGCAATGTTTTTACTGTATTGCCCGTTGTCCCGTTCTTTCCACTGCATGCAAATGTTATTTATTTTATTTTTTGTGTCCCATGTTCTGTGTCTGTGTGTGTTGTGCCACTTTTTCCTTGATGGTGGTGTCTGTGTCAGTCTTTGAGGGGCCAAGGTAGACCCCTCTTGTCTTTCTCTTTCTGGACCTGCTACAATTCACACGAGAGAGAGAGAGAGACAAGAGGCAATGCGCCATCCAATCCAAACGAATCTCACATAACACAAATGACTTAAACATGGATTCCATCCCCTTCCGGCTTTTTTCTCTTGTTTAATGATCACTTACCGAGTGGATCAACAAATACAACATCTCGGCCTCTGAAGACTGGGCCAGGTCTGGTACTCGTAGATGCACTTCCTGCACTTTGCTTTCGATTTGACGCTGCTCGAGTCATGGATGGCGACCCCGTCTTCCAGACCTTATTTTATCTTGTTTAATGTTGTAATACTTTAAATAATAAAAAAAAAAAAAAATTGAGCAAAGCGCTTGTCCCTTTTTTTTTTGTACTGAACTTGACTGGGAGGGCGGACCAAGTAAAGATGATTGGCGGTAATGAGCAAATTCAGCCAATTTTGAAGTGTGCAATAGCAGATTGACTGTCTTGTGTACAAGCCTTTTTATTGTCGTTGCTGCTGCTGTCGTTATTGTAATGGTGGATGAGTGGCGTCGAGTGCCGAATGTTTCAATGACGGTACCAACAGAGAGATACAAACGGATCCTCTTTTTATGGCCCTCTTTAATTTGCTTGTAAGACGGATATAAAACAGGTCACTTGCAGTTCTGATGAGAGGCCGAACAGATGACAAGAGTAAACCGTTACCGTCTTCTGTTTGTAAAACTTCTATTGCCTTCCTGTCGGTGAGATAGAGATGAGCTTTATATGCACATATAACAATTTCACAAGGATAAGTTCTTGTCTGTTGCTGTTGTTCTATTGATCAGACAAGTCAAAGTGTAGAATAAGGACAGGGAGTGTTGAAAAAAAAAAAAAAAAAAAAAAAAAAAAAAAGAGTATTAGACAGCCTTGCATTGGATCGTGAAGAAAGAGCGGGAGTTTGCACACTGATATGAATGGGTGGATGGGTAAAATAGACGAAAGGAAGAGAAGGAAAGGAAGGGCCCATGCCACAAGGCTCTTTTTTGGTGATTTGATCTCGTTGGTGCCACAGTATGAACGCCGCCCCCAGACCCAAGATGCATGGTGACAGAAGCGCTACCATGACTGGTGGCGCCTTGATGATCCTCTTCATTTTTTTTTTTTTTTTTCTTTTTCATTCCTTTAATCCTTCATGAGAAATTTGATCTAAGAGTGTTGATCAGATCTTCGGTTGAGTGTGATAATGACAGAGGGGCATTAGTACCAATATTGACATTGTGCACATGCTAAAAAAGCTAGTCAAAGTGAGCAGAGCGTCCGCTTGTTCTCCTGGCCTACAAATAGGTCCACGGTAACAGTATCCAAGGTGAAGAGTATGATGACGGCCAAGAGCCAGCGGTCATGACATCAATCTTTCTCCCTTCACCTAGCCAACTTTTTCCCAGTAGAAGAACCAGCCTGCTTTTACGAGGGACAAAAAAAAAAAAAAAAAAGACCCATTGCTGTCCTTCCATGAGTCCTTCATTCTTCGGACATGGCTTTTTTTTTTTAAAAAAAAAAAACTACACAACCAAGACCGCACCAGCCTGGAAGAACCACCAGGAACTATGGTGGAAGGAGGATCCAGTGCAGACTGAGGGGGAGGGCTTTCGTTCTCCCTTGCTTTGCCCCCTCCAACGTTGCTTAAACACATGGCAATGACACGGCAAGGCGAATGGATAGTGTGGCACACAAACACACCCGCGAAAATAATAAAACTTACGATGTAAGAAAGAGAAAGATAAAAAAAAAAAAAGAATAAAGGATGGAGTAGTTAAAAAGAAGAGTTGCTATTCTTTGTAGAATGAGCCTCAATGACATTCAGTAAATGGAATGAGAAAGAGAAAGAAAGTGAGAAAGAGCGAAAAGCGAAGGAAAGGAAGAAAAGAGAGAAAAGAGACACAGACACGAAAAAAAGGGACAGATTTGTGCATGCGTTTGTTGAAATTTTTTTTATTTGCATCCACAACACACAGTAATCGATCAGAAACAGAATGAACTTATTTAAACCTAAGTTGTTTAAATACAGCTTTTACCTACTCTCCAATTACTTTTTTTTTTTTTTTTTTTTTTTTTTGCAGTAGAGAAAGGATAGAGAGTCTGCAGAAGGAAAGCAAATAGAAAAAGAAAAAAAAAAAAAGTATGCAAAGAGAAGACCGAGAGAATGAAGGATGTGGATTGAATTTGGGGGGGAAAAGGAGGCAAGGGAAGTCCCTATGTTTGCAAAGTAAGGGTGATACAACCTGTCTGTCATCATCCACAGCAGCTTTTTTCGATTGCGTTGCGGAATGAACAGCAATCTCTTTATTATTTTTATCCTTCACTTTCTTCACTCCTCTTTTCTCTTTCTCTTTCTTTTTTTTCTTTTTTCACATCCCACATTGGTCTTCAATGGGTGATGTGTGATCGTCAGTGCATCCGAAACAAGGGACTGCTATTAAATTGGAATTGTTCTTTTTTAATACATCATATGTCTGCGCTCTCAATTGAACAGCTTAAATAGCTCAAACCCATTCATCCATTAGCTACTTGTTAATATTTGATATTTTTATGCATGAATAATAATGATACCCAGTATGGAGCAAAAAAAAAAAAAATTACAGTAATAAAAAAGCAAAAGTAAGGTAGAAGCTCAATGCCTCCTTGCCCTTGCAAGCAAGGATAGAAACCGTATCATCGATCTGTATAAAAAAAACAAAAATAAAATAAAATAAAATAAAATAAAATAAACAAATACAAATAAAATAGAAAAATAAATAGAAACAAATTTATGATCCGTTTGCCTTTTGGTCATTGAAGAAATATAGTAGACAAACCATTGGCATATAAAAATATGATAAAATACATGTTGAGCAAAGGCACGGATCCTAAAGATGCGCACTCATTGACATTGACATTGTTAAAGAGGATTTAAAGCATAGTTTGTCAACACATGGGAACACAAAGCCCTTTCTCCCACACACACACACTAAAATGCTGAATATTTATATATTTTTTATATTTAAATGTATATATTTTTATATATTTTGTCCCGCCACCCGGTGGTCCACTCTTTTTTCCATAATCACATTCATCTTTATATTATTGCTATCCAACCCGAGTATACTATCCACTTCTAGTGTGTATTTATGCTCACGGACCAATCATAATCAGGATCTTTCCTACTTGTTTCCCTTCCACAGGCAATTACTCTGGCATGTAGAAATGATACTCCCCAATGTTATATATATATATACAATGCTGTGTATTAGTTTCCTAGTATTTTGTGCCTGACATGGCAGCATAGCCATCCTTTAATTAATTTACATGTTCATGTATTTATTTTGTTTTTATTTTCTATAAATCTTGAGCGAGTTATAAAATGAATATAGCTCCATAAATGTCTTTATAGTTAATCTGGATCAGTATTTCCTTAACTTTGAACATCGGGTCTGATGCAACTAAACATCACATCTTGGGCTTTTGCTTTTTTTTTTTTTTTTTTTTCCCAAGGTGTCCTGTCCTCTCCTCGAATTTGTGTGTGCCTGAAATAAAGGCTGAAGGCCGATCAATTAAAAAAAAAATTTCTGAGAGATTGCAGATCACATGACTACTAAATGTGAAAGAGAGCTTTTCAGTTTAAGATCAGTTGTGCTCAGCGCAAATGTGTTTCTCCCTTTTTCAGAATCGTAAGAATCGAACATGAAATAGAAGCGAGCTGAGTGCGTGGAGGAGGAACACCATTCATCCATCGATCTATCTATCTATCAATCGATTTAAAATGATGGATCCACCCTGTTCATCTGAACAAGACAAAAATCAAGAAGACGAAGAAAATCATGATTGCTAATATCATTCTCCCTATTTCTTATTTTTTTTTTTTTATTTTTATTTTTTTTTCAATTACAATTATAACGAACCTGATCTAATGCAATGGAATCTGGATTATTTATTATGTGCACACGGCGAACATTTGATCCAACAACTTCATATACTATATGGAAATGGAACTCATTTGGATGACATCTTAAACCATGGATATTATGATTTCTCTGACATCATGGATTTATGGATTTCTATACGACAATAACAAAAAAATCACATCTACCAACATGAATCTAAAAACATTAATCAACCATCATTGGGGAAATAACAGAACAATATGGCCAGCCACAAGATTGCCAAGAACGGCCCTGCTGATGAGATCGAGCTCTCTGTTGCTCAAGCTCTCTTTGACTTGGAGAACAACGTCGCTGACTTGAAGAAGGATCTCAAGCCTCTTCAGATCGCCAGTGCCAAGGAGGTGAGTAGTTTTTAAAAAAAAAAAAAAAAAAAAAAAAAGTGTATGGATGTTCTGAACTTTTCGGGAACAACAATAGCATCAGGATGAAACGATGATTCAAAAAAAAAAAAAAAAAAAAAAAAAAGCGACTACTTCAATTACACGGAATTCCTCCATGTCGGACCTTTGATCATCCAAAGGACCTTTCTGTAATAATTCGTGAGCACAGGAATTTTATTAGTATATGTATCAGGAATTGCGGAAGCAGTTTTGACCGTTTAACATATTTGGAACTGGATATCCAATAAACTTTTCATCAAGACCCTCTGAAAATATATAAAGGAATGAGAAATAAGAACTTTCCTTGGGGTATCCTTACTGGAATGATGCTCAAACAACGATTACAACCAACTGTTTCAACAAACAACGGCCAGGCGCAACCAAATCCAACTTTGATGGAATACAAAATCTGATTAAATTTTTTATTTTCCTTCGTGTGTTCAAGGTCGAGACCGGTAACGGTAAGAAGGCTATCGTTGTCTTCGTCCCCGTTCCCCAGTTGAAGGCTTTCCACAAGGTCCAGCAGAGGTATGAAAATAATACGGAGAAATATAAATACAATGAAGGATGAGGATAAGATATATTCTAATATTTCAATTTTTTTTTTTATTTTCATTTATTTTTAACAGACTCACTCGCGAGCTCGAGAAGAAGTTCTCTGATCGCCACGTCGTCTTTGTTGCCCAGCGCCGCATCATGGCCAAGCCTACCCGCAAATCCCGTGCCAAGCAGCAGCGCCCCCGCTCCCGCACCCTCACCTCTGTCCACGAGAAGTTGTTGGAGGACTTGGTTTACCCCACCGAGATCACCGGCAAGCGCACTCGTGTCCAGACTGACCAGCGCCGCATCATCAAGGCGTAAGTTTATTTTTTTTTTTTTGCTGTTCAAGTTGATGTTTTAGTTGGAGCGTTCATTCTGTTATGTATGTAAACATACTTAGGTTTTTAATTTTCTTTCCTTGTAATAGCTTCCTTGATCCCAAGGATTCGACCTCTTTGGAGTACAAGCTCGACACCTTCAGCGCTATTTACAAACGCTTGACCGGAAAGGAGGTCGTCTTTGAGTTCCCCGCTCACCACGCCGAGTAAATACAAAAAAAAAAAACACAAAGCGCGCGGGAGGAAAGGCCATGGGCCATTTTAATGGCAGTCATTTTTCTCTCAATCTCTTTTCACTCCGTTTGAGAAAGTCAGAAAATGAAAAATAAATAATAAAAAAAAAAAAAAAAAAAAAAAAAAAGTAGCTTATTCCTATTGTATTGCTTTTATTGCTATTATCGTTTTATTTGTCCTTGAGATTAGTTGTAAATTATGAAGCGAACTTGTTTGATAGATAACCTTGATGAAATCCGGATCCAGATCCTGAGTTTCTTTTCTTTCTTTTTTTTTTTTTTTACTACTGTTCCTTATTTCAGTCTCTGTTGTCGCTGATGTTCACGGTAGTCATCAAGGTAGCTGCTCTTCACCCGCGACTTCCCTTTCCCACTAGGCTGCTGCAGTTGCTGTACTGCTAAATGACCATGCTCGTCAAATGCTTCCTCCGAAACCGCGTCTAAAAGCCGAAAACTTGGCAAGCTACCGACCACAGGCCCTGGTCCCTCAATCGAGCTTCGAAAAGCACGTGAGGTCGTAAGGCCTTCAAATATGGCTGCACCGTTCCGAAGGCCTACTCCAGTTTCAGCACCACTAATACCATTCCCTATATTTCTTTGAGGAGGTAATACTATGATAGATGCTGGAAATGGTGAGAGGCCATTGCGACCATCAGCGCCTTCCTCTACGGATTCGTAAATCTCGGAGGATTTAGCTCCGCTATATCCCACTCCTCTAAGTGTGGCATGATCGTATCCTCCAATGGGGCTTGTAGGCTGAGAAAGTGGCTGATAAAAGATATCATCATTAGATGTGTCTGTTACAGAACTGGCTGTAGAAGTGGAAGCTAGGACAGAACGATCATCACCTGGAGGTTCAGATGGGGATAGGTTTCGTTGTTGACCTGGAGACACTGGACGATTGAGCTGATGTTCATGAGATAAAGGTAAATGTGGTGGTGCCGGAGCAAGGGCCGTTGATGTCACTGCTGTTAAAAGATCTGGACTGATGCTATTTTTTTCGTTCTCAATCGCGCAGGAAGGGTCTTGGAATCCATCAATACTCACGTCTGGAACCATACTTTCCGTGTAGGGAGCCTCTATCACTGTTTTTGTTGTATCCGGCGTACGATCAGCACCATCTCCCCCTTCAACTCCAGTATCAAGATCTGCCATAGTAGTTTGACTTTCTGTTGGCGTGATAGTTGGTTTGACTCCATGGTCTATTCTTGATGTGCTCGGGCCAGGGTGTCCATTTTCTATAATAACAAGGATAAATTTCATGTTAATCATCCATCCTCCCTTTTTTTTTTTTTTTTCTTTTTCTTTTAAAATACCAACGTAGGCGGAACATCCTTACCTGCACTCCAAAGATATGAGCCAGAGTCCATAGACTCTGTGTCTGCACTATGAAACACCTCCTGCGTAACAGTTGGTGTACTACCTTTCTCTAAATCTCTGTCGTCGGCTCCTTCAGGAATAGCCCCTTCTTTTTCATTTTCGCCTTCTCCCGCTTCTCCTGCAGCCGCAGCAGCCTCAGCTCTATTTTTCTTTTGTTCAGCCTTCTTTTTCTTTTGGGACATGTAGTAACTTGCTGCAACGCCCAAAAGGGATATGGTGGCGATGGTGATACCAAGGGAAATCAGAACAATTTGAGTTGTGTTACACATCTCATTCTGGTCACGTCCAGTTGAAGATCCATCTACGGATGTTGACGCCGAAGTATCGTCTTGGATCAATGCTACTGTTGACATTTTTTTTTTTTTTTTTTTTTTTTTTTGTGATCTCTGTAGGTTATTATGATATGTTTATAATAAACAGACAAGAGTTAACTTTTGATACTATAAAGCAAAAATGAGAAGGATACTGATGAAGGAAAGAAAAAGGAAAGAAAAAGGAAAGAAAAAAGTAGGGAAAAGGAAAAGAAAGATATGTAGACAATGCGAAAAAAAAAAAAAAAAAAAAAAAAAAAAAGGCAACAGATGTCCTCTTTTGGTGAATCAAGTAGAATTACAAAAAGAAAAAGGTGAAATGATGCGATTATTTATTAGATCCAGCAAAAGGGATAACATTGAATGTCTATGAAAATAGGAAGAGGAGGCTATGGGTGCCAGCAGGGTTGTGGGATCTTACACTCTTTTTTCTTTTCCGCCATGGGCTGCTGAGAATATATGACAGGCCATGAAGCGAAAGATATTTTTATTTCTTTGTCTGTGTTCTCTTTATTTGGACTTGGCACGCGAAGTAGGCTAGTATCAAGGGCTTCATTAACAGGAGAAGAAGAGGATAATAAAAAAGAAAATATAATAGCGGATCAGAAACGGGCTTTAGTCCTTTTAGTCGTAAAGGGGAAGGGAAGCCATTGGAAAGCTGGCTCCTGCAGACAATGCCAAGAAATTCTACCGGCTATCGATATCACTAAAGCCAGTCCCAATAATAACAAAAGCAATAAATAATAAAGCATCCTCGAAGTGAACATGTTGGACGTAGGTTAGATTCAGGAGCATGAAAACGTTCAAGAAAAGAAACTTTTATATCTCAATACATGGAGCAGTTGTGCCCCAATAGAGAATCTATACCACCACGCGCCAAGGTTGTTGATAGTAGAGTTGTTGGCCTTCATTTGATTGGTCCGGGAAGAATTGACAAACAGACAGACAGACGGACAGATGTGACAGATGGAGAGCACACACAACTAAACACAGACCATGCACGGAGTTCGAGATGGGAAGACAGAAAGAAGCTAAAAGTGTATTTGTTCCGCTAGATTAATATTCACAGACACAGAAGGACAGGTACGATTCTCACATCGCTCTCATTGTATGGTAGGACATGAGATAGAGTTGGCCCATTTCTGTCTATCATTGAATTTCTGTCTCTTTGTCTCCTCTCCCCTTTCGGCGTCTTTCTGTCTATTGCTTCTGTTGCTCATCTCTCTCTCTGTTGTAATGTGGCCCCTGCCCTTGTCTGTCGATCCAATTGAGTAACACGCCTCCTCCTCATTACTCACTCGCAGCTGCACAGCTTTCTCTGTTATGCTCTCTATCTCTCTCAATGTGGGGTTAAACTTTTTTTTTGTTCACACGGACAGAATCTCTTAATTACAGAAAAAGGCACATCTTTTTGTATACAATGATATCGCACAATGTGAAGGGGGTTTTTTTTTTTATTATTATTATCAATCATTACATTTTACTAATTCATGGAATATACAGTAAACTGGACAGAATACTATTTGCGGATTAAATTGGGTGAATAAATATTTTTATATACACTAATAATAATAGTAATAATAAAAAAAAGCATTTGTCGAGACCATGCAATATCCTAATCCTTTGGAAGGCATCCGTGATACATCTTTTTCTTTGTCTCTTTTCCATCGATAAATGATGTTCCAGACAGGATAATGGACTGTTGCCACCATCAGCATGATTTGTAACCTTTTGAGTCAAAGACGAAACACCATGAAAAAGCATCTGACGCCGCTTAATGTTACACGTAGTCCACAAACAAACCCAACTTTTTTTGTTTTTGTTTACAGCATGAAATTGTTTAGCCATACTTTTTTTTTTTTATTTTTTTTTGCGAAACGACACGATATGGACATTGGATCCCCAGACTTGGAAATATCTTTTTACTGTTACTTTCTGGTGGTTATTTTATATGAATGAGAATTGAAAGCTCTTTCATTTACGAGCTACATTAAAAAACAAAAAAATAAAAAAAAAATAGACAGATATATATATATATATATACCTTCTCCTCTTTTTCTCTTTTCTTGGATCCTATTAAAGCTTTCAAAATAAAAAAATAAAATAAAATAAAGGGGGCAAAAAAAGAAAAGGAGCAAGCAAGCTTTCATTTAGTGATAAACAGAAGGGTCAAAAGAGCTACAAGTATTCCGTTTCTCTCCCGCTCGGGAGTATGACTCGCGGAAAAAAAAAGAAAAAAAAAAAAAAGGAAAACTCTGACTAAGACGAGACATGGCATTTAATGATGGAGAAGATGGTGGTTGGTGGAGCGACCGGTACAATGATATCGCTGTGCAGACTTTGCTCATAAGTGCGCTATGGCTGCATATTACAGTTCTGAATAGGGTCCAGATCCAGGTCCTGGGCAAAAAGCCAAAGTAACAGGTTCATAGTTAGACCGAGTTTTTTTTTTTTTTCTTCATGTGGAATGGTGAAAGTAGGCTGTCTTTTTTTTTTTTTATCCCAAAGTAGCGGAGCCGCCCTTTTTGTCCCATTATTTTTGTACCCGCACCAGCCAGCAGCTCCTCGTTTCCCGCAACAAAAGCGGATTGAGTTGGATTGAAATGTATACGATACATACGATACCAATTGAGTCAAGACACTCTTTATTGTTTGCATTGGAAGGTTCGTTTTTTTTGGTTTTTTTTTTTTTTTCGAGTTTCGTTTGCATGGGTGTCCCTTTTGCCTTTTTCTTTTGTCCTCGCTTCTGTGTCTGTTTCCTTTTCTCTCTCTCTCTCTCTCTCTCTCTCTCTCTCTCTCTCTCTTCTATCTCTCTTTCTTCTGTCTGTCTGTCTGTTGCTTCTGTTTCCCTCTTTCTCTTCTCTGACTTCCTTGCTTGTCCCTATTTGTGGTGAGTTATTTATCAATCAATCACCTAATTGTTTAGTTCAATACCCTTCTGAATCTATCCTTATCCACTTCAATGTATGTTTGAGGGTGCTGACAAAGACGCCAATCATTGATACATTCACGCACATTTAACATTCACTTTTGATGATGTCTCTCCAAGCAAAGCGCAATGAACGTGTCGTGCATGGACGTCCATCTATCTCATCCATCCTACAGAGAACAACACACAAAAGCACAAACACACACATATACACACACAGAGAACAAAAACACACAATTCTCTCCTACATTCACACGCATTTGGCGCGTTAGTGCTCTGTTTTTCGTTGCCTCATCTTTTGTCCTCCCCCCCCCCCTCTCGTCTTTATCTCCTTCTTCCCTGTCTTTTATCTAGCCGTTAGACTTTCTCATTTTCACTCTTCATCTCGTTCATTTGGTTTGCTTTGTCTCATAAAAAAAAAAACTTTTACAAAACTGTTGGTGCGTTTGGATCATCAATTATTTTTGTCAATCTATCTTGCACTGTTAGTCATCCTGGGTTTCTCGTATTTACTCGGACCCACACCAAACACTTCTCGATTACTCCTGTCCAAAATACAAGTACATGTACCTTTTTTTTTTTTATTTTGTTCTTTTTCTTTTCTTCGAACATTCTTCACTCTTTGAATCTCGGCCATAACTAACTCTATTATCTATTTCTCGTTCCTAAGCAGTTGTTTTGCAACATGATGTTTTCGACTGACCAAAAAAAAAAAAAAAAAAAAAAAAAAAAACTTGATTGATGCATAAATATTTTTCAATGACCTGACCCAACTTTTCCCCCTATCCTTCATTGATAATAAAATATTATAAAAAAAAAGAAAGGGATTATTTTTTCCTTTTATTAATAATTGATTGCATCCCATGCCCTACGCCTTTTTTTTGTTTTTTTTATTTTTTTATATTCATAACATGGCATATTGTATAAATGACATTAAGAGGACGAAGATCTTTATTCTGTGAAAACGTGGATTAATTAAGGAACATCAAGGTTGCTAACTACGATCTCCTTCTTTCTTATCTACTATTACATTTACTATTACAGAACAGAAAGAATAGGTGTTACACCCAGATCAACACAACACAGGACTTTTTTTTTTTTTAAAAAAAAAAAATCGAGAGCATTCATCATCATCATCAACCTTATAAAAAAAATCGTCCCAACAGCCCGACATCAACCAGCTCTTCCTCTTCCTTCTCGTCATTGACTCCTTCTCTCAGTTTTGTAAGTGTAAAAAAAAAAAAAAAAAAAAATAGAAGTTGGGAATCAGATTTATTTTATTTTATTTTATTTTTTTTTATTGGGAAGAGCTCTTTTTTTTTTTTTTTTTTTTTTTTTTTTTCGTATTTTCTCATACTAGTAAAGGAAGAAAGATGAAACAGAACATGAATGACAAGGTGTTGATGATAAAAGGATCAAGGATGATTATCTTTATTATTATTATTATTTTCTTTTCTTTTTCTTGTCCTTTTTCTATCCTTCATGTTCTATTACTCGCTTCGTTCGATCAGCATCAGTTTTTATTTAAAAAAAACAAGGACCTCACTTCTGACTGACTGTTGATGTTCTTTATCAAAGAAAACAAAGCTTATTGACTTTGATTGGCTCGGGATCACCTCATCTTTTTAATATTTTTTTTGTTGAAAAGGAGTAATGGTATGTTTGATTATAATATGATTTTCAACGACGATCATTCAAATCTACACAGGCTGAGGACAAGTTTCAAAAACGTTTGACATCAAGCTTGTTTCCCCTGTTTAAAGTATTGTTCCACGAGCGCCCTTGGATCTCTGTTTGAGAGATTGATTTTTTTTTTTCTCACTGTGTCCTTCCTGGGTGCCCTTTTTATTTTTTTTGCCACTGGGATAATTTTTTTTTTGTTTTGATTTGTTTACATTTTGTATTTATTACGCCCAATGAAAAAGCAGGCGCTTAAATAAGTTAAAAAAAAAATGCGCTTACGCTTGCTCTGTTTATGGAAAAATAAGTATTTTGTGACCACATCATGCCCAGCGGACCAGAAAAAAAAAACAAGGGAACCAGCCATGGATTGATATCTGCATTATCTGCAGGCAATGCTAGTGCAAGGGTCGTAAAACAATTTTCTCTATTGCAACAAGTTGGAAGGAGTGAAAAGAAGAGAGGGTAATAAAGAGAGACAATATCCACAGGAGATAACAGTGAGGCAGGGACTGAGGGAGAGAGAGGCTTGGCTCAAGAAAGAAGTAAAACGAGAATTCTTGTCATTTTTTCTTTTCTTTTCTTTTCTTTTTTTTTACTTTTCTTCTCCCAGGAGATGGTTCCTGAATCAAATCTTGAAGTTGTCTGTCTTTTCTCATCATGATCCTTATTGAGTGCTGATATCCATTTCAGCGGTATCCGTGAGAGTAACAAAGAAAGACAGTACAAAATAGACGTATTTAGTGCGGATTTTTTTTTTTTTTTTTTTTTTTTTTTACCCCCGTGAGAACTAGGGATGAGGATTTGACATTCTATCCATTTCTTTATTTATTGTTATTCCGATTCATAGTCCCCATCTTCTTTGACCTTAATACCTTTCTTTTCTTTTTTTCCCTTTTTCTCTTTTTCCCTTTTCTGTCTTTCTTTCACTTATTTTATTCACTCACTTACTCATCCTTCTCTTTTCTTTCTCCTCCCCTCTCTCTCCTTCTTTTCTCGTTTTTGCTTTTACTTGCGTCTGTTTACGTTTTACTCTGGTTGAAAAACATACGCATCACATTCATAGATAAGACAGGTCCCTGGGAGTACAGACACAATCTTTTCGCATAATCAATACAAGCAAAAACAACAGCCATCCTTGTTTTCGAGTCGAGATACCCTAAATAATTATAGCCCATGTCCTCAGATATGGCCAGTCCCCCCATACAATTTGATTCTGATCCCGCTCTGATGGCTGCCAACACTGCTTCAGGACCCAACTATGGAGGATATCAGAGTATCTACGGCAACATGAACGGTGGTAACATGAACTTCAGTCATCCTGGATCCTATGCCGTTCCCAGCCCCGCAACGCCACCATCATTACCACCTATGCACAACACCACTAATAATGCTGCCAACAATACAGGAGCCTATGCACCTAATGGAACAAACAACTTTCAGTTTTCTTACCATCAGGATGCTGGATCAGTACCACCACCGACCCCCGGAGTGTCTGTTACTACTTCTGTCTCTGGTGCACCACTGAGCACGCCCACTGGAGCTCAACTAACAGATGCACAGCAATCACCACATCCTCAACAAATCCAAACACACCAAGTCACACCTCCTCAACAGCATCCCCAAACGCCGCAGCAACAGCATCAACAGCATCAACAGCAGCAGTCTCTCCAGCGCCCAGCTCACCAGCCCATTACCTCTACGCAATCTCCTTATCAGCAGTCTCCTCAGGCACATCATCCAGGTATGCCTGGTCTGATGCATGGACATCCGATATACCCAGGAGATGCTCGCTATGATTCTCGTCTTCAGGCTTCACGGTACATGGATCCAAACATGCAGATGATCAATAGGAATGGGGCTCGTCCAGGGGATATGACGTGGGCACAACCCAACGGAATGATCCCCGATCTTCTAGGTGCAAATCATGCGGGTGGTGCAGGAGCAGCTGGACCGGGTGCAATGCGAAACATGTCAGCACAGCAAGCACGTGTACCTGTTAAGGCAGGCATGGCCATGGGTGGGATGCCGAATATGGCTATGAACGGTATGAACGGTATGGGAACACAGATGGGAGGTCTGGGCGGTATTCCTGGAATGCCTGGTATGACCCCAATGGGAGGGGATCGTCTGGGGGGCTGGGGCGGTCTAGTCGGTGGATCAGTTGGTGGACCATCAAGTCCATATGGTCAACATCATGTCCAGTCTCCTTTACAACATCAGCAACCATTTCATCCACATGGACTGCAGCAACACCCATACCCACAGCCATCACCACATCTTCTCCATCATCCACAAGGAATGCAGCAGCATATGGGTATGCACAATCGACCCGGAGCTTTGGGTCCTGTCGTAGGCGGTGGAATCTCAAAGAAGAAGCCAAAGAAGCCCGTTGTTGCTGCACAGGTCAAGGATAAGAACAGCCCCAAGAGGCCAAGGAACTCTTATATCTTTTTCACTCTCATGAAAAGGTATTGTGCAAAAAAAAAAAAAAAAAAAAAAAAAAAAATTTGCCATCCAATGGCATCATTGCAGATCGACCACATGACTTTTATTATTACTCTATTTCAAAACTAAAAAAAAAAAAAAAAAAGTTATTAATTTTTATTGTATTCTAATTTATTTTATTTTATTTTTTGTATACAATGTCATGCTTTCTACTAATATAGAGATGATATCAAGAAGAAACACCCAGAGTTCAAGCCAACTGAAATTACCAAGATGCTTGGTGAGGAGTGGCAAAAATTGTCAGAACAGGAGAAAGAGTCGTATGGATCGATGGCAGAGAACGACAAAAAGCGTTATCAAACTGAAATGGAGAATTATGATGCCAATGGAGGAGCTGCTGCTGCTGCTGCTGCTGCTGCTGCTGCTGCTGTAAACGAAGGCAGCGTTGGATCATCCGCTGGCGCTACAGATCTAAGCAGCGAACCTTGGAGAGGTTAAATAGAAGGAAAATGACGAGGAGGAAAGGAAAGGAAAAGAAAGAAAAAAAAAAATCAGCACAATATCGTGGAGCAAGTAAATGCAAAAGCTGTGTATGCATTTGCTTTGTTCATTTACAGCTGCTACCACAAAAAAAAAAAAAAAAAAAAAAAAACCATATCCTTTCTTTCTTTCTTTTCCTTTCTTTTCTGTTTATTTACCCTTATTTCTCTTTATATATATATTTTTTATTGCTTCTCTTCTTAATACTACATTTTTGTGGACTTTCTTTATTTTTTTATTTTTTTATTTTCTTGTTTTAGTTAACTTGTCAGCGTTATCCTCTCTCAATCTACTCATTCATTCGCCACTTTGATTGTATTTCGTCATCTTCTTTTGCACTCAATCTGTCATCTCAGCTAGTATTATGTACACATATGTGTACTTTATAGTATAGTAGTTTATTCTCTCCCAAATTATCATTGTTCATTGTTCATTTTTTTTTCCCTTTTTTTTCCTCAAGTCGTCATCATTGTCCTTATCCTCTTCCTGTTTGCTATTTGCTCTTCCGAGTCCTCGTTTGACCTCCTCCAAATGTAAATATCTCGTATAAAATTGCAAGAATGCACAGCGGAAAAAAAGAAAAAAAAATCGTGTCTTTAATGTTTTTAAATGAATGTCAGGGGATATGGAAGATGCTTTGCTGTTTTGTTTCAAATGATAAATAGGGTGTGTATGTGTATCAAAATGAGCACGTTGTAGTAGCTCGAAATCTGAATTATGTGTGTCATGTGTAATCACATCAGATATTGAATGAGCCTGAATTTTTTTTTTTTTTACTCCCTCAACAATCTCTCCATTATCTTTCCTTTACATTTGTCTGTGTCTGTGTCGATTTTTGTAACCCTGGTTTTGAGTTTAGAATTCATCATTGGTTTCAAGAGAAAATGAAGAGAAGAGATAGACTTTTCGATCAATACAAACATGGCCCATGCATTTAAGTCAAAAAAAGACTGGGGGGGAAAAAAAGTACATGTATAGCATGTATATACAGTGGAGTACAATGATAGGAGGACGCGTCTGAGAATAGACTATACCAGTTTTGATTGTGGAGTAAAGTGATATCAAGTGGAGCGAGCCATTGAGGACCCAGGATAGGAAAGGAGTAGCCTTCTCCTTTCCTCTTGTTTCTTAATCTGTCATGTATCCAACCCTATCTGCTTTATTAGCAGTTCGTAATACTTTCCAGCCATAAACGCGTCGAGACATACATAGCTATACCCAAGTGTGAATAAAACACACAGTTCAACATTGAGCAGTTTCTTTTTCTTTTTGTTTGTTGTTTGTTTGTTTATTTTGCATTTGGCAACAGCTTTGTCATCTTTATGTGGCTGCACAGAATTGAATGAAATGGTGACCTGCATCATTATCACATAAAAGTTAGTGTTTCTAATACGCCTTCGCCTCTCCCTCTTCTCATGAACGAAAATATTACACAAGAATAAAGAGAGCCAGTAGGGAATATGAAAATGAAGGGATGAGAACTTTATGGTTAATACCAGCTTTACTTGCTGATACTAGGACCGGTATTAGTGTTGATGCTGGCATTAGGTGCTGGTGCTGGTGTTGGTGCTGCTGAAGGCAATTGTTGATGTACTATTTACTATGATAAAAAGTTCACAGAAGCATGCTCTGTGGGCGTTTGGGAAGAAGTTTTTTTTATCATTGTCAGTAAACTGCAAAATTGAATTGAAAAGCCGCTTTCTTCATATTATCCAATGTTTATTGACGGTTGGATGCAAAGATCGTCTGTCTCCCTTTTTTTTCTCTGAAAGATGGATGACAAAGGTTCGACCTCATCTTGCAGAAGCGTCATGACATGAATGAAAAAAAAAAAAAAAAAAGGAGAATACGACAAACAGAAGCAATGGTAACAGCGTCAACGATAACAACAACGCATGCTCCTCCATCCCTTCAAATCCGTTCAAAAAATATGATAGCAGTAAACCCAGCAAGCATGCAGCTGCATGTTCCATGAGATCTATCCTGAAAGGTTTTCCTTTCACTGATACACTCCGCATCCATATACAAATCTTGCTTTTTCTTTTCTCTTTGCATTGATCTCTTTCTCTTTTCATTTCATTCTCACTCTTCTCTCTTTTTTTCTTTTATTTGGTTGCAATTGTTGATATCTTCTCACCATCAGTATCCTTGATAACCACCCCCTTTGTCCCTCTCCTCTTGAGTGATTATTTTTTCTGGCAGATTCTTTCCCAATAGAGATAAAAACAAATTTGGACGACTTTACATCTTCCTTGGCCTGGTGACCATTGATTTCTTTTTTTTTTTTTTTTTTTTTTGGTATTCTTTGGGTTTGGTAAATCCTGTGCTTTACATCTCCCCTTTGTCTCCCTCTCCTTCTCTCCTCTACTCGCACAGTTCTTAATCTCTTGCTTTCATTTTACTCCCATCCTCATCAATCTCTCCATATCCCATACATAGCAACCATATTGAATATTGACAAAGTTCAACTCTTTACATTTCTTACACGGGCGTGATGTCCTTACCATTATCAGTGCCCATCTTTAACTCCACAGCATCTCCTGAAACAAACGTCCTGTATTCCTCAGGACAGGGGCCTGGACCGGCTACAAAACCAAGTAATAGTGGTAGTGGTCATGGTATTGGTGCATTGGGGACAACCCCCGAATGTGACTCCGTTATTGACATTCAGGGGCAACAACAGGCCCAGCTTGCACAACTTTTGCAGCAAGTGGCCCAAGGATCGAATATCGGTAATTCTGTGGCGTCACTCTCATCTACAATTGCAGCATCAGGGCTTGTTCTGTTACCTCCACCACCATTGACAATCAAAAATTTGACCATCCACACCTCACTCCTCTCAACAAAACAACAGCTTCAACAACAGCAGCAACAACTACAGCAATTGCACCATGTTCAGATCAATGCTGCACTAAAGAAACAGCAACAACAGCAACACCAACGGCAAATACAGATGCTACAGCAGCAACATGACCAGAAACAGCAACAGCAACATTATGGCATACAACCGTTGTCAATGGAGGATTGTTCACCAAGTGCACTCTCAGATGCGACAATGGGGGAGGGTGAGCGGGAACGTGAGAGTATGTCAATGGACTGTGCCAGTGGAGGTGCAGCAGTAGCAGGAGCAACAGGAGGCCAGTGTCAAGGTCAGGGCCAGGGCTCGCCTTCACAGCTCACATCTCGATCAACTTCTGGAGTCACGTCGCCTGTGCCAGGGAGTGCTCATTTGTTTAACAACACCTCAGGATTTTCGGTGCTTGGTAAGCCAAGAAGAAAACAAAAAACAAAAACAAAAGGGCAATCAACAACAGCAGTAAATTGTTCATAAATGATGTTGTCCCTCATGACCTTTCAATTATTTTTTTTTTTACTCTCAAAATACCCTTGTTGTTACATATTTCCCATTCACTTGGACACCTGAACGCCTTTTTTTTTTTTTTTTTGGATTATGTAAAATAAAAAAAAATCCGTTGCATGCAGCCTTTTTTTTTTTTTTTTTTTTTTTTTTACTTCAAAGACTACCATTATCATTACCCTTGATAAACTTTTTTTTTTATTTTTTGGGGAAGAGGCTTTTACTCTTGTTGTTTGTGGGAAGCATCTTCTTTTTATCAAGAGTTGTCTTATTAACATTTGCTCTGCTCCCCCCCTTTTTTTTCTTTACTGTGTTCATGTCATTACCATCTGGATACAAAACAAAACAAACAAAAAAAAAAAAAAAACACGCGCACATCCATAAATTACTTTTTACTTTAATAGGAGAAAGTAGTATGAACCAATATCCTCCTCCTGATCAATGGAGCTATACTATGACACGATATCACGCCTCTCTTATCCCGCTTTGCCATATCGAAGAGCCTCTCACGTTTTATGAAGCCATGGATGATCACCTGTCCTTCGACACAAATGATAATGAGCACAGTCATATTGATATCAACCAAAATGATGAGGATGATGAGAGGGACGATAATGAATTGTCCTTTATGATGGACAGAGACGAAGGCAGAGACACGGACAAAAGAGAGGACGACGCTTCTTTTTCCATTTCTTCCCGTGAAAAAAAACCACATCGTCAGCTTCCAAACATAAACAATACAATCAACAACAATAATAATAATCACAATAATGTAAATGATCACGGGCTGCATTCGCAGGAGCAGCTGCAGCTATGCAACCACAACAAAAATATCACCGATAACAACATCACAAGTTCAGTGTCACATGAGCCATCATATCTCTTTGAGGAAAACGACCATGACCAAACCATCAGCACTGCTCAGCCAAAGTATCTACAAGAGCATGGGAGGACAACAACGGATAGTAGTGGCGAACAGATATTCTTTTATGATGGTCCGAATCTTATGCAGGCAACACTAAAGGATGATTGTGATTATGCAGTGGATGAGGACAGGTCCATAGGACCCCGAGTAAGCAGTCGGATCCGTTCAAGAGCAGTAGCACTTGCATCTGATCTTTATCCTATACAGACTAAGCAGCCTCATGACCATACTCAAGCTGAAACTACAGCCATTCTCAGTCCTGTCTCTCTATCCAGCGGTGGCACTCGTCCTCTCTCTAATTCTAATGCCAAGATAACCGTTAAGCGTGACTCGATATGGTCAGGGTTACATAAACTTTCCAGATCCAAGGGCCATTCAAGATCTAGGTCTAGATCTAGATCAAGGTCAAGGCTCCGATCAAAGTCCCAGTCGAGATCCAGATCAAGATCGAGGTCGAGGTCTGATTCACGGCCCATTACGCCACATAGCATAGCTACGTCCCATTCACGTGCTCGGCCACAGTCTGTGGTTTCAGATGCTTGGTCACGGACCATACCTGATCCTCTCCTCAGGAAAACGGACATGCAGCTATCCTCCTCCCCGTTCACTAAAACTCGCCCTGATATCCTGACCCGCGGCTTCTCTGCAGAGTCAAGCTCAACTCAGGATCATGACTACCAAAAGGGCCAAGACAATGGAGGTGGAGGCGGTAGCAGCGCCACAGGAAGCTCTATTCGTAAAGTTGCTGCCAAGGAGAGGCTTGTCGCGATGGCCGCACGTACTGCAGGACCTTTGAACTCATTGTCAGGTAATTATATCGATGCAAGTGTCAACCATACCAAAGAGGTACCTATTTCTGGATCCGGATGGCGCGATGATCGCAGTGGCGGTGGCTCGCCATTAAGGATACAGCGTAATAGTGTTAGCGAAAGGGGATCAGCCTTACAAGCAACAACAGAAAACCCCTTCGTCCTAAACCAAACACTAGAGCAGGGACAAGCATCGCCTTCATTACACCGTCACGCAGTAGCTGATGCCGCCATGGGTTTTCCTCACAACAACAGCTCGGTTCTTGTATCAAGTGATATTCCCCAGAGTACTACCACAAAGGTACCAACGCCTAATCTACGAAGCATGCGTGGTACTAGGAAACCTAGACCATTTTCAGTGGCAACCATGGAAAAGCTCATGGCCAGTGGCTCCAATTCAAGTCAAACACAGGACTCACCACGTTTCGATAAGCAACAGCACTTGCCACAGGCTAGTCGAATGCAGGTGCAGCCATTACCTATATACTGTGATCCGCTAGATGATCTCAATACCGAGGATGTTATGAATACTATGCCAAAGGTACCTGCCACGGCACGTCCAAAGATCACCAGTTCGTGCTCTCGTCCTGATAATAGCTCAGCAGCTCCTCTTGCAGCACCAGATGTGATAAGCAATCCTGGTGTGAAAGGGAAGGACGCTGAAGGAAACCTTCCTGAAAGCATCAGCGTCAGTGGCGACAGTAGCCACAAAAGCAGTTACCGGACAGGTATCAAGAGAATGAGTGTTCCTTATATTCGAACCATGCCTGAAGAAATGTTGGGCTCTATAAATGGTCCGCTACATGTACATGAGCATCATATTCATCACCATTACTACTGCCAGCATTGTCCTCCTCCCTTGATGCATTCCAATCCCGAGGAAATAGGCCCTGTGGACCAGCAACAGCAGCATTCATCTTCCTATCCTCACGCCCATTCTGTCCACAACAATACGACGGCGGCACATCATCATCGGAGACGCCCAGAAAATATGCCGTTCTTGTCAACTGTGGTCGAGGCTCCACTTCAACAGCAATACCTCCAACGAAGACGGGAGTCGCTTTTAGAGTCAGAAGCTCAAAGCTGTGGCCGCAGTCCTGTAGAGTATGCGTATGGACAGTCATTTGCACCACAGCCGGACGATGGCGGTAGCGGTGCGAAGCCTCAAGTGAGTAAGAAGAAAAGAAGTATTCTTGGTACTATGTCTATGACATCCACGATGCGAAGGCGTTTCTTTGCAGAACAGAAAAAGCAAGAGCAACAGCAAGAGCAAGAGCAAGAGACTGAGCAAGATCGTGCACTCAGGGAGACATATAAGGCGCAGCGACGTCAAAGCACACCATTGTCATTGTTTCAGTTCTGGCGAAATGATGATAGTGCCTTGGATTCGACCTCAACGATGAGATATAACAATAGTAGCCGAGATAGACCCTTCGCAGCAGCGGGAGCTACTATTCGAGTCAAGAGGCATCAAAGAAGGTCCCCCTTGGAAGGCTTCAGCGACGATGAGGATGATTCTTTTTTGGATGACAGACTATTGCCCTCATTGGATAGCAATAACACTATCAATAATAGCAACGGCGGCAGCGGAGGCCAACAGGAGCAACAACGTGCCAAGTTTCTGTCAAAACTCAAGCGATTCTTGCTGAAGCCTAGCCCATTTGCCAACAATAAGGACGCTATGGATCAAGGTGTGACCTCCCCCTCCACTGCACCCAACACTCCAACTCAAGCACGGTCTGCTGCGACGGTTCGAGTGACCAAGAGCAGATGGTCTCGTACTGGTAGCAATCTGTTGGGATATCTGAGCCAGACATCAAGAGGGGCTTCAGGACTGGATGATTTGGATTCGGAACAAAACATTTTGGAAGGATGTCTATCATCCCCATCATCACCCACCTACTATCAATCACCTGGTCACCGTTCTCTTCGCAGGTGGACACATCAGGACTTTTTTGAGCCCCCAACTCCATCTTCGTTACCCTCATTGCAGCGACGTGAACGAATTGACATCCGCGCCCAGTTTCATCAGTCTTCAGCACCTGCTTTCCTGGAACAGCGTTTTACGCATCACCATCACCAGCACCATTATCATCATCATCATGACCCACATCTGCTCCAGCAGGAGCAGGATCAGCAACTGCAGCAGAGCCAACGTCGTCGTTATAGCCTTAGTGGCGCCTCTTCTTTTTCCTCAATTCAGCAATCGCAGAAAAAGCAGCAACAGCATCAACAATGCCAACCTCAGCAAACTCTGAGGCAAGCGCAAGCACTTCCCCCACTTGACACCGTCGATGCTGTTAAAGCTTCTAGTACCGTCACTACCAACACCACGGCTATAACCACTCCAACAAACCCTAATCCTCCTGTCCTCGGCTCGACTGAGCCAACCTTGCGGCGATCTCCAAAGTCGGGCGTAAACTCTGTTATATCCTCACAACCCATGTCAAGTCTGAATGATAAAGAGTCTTCTGATCAAGATACGGCCCCAACCCCATGCTCGACATCCCCTGTTACCACCAAGCCAACCCCCATGCCCACAGCCGCAACCGCAATTACCGCCTCATCATCCACACCATCTGTCCACGCACCTGCATTTTGATGAATACCCCATACACACAAGTTTTGTAATGAGAGAATTATTCTTTTTTTTTTTTATTTTTTTTTTTTTTTGTAGCCTACTCCTGAGATGGAGTAGATATACCGCTGTATAACATAATGTACATCATATCATCATATCATAAAACCGTATAATCACACTATTATTTGCTTGTTTTATTTTGCTATTCTTTTTCTCGGATAATGTACATCGCGATCTATTTAAATTTAAGGAAAGACTTTTTTTTTTTTTTTTTTTTTTTTCCTCAAGTACCCGGTTCTGTATTCCGGAATTGAGGTGGCAATTGAGGGCCGACCATGACAAGGTGTTGCATGGGCAAATGATGATCCATTGGTGGGTAATTCATAGGCAAAACAGGCGAGTGAGGTCGAGGTTGTGGGCGAACCACTTTGGGAAGAAAAGATTCTGAGAGTAGCTGATGAGATTCGGATACAAGACTGTGGGACGCTCCTGATGTGGTTGCTACTGATGCTGTTGGTGCCACTGATGCAGCTGCAGCTGCAGTCGGCACAGTGCCGAACCTCTTCTTGATCTGCTTTGTCAATCGAGTTTGTTTCTTCAGTTGTATGAATGTCATTTGTTGGCTGCTAGCCATTGGGAAAGGAGCGCAGTTTAGGATATTTTGATCGTGTGGGCCTTTGTAGAAGGAGTTGACCCATCCGCTGATCGACTCACATTGCTCACGCGTCAGTGGTGATGCGTATGACAGGGGTGATAGCCGAACAAACCAAATGATAAGCAACGCGATCAGCCCAGCCCATAAACCTACACGAGCCTTCTTTGAGATGAAGCCAGAGACCCTAGTGATCAAGGAGCTCGTGATCAAGACCGAGAAATAGAGCGCAGGGAAATAGTGATGCATCAGTAATGTTCGGTCGATAAAGAAGAACGGTAAATAAGTCATGATCCATCCTGCAAAGTAGGCACGAGCGTCATTCGCATGGAACCTCTTGATGTCTTTTTTTTTTTTTTTTTTTTTTAAGAATGTTATTGGCAAATCATGTAAAAAAAATGTGTGTGAGGACTCTTCTTTTTTTTTTTTTTTTTTTTTTTTTCCCTAGATCATAGTTGTACGCATATATATTTACCTGCCATAAATCCAGTCTCGGTATAGCCGCGCTTTTTCCTGAGGATGAACCAGACACCAAGACCAAGGTATGTAATCATACCCATGGTACTTATGCCCCACACGACTGGATTTGCAAGAACTGTGATTTGACGTCTATACCCGGCCCATACATGGATCATGGCTTGGCCTAGAGGCCATCGGATCGGATGTGCTTGTGCAGAGCGGAATGCAGACTCCGCGAGTGGGTAGTGGGCCCACATAAGGCTATGAATCTCTATAAACTTTTGCCAGAATGACAGTTGAGGAAAACTTGCTAAAGGGGTTTCGTATGGTACTACAATTGAAGAATGGTCACTCAGCTATCTTGCATCTAATAGCAGCGGCGCAATAGCATCAACACAAAGAGCTTGACTCCTTACAATAGTCATGTAAATTCGTTGTGAACCGCCAAATGGCTCGAGGCCGGACGCCGACATCTGGGCGGCAGACCAATTCCTTCCGCCCCCTACCCCAGGGCTTTGGTAAGTTGATTGTGGTGGCATAGAGGTAACAGCCAAGGTTTGTATGCCTCAGTCGAAACGCGGTCCTAAGAGCCTTGATCTGCTGATCAGTTTCTTCAAGCACTTTTTTTCGAGCCACAGGGTCAACAGCTTCAATGGTCCACCAATCGTTGTAGTCTCCATCTCGGTCATGGGTGCCAAACGCTGTTACCTCAAACAGCGGCTGACCTTCTTTGCTTGAATACGAAGCCACTTTATGCGAGTGTAAGCAACGCCTTGTGGGGACGTGTCGTAGCCGTAGCGTATCACCATGTTTGAGGTATTGCAAGCGAGTCGGGATCTCATCTTTCTCATCATCATTTTCATTATCCTTATTACCGTCAGCGTTGCCAGATATAGCCCGAATAACTATCCAATGGGTGTTCAGGTCCGGATACTCGTAGCCGCCCACTTGCTGTTGATCTGGTTTCCCAGGTGTCATATTATGAAAGGAGTGAATGAACATACCATCAGTATCTTCATTCTGTAACTGGACCACAGATCCAAAGGCGATATCGCTCCAGATAGGGGTTTCTGTTCTCTCTTTCTCCTTGTCAGCCTTGGGTTTGGAGATTAAGGACCGATGGAAAGATCTGCTGAGTAGATTTAGATCGTGTGTAGCCAAAGCTGAACTAGGGTCCGACGGGAGATATGATTGATATTGAAAGTGAATATGAAAGATAGATGTATAAACCAGGATGGGAATCATTATCAACCCAACCACTCGTGCTGTAGCATGCTTGAGCCACATCAACTGTAATACAGTATGTATTGAAGATGAAGGGCCAGGATTTAGTACAATACTGGGAAAGACGAAAATACTCGCTGTTGCAAATTTTATATAGATATAATATTTGAGCATAGTATCCATACCGTGTTAACAGAGGGCTCAATGGCCAAAGAGTACAGAGCTGACAATGTGAATAGACTGACAGTAACAACAGCTACTATTCCTATCAACTTGACAGCTGCCGCTGACGCCATCGATATCCCTGTAGCCACTAAGTATAACCACCATGTGATAGTGAAAGGTCTTTTTTTTTTTTTTGTTATTGTTAATAAGGTATGGCAAAATATCTTGGCAAAGTCGTTCGAGTAATATCAACTGATTTTTTTTTCTTTTTGTAAACGCTCATTACTTTGCTGAATGTTTCTTAAAAAAGCTCCAGAACATAAAGGTTGCAGAGAAGAAGAACAGCAAGGGCGCATCAAGGCTAAAGAGACGATTGTTGGCAACCAAAGCGTTATCTAGCAACAAGCCAAAAAAAGATGTTTATTTTTTTTTCTTTTTTCTTTTTTCTTTTTTCTTTTTTCTTTTTTCTTTTTGACGGATGGAGAGTCCATGTAATAAGTCATTTAGGGAACTTACCAAATGTGATCATCGATGCAGCAAGAAGCGCAGCAGGAGTATCTTGGTCAGATGTCTTCAGAGTGATGAACGCCATAGGGGCGCAGAGCGCCCCCAATATGGCCATACTTAACCTCACTGACATATATGGAACTGATCCGGGAATCAAACTGGAGAAGAGCAATAAAAGAAGTAATTAGGAATGATGAATATCGTAAAAAAAGAAACACTCTAGTTGACCTGATTTTTTTTTTTTAAACTTACTCGCCAATTTCATCAAAAGCAAAAGTACCGTTATAACGGGTCATTGCGGCAATTCCGGCCATAATCATGGTTCCGAGCGGTGGATGTGCGTCAAACGCGTATTCGCCCGTAATATATCTATTGATCATCTTGCCAATATTAGCCTCATCCAAGCTTTTTATTTATTTATTTATTTATTTTTTTTTTTAGTACAAAGGAAGGCCGCCAGTTAGAGGCTTGGAGTAGACTGGAACATCGGGATGTTACATCTTTCCTTTCATAAGTAAATGCAGAATGTGTTTATGACCACCTACGTGACTTCATCTGGCCAAGAGATCCTCCATATGCGTACAATGACCGCAACTAGTGTGATTACCATCAACGCCAGCTTGTCCCATTCTGCCAAGCCCAACGATTGGTTCATCAAAATTTTATTCCAAGCACTATGAGCCACTCTCTTCTCATTGTCGATCTTTGTCGCCTCAATATTGGCTTCTGCCTCCATCCCTGTCCCTGTCCCTACGTTTGTATCTATTACATTTGTACATTTGTGAGCGGTAGGGGCTGGCTTTATAAATGTTGTTGTGTCATTTCCACTATTGCTATTGCTACTGGACAGATCAACCTCATAATTATATTTTGTTTCACAAGCCTGTAGTCGAATACAGTCTTCTTCAGCATACTCACGGTAGGAAGTGATCCAGGACCACAGATCGGAACCGCTATTATAGTCTTTTCCAGCTCGAACCCATGAAAGAAATTGTCCCGCTCGTTGTTGTAGGGAATCGTGCTTTGTTGAAGCAATAGCGGCTTTAGGCTCTACTTGTTTTAGTTGCTTGTGTCTCTTACTTGGCGCCATAGTGATTTCAAAAAAATAAAAATAAAAATAAAAATAAAAAAATAAAAAAACACTCTTTATACTTTTTGCATGTGAAGGGATGGAGGTTTAAGTGGTAAAAAGTTCTCCAAGTGTGCTCGTTGGCAAATGAGAAGAAAAATAGAGAAGGAAAGAAAGGATGAGAATTTTGAAAAATTCCTTCCTTCAAGACTTCAAGGAGAGAGAGGATTCTATCCTTACTGAAGCGCTGTAGATGCGTCAAATACCTTCCATTTTGAGCAGAAACAAAAAGAAAAAAAAAGGAGTTAACCATTCCAACATTTCTATGACAAGGGTCCACTAATAGCAATTGAGAGAAAGCGCATTAAACACCAAAACTATGCCATTAGTAATTTATCGCAAACATTGCTGATCCCAATTCCTTTGAAGAAATGAGCCTTAGTCGCGCAACAAGGTATTCGAAAGCCTTTTTGTTGGCCACATCCGACTTGTAGGCCATATCAATAGGCACCTTGGCTATCCTTATGTGCGGTGTTCCGATGTCAACGAAGTTATCTTCAGCAACATCCCTCTTGCTTCCTACCAAATGCCGAAGTTGTCCACCACTGGCAATCCCGCAACGTATACCGCTACGATCTCTAACATCGCATCCAACTACATCATCTCTTGCTCAATTGAATATAGGAGTGGATCCGCATTAGTTTCCGTAATAGCATTCTTTGCTTCGATGGGATCCACTAGAGCCCGGAAAGGGCCGCTCCTTGCTGAAGTCGAATACCTTAGCCTCCTTAATCCGCGTAAACAATGGCTGGTAGTACACAAGGACATTGTAATTAAATTCTTAGTGTCTTACATACACACACATACACATAGACATGTGCACAAAGCTTGCAGCACCCTCTGTCTGTCTCATTATTAGGAGTATGGTAGAAAACATTACGAGAGACAGCCTAATTAGTTCAACAGACGTGACTTTGCTGATCAAGACTCTTTGACTCTTTGGAGCAAATTGGGCATCGTATGAAGTAGCCACTGTGGCGTTCCCAATGACCAAAACCAACTCTTATCTCGCACAACTCTGTGATCTTGCCAATTAGGTGTATATGTTTAAACTTTCTCAAATAACTAAGTAAGTAGCACGGACAATGTTTGCCACGCATTAATTGGTTGGATCTTGGATCTTATACGTTTTGTTCTACATTTTTAAAGCGCTTTCATTCCTATGAATGGACCTACTTTTTTATGGATACATCAGTTTTCCCTCACTAAGGCGTCGATTTTCGACGTGTTAGTGAAGTCAGGCCTCTATTCATTTTAATTCAATAAATATATTTAAACTTTATTTGACGAAATTTTTTGTGTAAGAGTGCAACCATTCTTTCTCTCTTTCTTCACTATTTTTTATCCACTATTCATCCGTATACTCGAGTAGATAACCATTTAACGCCTAAAAACCAATCTCTACAATCGAAGCTTAAAGACCTAGTCAAGGATCAGACTGCTGTTGGCAAGTGGTTGCCTCTGTTGAAGCGAAGATTCTCAAGGAAACCATCTTTCGAGCATGACGGGTTACAAAAGTCATTTTCCTTAGTCGATAAAGTGGATTTTATTGCAGCTATTGATGGACTGCGATCAAAAGGATTTAAAGTGCCCACTGCCTCTATTGGAGTAGGGTTTGGTATGAGCAGCAGCACAGCACGAGCGATCTATCGCCGAAGGAAGGAGTATGTTTAAGATGTGAATTTCCTCCCCCTACTGGCAAGCCAAGCAGTCAAGCGATGAATATAAGAAAAAGGAAGTTTAAACATATTTATTGAATTAAAATGAATAGAGGCCTGACTTCACTAACACGTCGAAAATCGACGCCTTAGTGAGGGAAAACTGATGTATCCATAAAAAAGTAGGTCCATTCATAGGAATGAAAGCGCTTTAAAAATGTAGAACAAAACGTATAAGATCCAAGATCCAACCAATTAATGCGTGGCAAACATTGTCCGTGCTACTTACTTAGTTATTTGAGAAAGTTTAAACATATACACCTAATTGGCAAGATCACAGAGTTGTGCGAGATAAGAGTTGGTTTTGGTCATTGGGAACGCCACAGTGGCTACTTCATACGATGCCCAATTTGCTCCAAAGAGTCAAAGAGTCTTGATCAGCAAAGTCACGTCTGTTGAACTAATTAGGCTGTCTCTCGTAATGTTTTCTACCATACTCCTAATAATGAGACAGACAGAGGGTGCTGCAAGCTTTGTGCACATGTCTATGTGTATGTGTGTGTATGTAAGACACTAAGAATTTAATTACAATGTCCTTGTGTACTACCAGCCATTGTTTACGCCTACAAATATGGATGCACCTTTTCTTTTTCTTTGATGGAGATTTTTATGCAGAAAAACAATGATAGAAAACGGAGCATTCAACAAAAAAAAAAAAAAAAAAAAAAAAAAAAGCTGCTCATTTTGCATACTCTTGCTAAGGAGTAAGCCACTGTAATTGTAAGTTGTATTTATCCATACTGGGCCTTTTGAAGCATTCAGCCTAACAAGGCATGAGTAGATCAATGGAAGATGCATTGATACATTGATACATTGAAATCAGACATACAAACATATAAATAGGGGTGTGGGAGAAAAATAACAGTAGAGATGAGATACGATGCAGATATCTGTCAATCCAGATCTCTCTCGTCCACTTTGGCTAAGCAGTTATAGCTTTTATTACTAACAAGACCATTTTAAATAAAAGATTGGACCCTCCAGCCTTAGTCCCAATACCATCTCAATTGAGAGCGGAAGCGTGGGATCCTTCTCTCAGAGCCACAGGATGCAAAATCCTCAACCTTTATGAACTCCCAATGAGTTGTGCGGCTTGTAGGTCCATTAGCGTACTCCAGAGCAATACGTGGAGGAAAGATTCGAAAGGGTGCGATACCGATAGAAAGGTCCTGACCATCAACTTGCTTGGGATAGACAATATTATGGTGGCCTTTTTCTACACCACTCTGTGTAATCCTCCATTTCTGTTGTTCATGGCCAGCAACAATAAAGGCATGGGAATGAGGCTCACCCCCTTTCACTCCGAGGTAGCGACCAGTCTCTGGGCTTGAGATGGTGACATGGTCATCATCAATGTGTTTGATGTGCCAAACTTGGTCAAGGTTGTCGTCCTCACTTATAAAGTAGGCAGGCGTTTCCGACTCCGACTTTTGCGCACTAAGCAGGGAATCGTATTGGCTGATACGGTAGTGCCCATCACCAAGGGCTCCAGCGAACGCCACTTGTAATAAGATAAGGAGGGCAGCCAAGAAGGCAACTGACCGAACCATAGCTGAAAGGAAAAAACACAAGGTCAGCACCAGTTTGCTTTTGAATATCTAGTTCGTTAGACAGTAGTACCAGGAATAGAGAGTACAAAATGGCTGAAAGTTGAAAGTACATACCTGCAATGTCGATGCTTCTGAAAAAGAGTAATGTGTTAGGATCTTTTCGGGGTAGAAAGGTGGTAGGCGGGAGGTCTGAGAAAAAAAATTAGAAAAGAGAAAGAAGCCTATTTAAATGTTTTCATCCAGTTGGTATTATTTTTATTCCCATGGCTTTGAGGCACCTACATCTTTCTCAATTCCTTTAAATCATGTATACGCGTCTACCAACGTGCTATCCCTATCTGGATCGTAAATGACACCTATGCTTGACAGGATTGCGCATTTATTCAATTAGTGCGGGAAGATGGTACGCACGGCTCGCTATCAGGTCCAATGAGCATTCGTGTAGAGGCAGGATGGTAGCCCCTACCCTTTTTTTGCGCCTAGGTGGCCTGCGAATTGTCCGAGGGACATTTTACTTCATAGATACATCACAGAGACAGACATTGTTACGATTTGATACGAAGGATCAAATGAACAAATCAACTCAACTTGGGACTCTGAGTATACATTTCTTTTTTAACCCAAAAAATTTTCCACACAAGTCTATATTCATCCCATGTATGTAAGCAAACTTAATCCAACCAACTACATCTTCATGGACAGTAGGGAGAGTTATATATGTAACTTTGTGAGAGAAGAGAAGTCATTTGGGCTCTACTCCACTGCTTCTGCCGACATGGAGAAACATTTAATGCAGATGCCATTACAAGGCTAATGGATTGTCTGCTAGACATAAGGAAGCTTTAATAGATGAAGATTGAAGATTGAACAATAGCAGATCGATCAGTGCTCTGTCCCTTGGGATAAGACGAAGAAGGCTCATTGTCAGTATCGCCTATACCATTTGGTCACGATCCTATATATAATATATATCTAATCTAAAAACGGATATTGAATTGGTTTGGTGGCATCTTACTACGTGACGGACTTGTAACGAGGCTCGCGATAAGCGAGGCAATTGACTGCCAATATACTCGAGAGAATTTAAGAAATATAAGGGATCGCGACCAAATGAAACGGGCTTATAAATATTTAAAGCATAAATAATATATACAAAATCCGTGAGAGGCAGAACGTTATGTATGCAAGTTCTTTTTTTTTAAGGTGCAACCAACCAATACAGAGTAAACGTTGGCTCGTGCTGTTTATCTGAGAAGCTAAACATCTGATTGACAAGATCGCAGGGTTAGAGGCGATATGGATACAAGATCTTCCTTAATCCTGGTCATTGGAAGCATCACAGCGCTTACTCCATGCGATATCCAGTTTACGCCATAAAGCGCTGATCAGCAAAGCCATGCCAGCCGAAACCAGATAGACTCTTTCCCGCAATGCCATCTACCACAAACCTAAAGAGACTGATAAAGGATGCTGTAAGCTTTCGTACACGTTTATGTAGTGAACAGACACTACAAATATAATTAAAATACCTTTGTGTGCACAAATATTGGTATTTTCGGTGGAGCTTTTTGTTTAGAAAAGCAACCATAGTGAAAAACAGGTCTCAAATAGAATTAAAGAAAAAAAAAAAAGTCAGCTCAGTTTGTTTAGTCTTGCAAAGGAGCAAGTCGTTGCGATTGTAGGCAGTGTTTGTTCATGTGAGCTTTTGGAGGGCTCGATATTTTAGAAATGTAAAGCATGGATGCGGAAAGCACTGACGCATAGAAAGCAGACAATGAATATAAGTAAACAGGGCATTTAGATTCCCATTTTAAGCAGCACTGAAAATGAGCTGTGGACTTTTATTACAAAGACTATTTAACGAAGAAAGATCAGGCTCTCAATCTTTAGTCCCGGCTCCACCTCAGCTGGGAGTGGAAGCGAGGTATCTTTCTCCCAGAGTCGCAGGACCTAAAAATATCAACCTTCTCAGGCTCCCAATAGACCATTTTCTCCCAGGGTACCAAGATGCCAGACCGACACGTGCAAAATAGACTGAGATGGATAAGATGCCGATAGCAAAGTCAATGCCATCAATCTGTTCTGGACAGATAGAGCTGTAGGCGAGTGTTCTTCCTTCCTCGTGGACCCCTATATCTCCAGACGTTCGTCAGTCACTATAAAGAGGCATTGTTGGGCTCTGTCCCGAACTTCGAGGTAACGACCAGCCTCTGGACTCGAGATAGTGACTAGGCCGTTGTCAACGTGTTGGATATGCCAAACTTGTTCAAGATCCCTGTTAATCCGTGTAAGTATAGTTTAGGCTTTCCCGAGTTTCCGCTTTCCGCGCTAAGCATGTCCCGGCTTTGCCTGATACAGTAGAGCCTGTTAGGGATGGCAGCAAGAGCCACTTATAATTAGACAAGAAGAGTAAGCAAAGTGACTGATCGAATCATAGCTGAAAAAAGAAGGAAAAGAAAATCAAACAGAGTAAGAAGGCCAACGTTCAGATGTTTAGTTCATTATGCGGTAACAGGCGACAAGTCAAAAGCGCATACCTGAAGTATTGGGGTTTCAGGGAAGAGTAGCGTTCTAGAGACCTCTAGGAGTGGATGGGTTGTAGACGAGATACCCGGAAAAAGGAATGGAGAGGAGAAGAAGGAAGCTATTGAAATGTTCTCGTCGAGTCGGTATATGTTTTATGTTATCTTACCCATGATGTGAAACCACCCACATCTTTTCTTGTTTCTCATTTTTAGATCATTTAGATCTATACTTTTTGGGTAAACGCGAATGCCAAACATTGTTTGTGCTACCCTTTCTACAAGCGATGCCAGTAATTGGTATAGTGCCTGTATTTGTCCATATAAAAAGGAAGAAAAAACGATTGGTTCAGAAGATGGCGTGTACGGATCGCTGTCAAAGCAAGTGAGTATGCATGAAAAGAAGACACGATTGCCTCTATCGTTCGTAATTTATTCACAAATACACTCCAGTCTGACTTTCTTGCACATCATGTCAAAAAGTGGATTTTATAAATGTTCTGCGATGTTCATTGGCTAGATTCATTTTAATTCAAATTTTTTATTTAAAGTTGGCTGACAAAGGGAAAGAAGACAAGCAAAATAATCAGCCAATAGAAGCGCCTCATTCTGCTCTTTTAAAAATTCAATCTTGCCAATGAGCATTGCAGAGCATGACTAGATGTTCTAAAGCAATTGAGTGATGACTTATGTCTTATTTTTTTTTTTCTACCAGCCATAGTTCGGTCAGTTGCCTTCTTGGCTGTCCTTCTTATCTTATTACAAGTAGCACTTGCTGATGCCTTTGGTGATGGGCACTGCCGTATCAAACAAGGGAATAAGCTGATTACTACGGAAAATTCGAATTCAGAAACGCCAGCCGTCATATCGCGGGAATCCAATGACTTTTAAACACATTGAGGGTGACTATGTCACCATCTCGAGCTAAAAGACAGGTCGCTGCCTCCGATTGGAGAGCGAGGCTCGCCCCGAAGCCTTTATAGTTGCTGGTCACAGCCAACAGGAATGGAAGATCAAGAGGCGTGGGGAAAAATAAGGCTACCATAATATTGTCTATCCTGATGGTAAGGGCCTCCCTATCGGTATCTCATTCTTGAATGTCAGCCCTCCCCAGCTCCCAGTTGAGATGGTACTAGGACCAAAGCTCGAGAACTGTTTTTCCTCTATTAGTAATGAAAGATTGTGGCTGGTTGCTTAAAATGGTTGGCGGACACCTCATCTCTGCTGTTATTTTTCTTTTACACTCCTTATTTATATGTTTATGTGTCTGATTTGGGTGCATCCACCCTTATCCATTCATGCTGCCCATGCTTGCAAGATCAAATGTTTCAAAGGGCACAATATGGATAAACAGTACTTACAATTGCAATGACCTGCATCCTTTGCATTGCAAAGCAAAGTGAGTAGACGTTTTTTTATTTTTATTTTTATTTTTATTTTTTTTACGTTTTGGGTATTTACTCTGGCAATAAGCCTCCTTCACCTTGGCTCAAAGTATGGGTAATCTTGGACCCATTTAGTGATAACATGATCAAAATGCTAGTCAAATAAATCACCATTCAGGAAAACTGAACAGCAATCACGAATACGACTGGAGCATTACTTTAAAGGAAAGGAAAAAACTCCTCCCGTCCGTGTCATGATAGATAAGATCTAGCATTATAATGCTCATTACAAGCGAACCATTATGACAACGAACCACAGGGAATATTTCAGGCGTGCTTCGGCACTCAGAACACTTCATCCAGTCGTTGAAGTGAAAGGCAGCCTTACACTCCTCTTTTGCCCATCTAGCAATAGACATAAAAAAAGTGCTAAGAGATAGATGGCGGAACGGTGCAAATGGGCGACTTGTGAGGTTTAATGGGCAACCATGCATTCCAATGAATAGCTCAAAGTGTTCAATCATTGCATATCTATCTTAACTTCTGATTTTGCCTTCATGACTGATGGAGAAATGGTTGGTAGGAAACAGTGTTTCTCAGTGATAGTGTGGTTGGTAAAACGACTCTCCCTTCCATTATTTGTATATAGCAGCGGAAAGGCCATGGTTTTGTGGAGCATTCAACTTGATGGTGGTGCCAGTTGGCTACTGGCTTGACTGAGAAGGAATTAGAAGACTTCTTCATCCCTCAATGTTACTGCTCCGTTAGTGGAGGTGAAAGGCTTAAACGAGCTCAAACTAGCACATAAAGACGCTAGGGAGAGCAGTTCCAGGGCATGCATATGGCCCATTATGAGATGAGAAAGTGATAAGGGTCAAAGCGACGAGCTAAAGCAAGTATTTTTGGATAGACCGACTATTTTGTCAGCCGAAGAACAAAGATGCTTAATGATCAACCTTGTCTGGCGACCCAAAATGAAGAAAACCGCCTGGACTTGAAGCGAAAGCTGCGCTATTGCTCTGTTTTACTGTAGACGCACTGGATTTGTTGTGCCACAAGAGGATACAGGGCACTGACCATGTTGCTATGGTTCAATCTCAAAATTACCCTGCGTCTAACAACCTAATAGCATAGTTGGTTGGATTAAGTTTGCTTGGGTGGAGAATTTTTTGGGTTAAAGAAATGTATACTCAGAGTCCCAAGTTGAGTTGATTTGTTCATTTGATCCTTCGTATCAAATCGTAACAATGTCTGTCTCTGTGATGTATCTATGAAGTAAAATGTCCCTCGGACAATTCGCAGGCCACCTAGGCGCAAAAAAAGGGATGCACAGATGGTAGGGGCTACCATCCTGCCTCTACACGAATGCTCATTGGACCTGATAGCGAGCCGTGCGTACCATCTTCCCGCACTAATTGAATAAATGCGCAATCCTGTCAAGCATAGGTGTCATTTACGATCCAGATAGGGATAGCACGTTGGTAGACGCGTATACATGATTTAAAGGAATTGAGAAAGATGTAGGTGCCTCAAAGCCATGGGAATAAAAATAATACCAACTGGATGAAAACATTTAAATAGGCTTCTTTCTCTTTTCTAATTTTTTTTCTCAGACCTCCCGCCTACCACCTTTCTACCCCGAAAAGATCCTAACACATTACTCTTTTTCAGAAGCATCGACATTGCAGGTATGTACTTTCAACTTTCAGCCATTTTGTACTCTCTATTCCTGGTACTACTGTCTAACGAACTAGATATTCAAAAGCAAACTGGTGCTGACCTTGTGTTTTTTCCTTTCAGCTATGGTTCGGTCAGTTGCCTTCTTGGCTGCCCTCCTTATCTTATTACAAGTGGCGTTCGCTGGAGCCCTTGGTGATGGGCACTACCGTATCAGCCAATACGATTCCCTGCTTAGTGCGCAAAAGTCGGAGTCGGAAACGCCTGCCTACTTTATAAGTGAGGACGACAACCTTGACCAAGTTTGGCACATCAAACACATTGATGATGACCATGTCACCATCTCAAGCCCAGAGACTGGTCGCTACCTCGGAGTGAAAGGGGGTGAGCCTCATTCCCATGCCTTTATTGTTGCTGGCCATGAACAACAGAAATGGAGGATTACACAGAGTGGTGTAGAAAAAGGCCACCATAATATTGTCTATCCCAAGCAAGTTGATGGTCAGGACCTTTCTATCGGTATCGCACCCTTTCGAATCTTTCCTCCACGTATTGCTCTGGAGTACGCTAATGGACCTACAAGCCGCACAACTCATTGGGAGTTCATAAAGGTTGAGGACTTTGCATCCTGTGGCTCTGAGAGAAGGATCCCACGCTTCCGCTCTCAATTGAGATGGTATTGGGACTAAGGCTGGAGGGTCCAATCTTTTATTTAAAATGGTCTTGTAAGTAATAAAGGCTATAACTGATTAACCAAAGTGGACGAGAGAGATCTGGATTGACAGATATCTGCATCGTATCTCATCTCTACTGTTATTTTTCTCCCACACCCCTATTTATATGTTTGTATGTCTGATTTCAATGTATCAATGTATCAATGCATCTTCCATTGATCTACTCATGCCTTGTTAGGCTGAATGCTTCAAAAGGCCCAGTATGGATAAATACAACTTACAATTACAGTGGCTTACTCCTTAGCAAGAGTATGCAAAATGAGCAGCTTTTTTTTTTTTTGTTGAATGCTCCGTTTTCTATCATTGTTTTTCTGCATAAAAATCTCCATCAAAGAAAAAGAAAAGGTGCATCCATATTTGTAGGCGTAAACAATGGCTGGTAGTACACAAGGACATTGTAATTAAATTCTTAGTGTCTTACATACACACACATACACATAGACATGTGCACAAAGCTTGCAGCACCCTCTGTCTGTCTCATTATTAGGAGTATGGTAGAAAACATTACGAGAGACAGCCTAATTAGTTCAACAGACGTGACTTTGCTGATCAAGTCTCTTTGACTCTTTGGAGCAAATTGGGCATCGTATGAAGTAGCCCACTGTGGCGTTCCCAATGACCAAAACCAACTCTTATCTCGCACAACTCTATGATCTTGCCAATTAGGTATATCTGTTTAAACTTTCTCAAACAACTAAATAGCACGATTCTTGATAGAGGTACCTGAACTCTTTTTTTTTTTTTTTTTTTTTTTTTGGCAACATGGAGAACTGAACAACAATCATGAGCACGGCTGTGGTATTAGTCTTCCACTAGCGACATATCTGTGGAGAGATGTTTGGCTACTAAGTATCTACGTATACCACTTCAGTTTAGTTATGGGTAGAGCTCAACGTTCTCATGTTTATTATATACAAAAATCACAGGGGGATATTGCAAGCGTGTTTAGGCACAGCCCACAAATCTTTACTCAGCTACTGTGGCAAATGATAGCCCCACATCCCTCTTTCCTCTTGCAGGAAGCGAAAAAAAAAAAAAAAAAAAAAAAAAGGAGTATTAAGAGAGTGAATGCAAACGGATGGCTTGCATGATTTAAAAAACAACCATGTAGTCTCTATGCTGTTCAACTGATGCCTTTGCGCCCCCGTTCCTTGTTATGTTTTAAAGTCGGCAGTGAAATAGTTGGTAGGAAGAGCCTTCCTCAGCGAGAAGAAAGGATATAGAGCTTTGTTTGTTGCATTACCGTGTTGTTGTGAAGCCCAATTTGGCGAAGGTATCAATTGGTTACTACTCCAACCGTGGCTGAAGCAGATGCCTTCATGCTATCATTGCTTTGGACGAGTTCAAATTGGCATAAGAAGGTGTCGAAAGGGGTAACACTAGGGGAACATGACCTAGTATGGGATAAAGAAACTTAAAGGGGTGGATCCCTCAGATAGCTGATGCGATATAGAATCTATCCTTATTGGCTGATCCGATCCAGCGCTGTCTATAACAAGCGAAGGATATAGATGCTCAGTCACCGGTCTCGTCTGACAATTAAATAGGAAGAAAATCACCTGTACTTGAAGCAGCAGCCGTGCGTGTTATTGTCATGGTTTAGACAGACCAGGCTTATTTAAGGTAGAGTGTCACCTTTCATAGCACTATAAGAGGCGTCCAGTCTGAGATGTAAGGGGCCGATCAAGCAGCCATGTTTCAATATTAAACATTCCGTATATTAGAGCCTCATGCATTACGGTGCCTTGAACCTAATAGGCAACTCAATAGTTCGTAGTATTGTTTGCGTTAAAAGTTTTCTCATCTCAGCAGAAGCAACGAGGTAAGGTGTAAAAGGCTTTTCTTTTTTTTTTTTTCACAGAATAACAGCCATCTCTACTGTCTATTCAGAATGTTTGAAAATGTACAATTAGATGGTGAATAGAAAGATAAATAGTAAGTCACCATCACATTTGTGTCTGGGGAAGTAAAGCAGAGAGAGTTTCACGTCCAGTTAAGCATTTGATGAATTACCCAGGTTATATAGCACTAAAGGAATACATACTTGGGTGGAAAAAAAGAAGTGGAAGAGACACACTTAAAAGAGCCTTGAGATTCATATAGATTCGCGATACTAAAGCCAAACGGCGACATGAACCATACCATTAAGGTTGAATGTATTTTTTTATTCACCTCTGAAGGCGCAGCACTTTATTCTTTTAAATCTCCCTATTTATCAAAGTGATGTCTGCCGCCATGATTTAGGGAAATAATGAAGGAAAAAAAGATGTTGCACACTCATCAGTTTTGATGGTGAGCACTCTAACTCCACGTCTTTTGTAAATTCAGGAAGTGAGAGTACAAATAAGTTGTAGATATATGCGAGTTGTAGACAGACCTGTATAAATGATCTAAAGGAAAAAGATATTTGGTGCCTCAAAGCCAGAGAAGAGGAAAAAAAAAATTCATCTTGGCCAGACATGAACAGTTAAAAGGCTTCCTCTCCTCTTTCCCATTTATATTCTCTAGATATCTCGTCTATTCAGATCCGCTGAAGTAACCAACGGATTCATTAGGGCCTTGAGTGAGGGTCTTGCATTCAGTCTCCGCCTTAACAGGTAGGGGTTGGAACCTTTCGGTTCTAAATTGCGGAACTCAGTTAAGGAATACATCTATACTGGTAGCCTCTGGAGGGACAGGTAGCACATTTGAAAAGTAGGCACAAAAACGACCTCTGTGCATTTGCCTATTTATATTCCATCTTGGTATTCCTAAGAAAATACTAAGAACTAAATTGGATGCTTTTTTTCTTTTTATTATTATTGGTCTTTCTGGCCATTATCTATAATATTTCCAAGGAGGATTTTTTGTCGAACGGCGTCAAACATGACTTTTTCAAGGCTTGTTTGAATCATGAGTGCAGAGGACTAAAGTTGTCAAGCTTGCGGAGAATAGTCATCGTGCTCTCATATATACTGAACACAATTCCACCGGACATCTGATAAGAAAAAAAAAAAAGTAAAAAAGTAAGAGTAAACAATATTCGCGTTAGTTCCTATATTGCTCAAGACAATCGTTTCTTAAAAAAAATAAAAATAAAAATAAAAAAAAAAAAATAAAAAAAAACGAATATGACACAACACAACATAACGCAATCTTCGAGACTTTTAATATATTTATTATTACCGAGAGGCGTGCCAACCGAGGCGTTGCTCCATTCCAAAAACTCAAGAGACCCTCATTTTTGAATACTTTCCAGCAGCAGTCAAATACGCCAGAGTAGAGTTGACGTGCATTCAACCCTTGCATCTTGGTTTTGACTACATCCAATGGCATGGTTGTGTAAACCGTCACAATGCCTGCAATGGCTCCAATGCCAAAGGTATATGCTGCTGGCATCTGTTGTGTTCCTGATGCCATCATCCGCGCCTTGACTAAATCATTGAGACTTGAATAAACACCGAATCGAACGGCGCTGTTAGCACCTTGACGAGCCATTACAGGGATCACTCCTCGATAAATGCCACCAAGCCCTTCAGCTTTGACAATCGTCTTCACGCCTGTTTATATGTTTGAACAGTAAGTATTAAAAAAAAAAAAAAAAAAAAAAAAAAAAAAACTTAGCAGACAGATACCAAGGTATAAGATTAATACTCACCAATCTAACGATGCTATGGTGTCTCGCAAGAGTAAACACTAACCATGAACTAGACCACGGTACTGTGGGTTGGCAGAGTTTCCATCATGAATAAGCTTTGTCCTGTGATATTAGAAAAGATGCCAAGTATGTTTTTATATTAGATCTAGATTGTCCGTCTCTTGCTTACTTTGCTATATTGTATAAGTTATGGTATGCGGTTCATCCGATAAAATAAAAAAATTCTTACTTGATAGTTTCTGAAGGCGTCACTACAAACAAAGCTTCTGTCATACCAGCTCCAAGTCCAGCTTTTGAAAAAAAAAAAAAAAAAAAAAAAAGAGGTTTTCCTGGTGAATATGACCATATCATTGGAGGACCTTGAAAGCAATTTTAAATCTATTTTTTTTTTTTTTTACCAAGGACAGATCGAACGCCTGTGGTTTTCCCCTCTGAATCCTTGAGCAGATTTTTGTATTGTTCAAATGAAAAGAAGCGGACCCCTGCTTTGGCAGTGTTGCCAATGACCATAGCAGACAAGCCTCGATAGATGGCGGTGAGTCCCTGCGTCCTGACTGTGCTCACTAAAATATCAATTGGTCCCTTGGGTGCCTAAAATATGATATGCAATAGGAGTGAATGAGATGCATGTAATAAAAAAAAGCAGTCAAATTTAGATTTTTTGATCACCCAAAAAAAAAAATATAATCTCGTTTTGTATCAGATCTGATCATCCCTGATCTTCTTGTTGATTTAAACTTGACTATCACCGTTGCTGAGTACTACAACGACTATTACTCCAACATACACGGCTGAAATTCAAAAATTATTATTATTACCGTGGCACTTTTTTGGACAGGACTACTGCTCTTGGATCCCTGTTGTAGTTGCAACTGTGTCTTGACAAACTCTGTCGGATAAGTAATCGTAGCCTCAATTGCTCCTGCAATGGATCCTGCAGTCAATGTATACACCGCTGGGTCTTTCCGCTGATGATAACACCGTAATAATATCGTTTTTTTTTTTGAAGGAAATATAAAAGAAAAAGATGAAAAGATCAATGCCTGTTTCAATTTTATAAATTAAGCGTGTTTCGAGCGTATTGTCCCTGAGTGCTGACCCTGTTCGTTTCAACTACCTTAGTTGCCATTGTTGGTTGAATGAGTAAGAAAAAAAAAAAAAAAAAAAAAATAGAGATGAAATGAGGGCTTTTTTTGTGAGAGTTTGTCTTTTGACAGTGAGGGAGAGAAAGAATTATAGATTAAAAGAAGGTGGAGAACAAAAGGCTAAGATCGATAAAAAACGGGCATAGTCATTTTCCTATCAATGTGAGTTGATATTTGCATTATATCCTAGTCACGAGACATGTGTTTAATTTTTTTTTATTCAGTTCTTTCTTCCTTAATTACGCGGCTCAAAAGAATGTCTCCTTGCTGATATTGCGCGTTCTTCGCATCAGGTCTGTTCGTTTCAACAATCCCGTTCACCTTGTCGATCACACGGTTGTGGCGATCTGCTGAAATAAACGTGGACAGATCCTTATGTAATAATATTTATCAGGCAAAAAAAGGGCTTATTAGCGGAATACAAAAAGAATAGCGCAAGAACTAAAATTGATGTTACATACTTGTCAATGAACTCCTCGCTCACTCCAAAGGAATGTGTCATGCTCCGAATAGCAGCAGATCGGTAAGACTCCAACAGCTGAGCATATCCTCGGATGCGCATCTCACGGACATGGCGTTACCCACTTACCGTGAACGTAAAGTATTTCTTGTTGCATTCTTGATTTTCTTGCTTGTTTGTTTGTTTGTATTGAATGATTCGGAGCTCTTCAACAGATTAAGTGATCGTTTTTTTTTTTTTTTTTTTTTGTTTTTATTCTTATTTTCGCAGAGCAGCCCTATGATTAAACCCCATCTCGTCTCACTATATGATAAAAAGGTAGAGCAAAACTTGATTCGTGTGATTGGGCCATTCTCGGGGTCGAGATTTATCATATTGCAGATATCATCAAACTTCCACAAATGCTTTTGGACAAGACATTGTTGGGAGGTATTGAATCAAGGAGCTGTATGCCTTGTAGTTTTTGAGGACACACCTGCAGACAAGACAAATAACAGTGCATTGGATACGATGAAGAATATGGCCAATGTTGTGGAATCACTCTACGAGAAGGCATCCAAATTGACCTGATCCAATTTTAGACGGTTATTCCTTTCCTTTTCTTTTTTAATACCATCAGAAGTTCTTCTTCCATTTCCATTTCCATTTCCCTTTTTTTTTTTTTTTTTTTTTTTTTTCCTTCTTCTAATAAAAAAAAATTGTTAAACTAGAAAGGAATGGTAATTTATTTTACAAAATGGATGTTAAAAAATAAAAATAAAAGTTGGGAAGTTGTATTTAAAGTTTTGTGCCAGTCTTTTCTGCAGAAGTAACAATATCCTCCAGCTTGGATCCTAAGCGAATGACAGCATGTCGAAGAACACGAGGATCGACCTTGAGCCTCTTGTTGAGTTCATTGATCACTGTTGGATTTGCATCAAACTGCATTAGCCATTGACTACATATATATATATATGTAAGGAAATAAGAATTAGTTATTAAGTCTTTTTTCTTTTTTCTTTGCATACTAGAGATAAATAAATAAATAAATAAAAATACGTACAACCCATGCATATGATATTCTTGATGTTTCCGGATACGGTAGGGCAATTGTTTCTCTCCCAAAGGCTTCAGGTTCCTAACAACTCCACCCTTGTTCATGACGATCAAGGATGTTTGCTTGACCAGGTCTTTCAAGTTGGCCTAGTAGAGATATTTCAACCAAAAAAAAAAAAAAAAAAAAAAAAAAAAATCAGAAAAAGACAATGAACTGCTATGCCTTCTCAATATAGAATATAAAATATAAATGCGTATCTTCCAACTTCAACGATCGCTATTTGTGATCCTGTATATAGCATGATCCAGTTATATAATGGGCTGGTATTTGAACATCAATTGTTAGGTTCCAGGCCTCTTTCTTTTTTAGATCTGCTATCTCTACAGTCCTGTAATATAGTCCAATTATTGTTATCTTGTGTATTAACAAGGTGTTCTTCCGATGCAAAAACTGATCGCCATTACTATTATTCGCATGCACAGCTGTGTTTGTCTGTCCTGAAAGATGGCTGGCTCTTGTATCTATCGCATAACAGATAACAATATTAAAAAAAAAATAAAAAAAAAAAAAACAAAGAGTACCTCGACAAGACGAGTCCTGGAGATGCAGAAAAGCTCGTAAAAGACCATGGCTGAAGAAAAAAGATGTCGGAGCAGGGGGTTAAAAAAACAAAAGCGTCTTGAGCTCGATGGATGGAATGAATGAAGGTTTTTATTTTGAAGCAAAATTGTGTGGCTGCGACTTTGCTCCGTCCGTGGCTTTGGTTTCGATGGCAGTTCAATTTTTGTTTGAAAATTAAATCGATACCTTTATTTTGAAAGAAAAGTAAATAGCATGTAAAAGAGAGAGAGAAATGTATAGTGTAGGTGTATGATACTAGTATAGATTAGGGATTTAAATGCCTTTCACATCAGAGTGACTTGAGCTTTTAAGCAAAAGTGGGTCTGTAGGCCAGGCACCAAGCCGCTTCATGATCAGTTTAGTGATAAAGTCAACGATCCAGGACGGCGCTATCTCCTGCAACCAAATTAAGGTTCCGACCCACCAAAAGCCAATCAAGATACGAGCCCTCTGTGCCCCATTCTTCTTCCTGATGGCACTGACAGAAGCATCCACAACCCATTTGGAGGGCATGGAACGGTTATAAAGCTCTTCCGCATGAGTCTTTACACCTTGAACGAATTGAGATCCATACCTCTTTTGAATCGAAATATCTGCTGCTTTCCATGATCGTTCCAGAACTGAATGTGCACCAGCAACCAAGGGAGTCTTGGCATAGAAAGGTTCCAACATCGAGACATCAATCTCAAATGGGGATAATTCTACACGCAGTGTATCCATAATAGATTCTGCAGCATGTTTTGAAGCGTTGTAACCACCATGACCTGGAGGGTTGGCGCGACCAGCAATGGAGGTAATAGTGAGGAGACGTGCGCGAGGTAAGTGTTTGCCCTGAGGACTATGACGAGATCTGGCATAAATGCGTAGACTAGGAAGCATAGCCTTGGAGATACGAATAAGGCCCATGTAGTTGACATCCATAAGTTTCTAAAAAAAAAAAAAAAAAAAAAAAAAATTAATTACGCCGATTGTGCCCCTGAGAATAGACCACCTCATAAAATTCTTTTTTTCCCAATGATCCGGATTTGTGGTTCATTCTTCTTCCTTCTGTTGCCCATCCCTTGCTTTACCTGAAAACTGTCTTCGGTTGCAAAATCAAAGAATCCTCCGGCATAGATTCCTATACATAGAAGTAAAAAAAATAAAATAAATAAATCAATCATTCAAACAATTATGAAAAGAAAGGAACAATAGCTTGTTCGCTCTCTTCAGTTTGAAGGAAAATAAAAATAAAAAAAGCCTCATCTTATTTACCGGCATTGTTGAGGAGACAATAAACACCTTGAGGACATTCTTCCTCAATTTGAGTACGAAGACGGTTGACATCGTCCTGCTTTGTGACATCGATCTGGAGAGGTCTGATACGCGATGACTGCCTGGCTTTGTAGGCTTCTACAGCCTGTTCAGTCAAGCAAGTAGCATAGATGGTGAAGCCTCCTCGTTGGTACAGATCTTCGGTGATCTCTGCACCGAATCCGGTATCACAACCAGTGATTACCACAACAAGATTAGCGGAATTAGTCGGTGCCATAATTTTTTTTTTTTAATGTTACAGGAATGAAAGAAGAATGAGTTGGAATGAGTAGGATGAACTGAATGAGCAGAAGCCAAGGAAAGAGAGGAAGAGGAAAAAGAGAAGGAAAAAAAAAGGAAGAGAGAGCGTAATGTTTGCCTTTATACATGCAAGTTCAATTGTACGTTTGTCCTTGTCTGTCACTTTGCCCTGCATGTTGATATAGGATTTATCAAGCCGATTACTGTGGAGTAAAAAAATAAAATAAAATAAAATGGCACATGTGTAGCCCGATTGTTTGAGAAGCATGAGCACTTCGCCATGTTGACCATGCTATGCCTGTATTGCAAATATTAAAGTTAGTTAAAATGAACTGGATGATAACGGATACATCTTGTCCTATTGGGTATTAGACCTGTAGCCGACCGACCCGAAAAAGTTGGACCGTGCCAATGTTGCCTGCAACGGTATAGAACAAATGTTGTTTTCATTTCATTCAGCAAACTAATTCAAGAGTCGCGTTGTACGGAATTATAGCGTACCCCCAAACATTATCAATCACACCACACCATATTCATTTAGAGTATTGGGATGGTACGCTTTTGATTTATTTATCACTATCACGACCATCAACCTTTGTTCATCTCGCTTTTTCCTTCTCTACTTAACAATCTTCTTTGGTAGAAGAATAACCAATTTTATCCTCCCCATGTTCAAGCTGATCTTCATTAGCTTTGGAGCCAACAGTGGCCTTGCCTGACATGCTGTTATTTTCTTCTGGGCTCCTTGAAGGGTCATGGTTGGCAGCCAAGAGGACAACTACGATGAGACATACTCCTCCCATGACCGCCGCGGAGTAGAACGCGGCTCGGTAACCTGATAGGAGTTCGACTCCCTGAGCATCAGGTGCGTTTATACTATTCGCAACCACATTGGAAATGGCCACACCGAGAGGTGCACCTATTTGAACGGCAACATTGTAAACTTTTTTTTTTTTTTTTTTTTTTTTTTTGCATGGCCATGAAGGTAAAAAAAGAGCAAATGTAGAAAGTCAGAAAAGTAGCACATTTACAAAACAAAAACTTGATTGTATAATCCACGTTTATGCATTTCTCTTTTTTTACTTACTTGCTCCAACAACACCCTGATCCTCATTCCTAGCATCGGCTACAGAATTAATCTGGCAGCAGAGCCATATAGGCGCCATACCCAGGGCGTTGAGGATCAAAGCTGGGAAAGCTATGGACCAATAACTTGAATCTTCCTTTATCTGGGCTAAGAGGACGAAAGAAGCAATAGAGCATATAGAACCAAAGACTGAAATGATTTTGGTCCTAACCTTCGTCACCAACTTTGTCATTATTGCCATACACAGGAGTGAACCAAGACCATTGGCGATAAAACACAATGATGTGGTCATGGGAGAATAGCTCTGGACGTTTTGGGCTGTCAACGAAAAGAAAAAGACCATGGCATTGGTGGCGGCCGTTTGACTCATAATCGCCAACGTTGAGGCTACTAAACGTCGAGAATGCCAAATATGTAAAGGCATGATTGGAAACTTGATTTTCCATTCCACTACCAAAAATCCGAGCAAGAATACAAGCCCCACACAGAAAGGTACCAAGGCTAAGGCTGAAGCCCAGCCTGCATTAGGACCTTCGCTCAAGTAATAAATCACTGCAACAATACCGAGCGTAAATAAAAAGCTTCCCATTATATCAATGCGACGATCCTCTACTGTAGAGATATCCCTCTCTTTGGGAACAATAACTATAGCAAGCGCAGCCATAATGAAGCCCAGAATCGCTGTGAAGTAAAAGATCCATCGCCATCCTGTTAAGGAATACAGGTAAAGAAAGGGAAAGAAAAAGGTATGTTAATTGGAGTTGTAAATTATCACGCACATCTCTGTAATTTTTTTTTTTATTACCTATAGTCGAGCCAAGGAGACCGCCCAGGAGGACTCCAAGGACAGATCCAACCGCGCCACTGCCTCCAAAGACTGCAAGAGCTTGATTGCGCTCAGGCCCTGCAGGGTAGGTTGTGGTCAAGATTGCAAGGGCATTTGGGATTGTAAATCCTGCACCCACTCCTTGCAAGGCCCGTCCGACGGACATGACAATTGGGTTTTTGGCAAACCCATTGACAAGTGACCAAATTGAAAACCATGTAATACCGAGTATGTACATCCGCCGATGCCCAAACAGATCACCTAGACGGCCCCCAACCAGGAGGAGCGCACCAAATGCAAGTGCATAAGCTGAGCTCACCCTTGATATATCAATATTAAATCAATGTACAAATCGAGATCAGATTTTGGTGATTTAAATGATTTAATGGTAAAAAAAGCTAAAAAGCATGCTTGGCTTACCACTGCAATTGATCAGCTCTAAAGCCGACTTGGTGCATAATGTCTGGCAATATAATTACCACACTTCCAATGTTAATAATGTCAAGCAGCTAAAAAAAAAAAAAAAAAAAAAAAAAAAAAACACGTGTAGTGGAAGCATATTAGGGGAGATTGTACTAAACAAGATCCAGAACACCAAGAGAAGAAAAGAAGGTGTACCTGCGCCATGGCCATAAGCGCAAGCAATGGTGCTTTCATCTGGTTCAGTCTGCGATACCAGGGTAACTGGGGTTTGGTGTCTATTGTTGTTAATGCTGCGTCCATTTTTATTGTTAGAAAAATGATGTATATGAAGTAGAAAAGATGGGGCGTACGGGTATCAGGAGTAAAAGGACAGATCAGCCTTTCACACAGTAGGAAGTAAAGCAAGAATGAAAGGAAAGAAAGATCCGTTATGACAATACAAATAAAGAGTTAAGGGATTCAGCATTGATCTTTTTATAAGCTCAACTCGCAAGTAATAGGGTTCAGTTGCCGGTTTTTTATGCTACAAGTTCGAGTCTCTGGACAAATCACCAACAAGGCGGCCAAGCCCCCCGCAGCCCCGCAGCATATTTGTGTGATTATTGAACCTAGACATTTCTGGATTTCAGATTTTAACATTTGCAAAATAAATAAGGACATCTCAAAAACCTGGCTATAAAGCCCCACCTCAGCTTTGTGCTAGATAGAGATGGAGACCCTTGAGCCTCAGCTGGGGCTTTTTGCCTTACATGGTATGATTTCCCCTTATTTCTTATGATTCCCCATTTTTCTTTTTAATGCATTCTACACGCTCTACTCGAATGCCCTACATGTACTTTTGCGGTTTTAGACCTACTCAACTATATAGAAGAAGCCTAGTGACACCACTACGCTCCTCAAAGAAGGACGATTTAACTTTCTCTACCCGTTCATTGAGCTTCGGTGAAGGTTATAGCGGACGACATGGAGGCCATTGACGAAGTGGACCAACTAGAACCATAGTATTAATGAACTTTTGCCTCCCCATACCACGCCAACCGGTTAAGTTTCAGTCCCCTCGCAGAAAACAACAATTTTAGTCAATAAATAGATAAACATCCTAAATATCAAGGTTGCAGGACCAGAACCGAATTCCTGGAGCCAGTTCCATTTTAAATAACGCTTATCCTACGCTGTGGCATATGCACGTTTAATGTTCCAGATTTTGTTGCAAGAGATGCAAGAATGAGTGAGGTTTACGCTTGGGAAGGATGTCTGAACCCATGAAAAAATAAATAAAACAGCTTTTCGAATGAATATCTGATCTTTACCAAGGCAGGAAACTATGACGATAATGTCTATATGCACCCAAAAGAAGATTCAACCTAAATGATTATAGGATTTGCTACACACTTGTATTCAAATCGAATGGACTGCATGTCGTCAGATCTAGACAGCTTCCCGAGGACAAGCTTCCCGGCCGGCTCATTTCCACCAGTAACAAGACAGACTAATTCGTGTCCGAGACCAGGAACGTTGTAGCCTCTTAGGAAAGACATATCCAAGTTTTGAGGATGTGATCCAACTATGAGCAAGGTTTTGGGTCTACATTCAATGGTCTTCATCTCGGACAAAACGTGCGTAGTTGTCAGTTCTATAATTTTGATATCAAGTGTCAAAGCAAAGAAAGGTTGTAATAATGCAATTGCCGATATCAAGAGCGATCTGTCTCCCCTCTTTGTGTAAGCCTAGCATGCGTTGTTAACCACATTGAGGAAGGGGAACTGGGATTGAGTTGATAGAGACAAGAGGGATGGGAGAAAGGCCGGGGGATGAAGTGAAAGGACGGGAACAGGGTTGTGATAGGCGTCAGGATGACGTTATAACCTGCCACCGATATTACACTTTAACAACCCCCTATTTCTACATGTGCCTGACCATTGACCCATTGTGTTTGCGCCCTGAATCATAATTAAGCCCATGAAGTATAACTAAAAACACACCACAGTCAATTTTTCTTTCTTCTTTTGTTCATTCATTGTTCATTACTTGCTCATTCTCTCATTTGTACTTTACATTCACCTCTTTCCTTCTTTCTTTCCTTCTTTCTTACCTTCCTCTTATACAGCCAACTCTTCCCCTCTCCTCTAAGCACCGTCGTATCGTTGTTGCTGCCTTTTAATCATACAAGCTTCTTAGACCTATGGCATACATTACCAAAGACCAGCTTAGTATGTTTTTATTCAGAAACGAAATACATTTTATTTGCCTTACGCGAAAATTGAGCCCGAGCAAACCATCAACTCACTGTTCTTCCACTTTCTCTGCATTGTTTTCCATTGATAGATCTATACCTGCAAAAGGTCAATGGTCACTCAACAGGACCTGGCAGTTTAAACAACAATGGCACTACAAAGACTCGTTCCACCCTCACTGGACCTCGTCCACCGACCTTTGGCATGAAAGCGAGCAGCCAAAAGATATTCCAAGACGGCCCTAATGCCAATGTTACTACTTCAAACCACAATCAATACAATCCAGCCCATAACCACTACCATAACCAACATTCTTCCTCACTTCCCAAAACTCAACAGCAGCAATCCTCCTACTCTACAGCTCTCCCTTCACCCGTCACCCCTACAAATGGACAACTGGATTCTGCTGTCAAGAACCTAAGCCTGTCCTCTATGCCTGGAGCTCCCAATAAGAACAATAACACACAGCGACCTCCTAGTCCTATTTTGGAATCCATGGGTGAGGTAGAGCCGATTTTGGAATCCATGGGAAGAGATGATGACTACTATGATTCAGACGAAGCAATGCGTCAATATCAATATGCGCAACAGCAATATAGTGCATTTCATGGATCAGGAGGACACGAGCATGCACAGACTTGGGCAGCCCCTGGATTTGCCATGGGACAACAACCGCCACATCAAAATCCAGGGGTTTATGGCCAACATCAGCCGATCCCCTCTCAGTTCTACCAACAAAATTATCTTAATCAACCGCAGCCACAACAACAGTTTCCTATTCATCTCAGTCAGGAGCAGTACAGGACCCTGCAACAACAACAACAGCAGCAACAGCAGCAACAACAAGAATACTTACGACAGCAGCATGTTACACATGCTGCTGCTCATGGCTATCGTCCTATTTCCACAACCTCGTCACCATCCTCATCACCGAACTTGGCTCAAACAGTATCCACACCCCCTAAAACGATTACGCCTCGGATTGTTCCAATTATGGATATTCCAAAGTACACCGTCGTCAATCCACCCAAATCAGAGATTGCGGATGACGAGCCTTCAGATGATGATAATTGGGCACCTGAACCACCTCCAAGGGACGCTCCCAAAAAAAAGGAATCTAATCCTATCCCCGGTTTCGTTTCTGCTTCATCCACGCCGCCCCGGACCCCACCCAAGACCAACGCTAATGCAAAAAAGCCATTGCCACGACCTTACACACCTGTTGAGCACTCCCCTGTAGAGAGATCTCCAACACCCAAAAGATCCGACTCGGACTCGACGACTCACTCGTTCACATCTGCTTCTACCTCATCTACAGAGCTCACCGTACCGCGGGAAACCAATGACGACGATGATGGTTATGAGAAAGAGGAAGAAAAAAGAAGTGAGTTAGAGCGAGTACCGCTGCCTCCGCCTCGTGAATTCCGTCCCAAAAGTGCCGCATCGCCAACGATCGCCCCAGCGCCGGTTGCCTCTGCTGTATTGGCCAAGAGTCCAGATGGTATCTTCAGACCAAATCTTAATCCATCAGAGGCTTCGTCCTCTTCCACGGGTTCAAATAGTTCTTTTAAATCAAAGGGAGGGTCTGTCCCACCTTTGGGAACTGTTCGTGCCGACTCTCCATCTTCAGGAGCAAGAGCAACGTTGTCCAGTAGCAATAACGTCAAAACAATCAATTCAAAGACGACGGGGACAATCGGATCAAATCCATGGACAACACGTAAAGCAGTGGACACCGTTCGAGCAAATCCTTCTCCTTCCAAGAGCGCGAACGCAGGGACGACAACAACAACTGGAGCAAAGACTACTACGACTCCTCCAACGTCATCATTCTTCCGACGTAAGCCTGTGCCTACTATTCCTTCGAATAAAGAACTTTCATCCAGTCAGCCAAAAACGACCGCGGTTCCAACAACTACAACGGCAACAACAGCGGCATCGACACCAACACGTGTACGAACGCCAACACCGCCTTCAGTGTCGTCATCGCCACTGCAGATACAGCAACAACAGAAGCAACAGCAACAGGGTTCTAAAAACATTCCTGCAGTTGCCTTGCCGCCGCCCCCACCAAGTCTGACGAACGCACAGCTTGACATAGACCATGATAGCAAGTGCATTCTCATAGATGAGGATACACCTAGATCTGCTCCAATGGAAGACGGTTTCTCACATGAGGCTATGATGGAGGATCAAAAGAGGGAAAGACATTGTTCACCATCGCCACCTTCGCCGACAATGGCAGCAGCAGCAATAGAGACAGCAAAAAACACTGTAGGCAGAACCGGATCGTCTCCATCCCCGTCTTTGACAAATGATCCTTCACGCAAGAGCAGTTCTGGCTCCAACAAAGGAACAAACCATCAAACTACAGCATTTATTTGTTCGAGTTGCGATGAACCTATTTCTGGCTTGATGATTACAGCGATGGGCAAGCGATGGCATTCTGAACATTTTGTCTGCTGTATTTGTAATACCAACTTGGAGCATGTTCAATTTTTCCAGAAGGACGGAAAGCCTTATTGTCATCTGGACTATCATGAATTATTTAGTCCAAAGTGTGGTCATTGCAACACAGCCATTGAAAATGTAATAATTCTTTTTTTTTTTTTTTTTTTTTTTTTTTTTTGATCGTATGTTTTTTATTTTTACATTGATATTCACTTTTTTTTTTTTTTTTTTTTTTTTTTTTTTGGTTTTCGCTTCTGTCTCTATTAGGAATGCTTGACTGCATTGGGCAAGAACTGGCATCCAGGCCATTTCTTCTGTCGCGAATGTGGAGATCCATTTGGAGAGGACGGATATATGGTGCATGATGATTTCCCATATTGTGAAAAGGATTACTTGCGATTATTTGCACCCAAATGCGCTGGATGCCAGGATCCAATTCAAGGCGACTTTATTAGTGCGTTAAAGGGCAAATGGCACCGCGATTGCTTTGGATGCACTGTAAGTTTTTCGTTTTTTTTTTTTTTTTATTCCTCCTTTCCTTTTAATGAAATATTGTTATTCTTAAATTAACCCACTTCATAAAATCGACCATTATGATGTTATAGATTTGTCATATCGGGTTTGATTCATCGTCTTATTATGTCCAAAATGGAAAGCCCTATTGTCAAGCACATTATAAGACTGGAGCTGCTGCATCTCAAGCTGTTGTAGCATAATAACTGCCACCTCTGATTACATCCCATCTAGAAATTAGCATAGAACACCACCTATCATAGAGAAGGGCCAAAAGCAAAATAAACAGATCCTGTTTGTCTAAAAATATATATCTGCTCTACAGTTTATTCTAATGATTGGCAATCCTCCGTCTCTTTTTTTTTTTTTTTTTTTTTTTTTTTTTTGGTCTTTTTTAAGCCTTCTTGGGACGCTCGATCACGGGGAAACGCAACTGAGAGATGATCTTGCCCTTGGTTCCTAACTCGCAAGTGACGGTCTCTCCAGGTCGAACGGGTCCAACTCCAGCAGGGGTTCCTGTCAAGATTACATCTCCCTCCTGAAGCTTCATAATCGAGGATACGTATTCAACTAGCGAAGGGATTCTATAGATATACAAACAATGTTTTTTCGTATTAGTGTCTGCTTTAGCCAATGAAAGATTTTTTTCTTTTTTTTTTGAGATTGTACTTTTCTCCATCATTTACTTGAAGATCATATCCTTAGTATTTCCATTCTGTTTAGTGACTCCATCGATCTTGAGCGAGAGATCCACATTGTTGGTGTCAGGGATAGATTCCTTTGGGATCAATTCACCAATGGGTGTAAAGGTGTCATAACCTTTAGCAGCACTCCAGGGCAATCCTTGTTTCTTTGCAATCTCTTGAAGATTACGAGCAGTCATATCCAAGGCCAAGGTGTAGCCTGCAATATGATGGTCCACATCCTTGGCAGGGATGTCACGACCGTCTTTTCCAATGACCACACCTAATTCGACCTCATGATGAACTTCACATCCCGAGGGTACTTCGATCGCTTGACCATTCGAGATGTAAGACGATGTGGGCTTCAAAAAGAAGAAGGGAGCTTTTGGAACTGCATTTCCCAACTCCTTGGCATGTTCACTGAAATTACGACCGATGGCAACGATCTTTCGACCAGACTGAATGAAATTGCGAGCTGCCATTGAAAAGAGGAAGTTTGCGGAGATACAGGGAACGAAAAAAAAAAAAAAAAAAAAAAATTGTGGGGAGAACTTTCCTCTTTCGTGACACGCAAAAAAAAAAAAAAAAAAAAGATTTCCAAACTGACGCGTCGCGTTTTTTTTTTTTTTTTTGTCTAAACTATAAAAAGGTTAATTTGGGTAACTGATGGCTCATATCAAGCACAAATGTAATGGATGGCCCTCTCATAATTTCATTGAAGGCTAAGACGTGCCTTGCTGTGGCATTTGGAAAGACATGGATAGTACTCTTGAATAGCTCTGAAACACCATTTACATTTTCATCTCTAAGATGATGGTCCAAGTGGCTGCATCCCATGGACTATCAAGGACTTTGTTTTCATCAGAGATGGAGGCTTTCTAGAGAATAACCTTGTGTGGAGGAACGGGAATTGAGGTCTATCATATTCCCTTTCTTGACTCATCAGAACGTTTTTTTTTTTTTTTTTTTTTTTTTTTTTGAAGAGATCATTGAACTTCTGAGCTCGAACTTAGTGGTCATAGTGGTGCCTTCTGTTGACAGGTGGCTAGCCGCAGTGAAGTAACTTGAGCTAACTGAGGCAGGCGCGGGCGCTGTCCTTTTAGTTTTGTATCCTTCCTTTAGAATGAAGAAGGTTATGTGACATCAAAAGTGATTAAGTCAGGGGATGGAGGAGATTTGCAACTTGCATCAACGAGCGAGTTTGCGCGGTTTCATTAAAAAAACAAAAAAAAGTCTTCCAAGCTCATTACAAGCCTGGATGGCGTATGTGCCATACAGGGGCATGCACGATGTTGTCGTGCACTTTTTTTTTTTTTTTTTTTTTTACTCCGTTTAATCACGATCGTCTTCACTACTCCAATCGCTATTACGGAGCGCATAAAAGTTTCATCAATGTGCTTGTTTGACATCTAGTCAATGAATTACCTTCTACACTTCAACATGGGTAGCAGCGCATTTAGAGATGCCACTTGCTCTTAGAGCCAAAGCATTGTTTATTATCTGTTTTAATCTGTTCTGCTACCTTGCTCAGATGGATACAAGGGATAATATCCGCTTGAGGCGGTTACAGCCCCGTAGCCCCCTGTACTTACAGGGAGCTCTCCGGCAAAGTAGAGCTCCTCGATGAGTTCCCTGTAATTGTGCGGGGCCTCAATCGAAGGACTCTACGCGTTAGCTCTAACTACAACTTTCCTCCAGTTGTAGTTGACAGATGTGTTGTGGAAAGTCTTGGAGACACGAATGCAATTTGCAATGTCAGCTTTATCCAGGGAGCCCCCGGCCAGGCTACGGATCTCTGGGGCCTTCAAAGGGCTCAATCTAAAGTTTTCCATTGTGTAAAGAGAGGGATAAAGCAAGAATGGGAGCTGGTGAAAGAAAAGAAAGCGGAAGGTTTAGTGTGTGAGCAGTGTGAAGAAGAGAGGAGAAAAGGAAAAGAAGAGAGTCGCATATTCGTGAAGAAGAAGCAAGAGAAGAGTTGCGCATTAATGAGGAATAAGAGAAAGAGAGAGGGAAAAGAAATAGTCGCGTATTCGTGAACGAATTAAAAAGCTTAGTTTTTGAGCGATGAGGAAGAAGAGAAGAGAAGAAAGAGAAGAAAAGGGTGTTCTTTTCCGCTAAGAGGCCCAGAGGCTAGCAATCCTCTAGAATCCCCACAGTGATCTTTCCTCAAGGAGTAGCAAGGGTTCAAGGGTTCGGTGGAGGGTCGGTGTAAGGGCCGGCAGAGGACCCGACGGCTTGTAACCCAAGCAAATAGACCTCTAAGGGAAGAAGACAAAAGAAAAATTCGGCGAGAATATTTGGTCAGCAGGGAACAGCAAAGTGCGCCTCAATACAAGCAGCAACAAAGAGCAAAAGCGCACAACGTATGCTCTATAAGGAAGAGCAAAAGAACACTTACAGGCCCGATTTCAGCCTTATTCCGATAAGCACACCATAGACTCATTGTAGTCTTTGGAAGGATCGTCGCTGAGGGTTCAAGGCCAGTGATGCCTGCTGCAGCTATAGGGAAGAAGGCAGAAGAGAGGAGATTAGTTAGTAAGTATCCTGGGCCTATCTGATGATAGAATAGATAGTGGACGAGCAAAGGCAAGACAAAGCAAAGTCATGCATAGGGCCACATACTCTACATGCTTACTTGATGACGGTGACGAGGACCCTTCTACAAATTGTACTTTTTTTCTGGCTAGAAGTTTTTTATTTATTCTTTTCTAATTTGTTGTATACATTGGATCATTCGATTTTGCTTTGGGCTCGCTCTGCAGCTGGATAGGAGTTCGTACTGTTTACAGTCTAAGGTTGATATGAAGGGAGGCAACAGGCAGGAAAAGAAAAGTCGGAACTATAGCAATGCAGCAAAGAGCGAGAGAGGTGAGGACTTGTCTAGGAGTGAATGCTTGAGAAGCATTGCTTACTTTTCATGTCTGTCGAGGAGCCTGAAGTAAAAAAGAAGAGAAAAGGAGAAAGCAATCCAATATTCGTTTCCGAAAGCGATCACGAATAAAGGATGAAGGCGCTTTTCAGGATGGCAGAGAGAAGAGGGTGAGTGAAACCCAACCTCTTGCTTTTTGTGCGTTCAAGAGTGAGCAAAAAAGAAAGAAAGAATATGACATACGAACATTAAAAGTGAACAATCTACGGGAATAACATCAATAGCATCCCATCAAGATCTGCAGGATTTTAACACTTTCCTTCACCATCAAACAAAGAAACTGATGAATCAGCTTAATCTTCAGTCGCATATTGTATATTGTATTGTATTGCAAACCTGTATGCCTTCACTTTTCTCAAAAAAGAACTGTTAAGAACTGCCGCAGCACCATTCCCAGAAAAGTATGCCCTGCTCCTTGTTAGAAATGAAGAGAGAGAATAGCCAAAGAGGATAAAGAGGCAGCCTTTTCTGCCTCACCATGCAGAGAATAGTTCAAGAGCAATGTGGCCAGATTGCAGATCTTGAATATGTTTTTAAATATCTCTTTTATCTTGTAATGATATGAAGAAAATTGATAGCATCATTATTATCCACTATTGATTCCTTTTCTTTCTTTTCCCATACTAGGCAAGGCATCAAGGAAGGATGGACTTCGATATATCCATTACGTCAACTTGGCAAAATGGCTTCTACATACCCAGGTACTGTTCACTACATGGACTACAAAGCAAGCTCGTTATGATTAAAGGTATGATGCAGAAACTGTTTGATCAGTGGTGTCATTCATGGTTTCATCACTACCGCTTTCCACTTTAAGTATTGCTTTGCTTGAGTTTGACTGATTGTTCACATCTGCAGTGTGTGAAGCGGCGTTAGGAACCCTTCGTATTTAAAGGCCTCTTTTTTTCTCCTTATTCGATAATCGAATAGAATTCGAATGCACTGTAAAAAGATTTTTTCGTCCCTTTTTTGTATGCCCTGGTTCAAGGTATGTATGCAACTTCTGTCATAGCAGCGGAAGCTTTAGTTGCCTTCAATCCGGCTTCTCCCTCGTCAAAGAGCTTCTAAACCTAAAATCAAGTTGTTTTATTGCACGATTTCAGGTCGTCCCAAAAGAATTTCATGCGATTCCCATATACCATTTGTGCCTCGTCCATAATAATAATGATTAGTTTTTCACTGCGAATCACTTGCTTCCATGCTGAAACCGCCAAGATCTCTGAAAGTCTTCACTGGTTACCGAGGCATGCTCAGCACAAAAAGTAAAATATATGCCATTTAGGCTGCGTGCAATGAAGTAGTCTCGCAAAGAATACCCCAGAGATGTCTTACCAGAATACGGTGGGCTACGAAGAAGAGTGACTCCTCGGTCCAATATGTATTGGGCAATGCCCTGACGACGGTTTTTGGATATAACAACAAAAGAGTCGGGGCCTTCCTCACGTTCTCCAGAATATATCCCTTGGGTTAATGCTGAAGCCAAATTATTAGACTACACAATTCACCCAACTCGAGCAATCCTAAAATTTACACAATAGCCATGATCCATTACCTGGTCCTGTGGCAAATAAAGCTTCAAAAAAAAAAAAAAAAAAAAAAAAAGAGGAGTAGGAAAAGAGCTTGATTGAGAAATAGGCTCAATCTACATCAGTGCAAGAATCACTGAGTGACCTTTTGAGAAAAGCCTAATTAGGCTATTTATTAGCCCTGCATTTGAGTCTTTACCCGGCGCTGAGACGGAGAAATCTATTCTCATAATAAATGTAACAATAAAAATAAATAAGTGCGTGTGCGTGAGAATGAGCTGTTGCAAGAGATGGAAAGCTTGTTTGAGAAAGAGGCCCCACCCACAACCATCAATGATGTCATGCGCAGATTGTAACAATCAATGCTATCACAAAATTCTAGAAAAGAGAGAACAAACAGCTAATTCCTTACCTGCTGATGGCCGCTGAACAATGGCATGGATGGTTTTCTTTGGTGGTGCCGTTCCAAAGATCTCGGAGATCTCACTTGTTGCCTGCCTCGAGGTTATTTTCACTGCATTTGCCTTGTGCTCCTCTAACAAAATTGGTTTGTCCTCTGTCTCGTCGTCATCAACATCCATTGGAATAGCGACGCGGTAAAGATTGAGCTCTTTAGCAGAAAGGTGATCAAGGTCTGGCTCACATGCTTTCTTGATTGCATCCTTAAGATGGCCGATCTACGTAGAGCACTGGCCATCCTTCTGCATAAGCTTTAGCAGCAAAGAAAATCGCAAGGTAGGATTTTCAAGAGGAAGTATTTATAAGACCTCTTGTGACACGTGAGGAGCTACCAGCTATGCCAGATTGGTGCATTGAACTACTGACACCTTTCTCGTGGCTGTGCTCTGGCATGTTCCACAAATTATTATTATTACATCAGGCGCATTTTTTGTGCTGTGTTTGGCTTTGTCTTACATTACGCGCCATTTGAAACCTTTTTTTTTTTTTTTTTGCCCATCCTCTTCACTCCTCCTTATCTTTACTTACTAAATAAACTCCTCTCTCATCCACTTCCTGTGTTTTTTTTTGTTTTTGTTTTCATAACTTTCAACAATGAGCCAACTTGTTCCATTACTTATGAACTTTGTGGAGCAGCAGGCTCGCCCACATGTTCAGGAGAAGGTTACAGAGCAACTCAACAGCACCAGAACCGATCTCAAGAACGATCTTCCTAATACGATTATCAACTTCCTCTCTGGGAATGATGGCAATAATGAAGGTGGGAACTCTATGGTCTCTCAGATCCTTTCCAAACTGGGCCCTAACTTTCCGAATCGTCTTCGCTCTGTAACTGATACAACTGTCGATACTGCAAGTGAGGGCATGGATACTCTTTTGACCAATGGAGTCCTCAGTATTGCTAAAAGTGTTCTCAGCAAGAACGCACCCGAAGGTGCTGAAGGTCAAGGTCAAGATGTTGGAGGACTCAACTTTGCTTTTTTAAAGTCTGGTAAAGAAGGCATGGTGAATACAACCATGGCAGCCTCGAAACCTGTGATTAAACAAGTGAGTGATAACATGGGCAACAAGTTATCCTCCTCTATCCCTGCTGCCATCGGCGGAGTGATTCAACAGTTGATTGATGAGAATAGTACAGCCAATGGGGCTTTGGGTATGGCTGCAGGCCTTATGTCCAAGTTTATGGGTAGTAACAATGCGCCAGGAAATACTACACCTCCCAACGATGGAGGTACCGAAGAGGATATCCAAAGGACAGGTGGTCATACGGGCCGCATCCAACAATTGCTACAAAATTTGCTAGCGCCCAAGATCTTGCTTTTGCTCCAGCCTTATTTACAAAAATTTGAGGCCCAGATGGTATGTTATTCAGCGATACTAAAAAAAAAAACTGATTTAATGGGCAAACTTATTCCGAGGGGTTTCTGAGATACTCACTCCTTTTTGATTTATCCACTTTTTCAGGCAGAGACGCTAGAAAATGACCTCCGTACCAAAGTTTTCTCCCCTGAATACATCAAGCAAACCGTGCTAGCCATGCTAACAGGAGCTGGCGGTCAAGGCGGTAGTGGTGCTGGTGCTATTCTAGGAGGTGTCATGAACTCATTCTTAAAGAAAAATAGCGATAATAACAATAGCCAACAGAATTCAGAAGGTGGAGACAAAAATACGAAACAAGCCCTTGGAGCCTTAGGTGATCTAGCAAGTTCATTCTTGAAGAATAGAAAATGAAATTCTCTTTAGGGCTTTAGGGCGTGTTACACGCAAAGACTATGATTATAAAATTAAAAGCTGGGCTTTGTAAAGCTCATGAAGATGTCTAATGTTGTAAACGTGGGCACGTTACACCCCTTAAAAATTTCCAGCGTATCAAAGATCTCTGGGTCATTTTGCATGGAGAAAGTGAAGTGGGGAATAAGACTGTCCCATTGGCCTCACACGAGTTCACTCCCTTCTCCAAATTTTAGTCAGAAACAATGAGTCGGTATGTGATGGACAGAGTTACATCCATCCAAAAAAATATTAACAAGGCTTTATCAATCCATCCATTTATCTATCGCATTTAACTTTGGGATCTATCAAAGAATCAACGTTATGAATTATTAAGGATTTCGGGACCCTTTTATTTTAATTTTACCCATCGAAAGATTCGTATCAAAGATTGATTTTTTTAAATTCATCAGATCAGGATTTCCTCTTTCAACAATCGACATCAATTCACTAATGATAACTGTAAAACAAATGGATGTCAGATTATCTAAAACAGGATCCCCAGCAAAAAATCATCTCAATCAGCGCAACAAAGGAATAATCTTTTTCAAGCAATTCAACTATGCTTGGACTTACTTTCATGAGCGATTTTGATCTACCACTTATTACGGCTGCAGGCAAAAAGAAAAAAGAACTATTCATCGTGGATTACAGGAATTTTTTTTTCTTTTTCTCATTCTTCGTGCTGGAGGGAGAAAAAAAAAAAAAAAGGATAACAGCAAAGCAAGACTTGTCATCGAAAGCAGCTTCTACGGTGTCATTCATATATTCAGGTCGCATCCAAAGAATGATTGCCGTTTTTTTTTTTTTTTTTTTACAGGAACGATGAGCAGCACAATGGCAGTTCACTCAAAGTACATGGACTTCACACTCATAATATTGTAACACAGTTCAGGAATGTTGAGTCCAAGGACGTTATAACAGGAGCTACTCTTCCGCCTTTTTCTTTATTCTAAAGAGAGAAAAGAAAGAAAAAAACAAAAATATTCATTCTAACCATCCCGGCTCCACCTCCAACTCTTTTTCCTCCCTAGTCTTTACGCTAAAGGTCGTGTTCTTGGATTCAAGCGCGCTAAGCGCAACCAGCGCCCCGATATTTCGCTCATCCAGATCGAGGGTGTGAAGACTGCTGCTGATACGGATTTCTATCTCGGCAAGCGTGTCGCCTTTGTCTACCGTGCCAAGCGCGAGGTCAACGGCTCCAAGATTCGCTGCATCTGGGGACGTGTCACTCGTGCCCACGGTGGTTCTGGTGTTGTCAAGGCCCGTTTCCGCCACAACTTGCCTGCCAAGTCCTTTGGTGCCTCCGTTCGCGTCGTATGTTTTTTTTTTTTTTTTTGATTTTATATTGGCAAATTCGAAAATGTCTAACTCTTTCTTTTCTCTTTTTTTTTTTTTTTTTTTTTTTTTTTTTTGTTAATTTCGTTTTTTTTACAGATGATGTACCCTTCCAGGTATGAAAAAAAAAAAATGTTTTTGAAGAACTTTTTTTATTTTTCAGTGAACAAAAAACTTACAGAACATCCACTAACGATCTTTCTTATGAATCTTTAACATTTTCTTTTATCGTTTGTATAGAGTTTAAGTTTCTCGTATCTGAATAAACTCATGGAGCATATATCGACTCTGACCATTAAAAAACAAATTTACTATAGCCATCAATTGACAAATGGAACTAGATTGATCTGATCTATTGAAGGAAAAGGAATTCTTTTATACTAGTATTGTTATTATTTATACCTTTTATTTATCATCATGAATTTGATTTCGTGAAATTTAAAAGGTTTGGCATTATTGATTGTAATCCAGGGATCACAGTCTGCAACTACTTGGGGACTTTCAACAAATTATATTTTAAGATATCTCAACCTTGTTTACTTTATTTTTATTTTTATTTTTTTGTTTTATTAATATTGTTTCTTTATGAGTTTGGCTGTGTCCGCATCTGCGCCTGCTGGTTGTCCTCTAATGTCTTCTTTTCCTTGTCAGCCTGCATCCGCTTCTTTACGTCCGCAATCAACTCTGCATATTCATCTGCATACTTGAGTGCATGTGCAAATGCAGATGCTGTAGCAACTGCGACCGCGACCGCATCATTATTTACATGATTTGAACCTCCGTTCTGACTGCTTGATTGGGATGAGGATAGCGTTGGGGTGCCTGGTTCCGTATCGTTTTCTGTTGCAGCGCGCTCTTCCTCTTTCTTTTTCTGTTGAGCCAGTTCCTTTTGTTGAATTTGTTGTTGCTGTTCCAATGCTCTTCTTTGAGCTTCTCTTGTCTGCATATCCTTTTCATATGAACGTTCCCAAACCTCCATGGCCTTCATCAGTTGTGCCTGAGTTTGCGGTCTCGTTGCATCACAGTTTGCATTATAAATAGTGACATATTCCGCATGTCGCTTTTGCATCAACTGTTTGTCACCATGAGTTGGAAGTCCCAGCTCCTATTGTTATTTAACATATATAATCGAAAAAAAAAAAAAAAAAAAAAAAAAAAAAAAAAGATACCATCGAAGTGAGCAGGTATAAAGTTTTTCATTCGCTGAAACAACTTCATACATTTCATAAACACATACTTGCAATTTCTTTCGAAGTTGTTTGTCGTTGAGAATACTATATGTCAACTTTGGGATCCTATGTGTATACAGATGCTGATCAGGGGCATATCTATATAAAGCAGCATCGCACAATAGCTATGAATCTATTGCTTCACAAACCTCTTTGGTTCCGGGTATGTTGCTACTGGTTTCTTGCCGCCGTTCGAATTGAATGATAACCCTGGAGAAATTTGACTATCATTGGTACGTCGTGGTGATCCTCCCGGCGTTGTTGAACTGATGGATACTGATGTTGAGGTATTGGCTGTGGCATTAGAAATACTCTTCCCTGAAGCCCCACATTTTTCATAGAGTGCAATAATGTCAGATTTTTGTGTGATGATGACCTTATATGGAATTGTATAGTTTGGATCGTTTTGCTTCAGCAAGCAGTAGTTATCTAGATGAGTGTTGGTGTATGTAAATGGAATTCCGTTCCCACATATTGGGCAAGCTACAAGCGTGGATGGTTTAGACAATACTGATCCTGGTACTGATGTCGTTGGTGCACCTGAGGCTGAGTTTGAAGGTCCAAAATCTGGTAGCGTTGAAGATACTAACTCGGGAGCTGGAGCGGTATTATTCGATAATTCTAGCGGAGTACTTGCATTGGATGAACGTGGTATCCTTGATCGAAGAACTGGTCCTATTTTTTTTTTTTTTTTTTTTTTTTGAAGATAGTTAGTCCCGCATAACATGAATATTGTGATATTGATATTTCGTTAACGAAAGTCCGTAGCATCAATGCTTGGTCAGATAATATTGTATTTTTTTTTTTTTTTTTTTTTTTTTTTAAAAAAAAAAATTTATATATAATAATGAAAAGAAGAGAAACAAACCTGAAGAACGAGTGACATGTTTTCCTTTATGGTGGGACGTAGATTCATGTGACGATACATCGACAAAGTCTCCGTCCCTATCATCATTATCATCATCAGCTAGGCTGAGGTCCATATTCATATTATTTGGATCTTGACTACAATTACTACTGCCGTCGTTGCTTATTTTGGGTGCAGACTTATTGGTGGGACTCATCCTGGCTGATGTCCGCCGTCTCTTCTGTTGCAGGGCAACATCATCGATTTCCATACTATTTGAACGAGATAGAGGTCCATGCTGTTGTGAAGTATTTCTCTTTGGTTCTAAACTTTCCATCAAAATCCTCAGGAGCTTTGACCTGTTATATAGAGCGTCAGCTTGCGAGTCTCTGCGATTGCCACCAAAAAATATTTTCACGTACTTTTTTTTTTTTTTTTTTTTTTTTTTTTTAAAATAAAAAATAATAATACCTGCAGTCCTTAAAGTTGTTAGCGATTTCATCGAGTGCAACATTCCGACGCATTTGAGAAGTTGAGGTTGGGATTCTACAGGCAGGACAGTTGGACTCCTTGTCGAGGTGGCGTCGGATGCATTCAGAGCAAAAGTTATGGTGGCACTGTAACATGACAGCTGCCCTGAGCATCTCTTTACAAATGGGACAACGCAGATGTGAATCGATTTCTCGAAGACTGGCATACTCTGTAGGCCAGTCTGATGGGTCAGTTATGTCATTGCTCATTTAGTTGCTATACTATTAGGGAAAAGTGCCGCTGGTTATATCTGGAGTGAAAGTAAAGGAGTTAGTTGTTCCAAGAGTGGTGAGTATTTGGTGGCTTTTTTTTTTCTTAATTGAAGCACGTGCAGAAATAGTGTTCCTGAATTGAATTCACTGTTTTACATGCAACGGATGGTGATTCCAATAATAACTCACTTTCCTTGTGACCAGGCTTGCTATTAACCGGCAAGCGATCTGACTATCATATCCCACATTTCTTCTAGGAAGGTAGTCTCCTATAATGGGTTAACAACGTTGATCTTTTTTTATTATTCTCATCTAGCTCTATTGAGAAACGAAGTTTCACAAGGAAAGACGCGATTGAGACGACTGTGGTGGTGTAGCCAGCACCGCCAGTTCATAGGCAAGTCATCAGGCTTTGTCCAATTCCATTCATTATATAACCATAGATCTCGATTTTTGTTTGAAAATGCTAGAGCTACTCGGAATATTTACGCTTCGACACATGCTACTGATTCCAAGTGGAGCAGACCCAATTAGCCTTGAAACGAGTGGCTTTACTTATACTACTGAGGATGTTCATCCAAAGAAAGCCGTCAGTCGAAGGAGCACATCATGATATTAACTGAGCATAAAAATTATGGAATAAATTCTATGGTGGCTTTTTTCTACATGAAAAATGGCGGAGTTGTGTCAGCCTGAATAAATATGCTGTTGTTTTTTTGTTTTTTGGAAAAAAATTTTCTGCACCTTTCCTTTCTCCTTCGCCTTTTCCTTTTACACCTAATCTTTTGTATTTATCAGTTCGCTGGTGGATTTGGTCAAGAGGGTAATTAACACGTGTTAATTGCACTTTTCCAAAGACAAACACCGGCGTTCTATTATGTGACATGGTATGTATTTAAAAATAAAAAGAAAACAAGAAAAAACAATAATTTTGATCTCAAGATGTAAGATTTTGAAATGATGAACCTGGCATTTGGCTGTATGTGCATTCTGCACACTGACGAAAAAAACCTAGCTACCTTTAACATTTATTCTGACAATTCAAAAATCTTCATCCGAATCACATCAGTCTCATGTCGACGTACAAAGAAAAAAAAAAAAAAAAAAAAACTGATGGTAAATTTATTCTGATCTTTTTTAGGTTTTTTTCTTAATCCCCTCAATCATGTATTCACTATCTCTATGGTATGTATATCTTTTTTTTCTCCGTTCAATTGATTTTACCCTTTGTATTTTGTTTATGATGAACCTGGCATTTGGCTGTATGTGTTTTTTACACACTGACGAAAAAAACCTAGCTACCTTTAACAATTTTTTCTGACAATCAACAAAATAAGACTCCTCAATTGAATCCTATCGGATCAAAAAAAAAAAAAGGAAATTCTGACCTTGTTTCTTATTCTTTTTGATATAATAATGTATAGATGAATATACAATGAGAAGAGATTTTATTCGAGCTGTAGATCGGGATCATGGATTTCAATGATCTAAAAGATCAATGTTGAATTAGAATGACAATTTGTCATTTGATTCAACATATTTTTTTTTTAGGGACATTGTAATCATATGAATAATAAAAATGAACATTTCCTATACAAATAAAGCTTTTATGTTTGCGCTTCTATTTTTCTTGACATGGCATCTGAGGAGAGCGATTGACTAAATCCAATTGACCACACAAATATCTGATGCTCGGCCAATTGCTCATAATCCATGTCACCTCCTCAAATTGCATTCGCTGGCGACCATTATATACGAACATTAGGGTGTGTAGACTTTAGTTCATTCAGACCTACTCTAAGTCTCTAGCCCAGGGCCCGTCTTCCCTATCCCTGAAGTCCTATCCCGTTAGGTAAAGGGAGCGTAGCTGTGTCATGAAGCAACATTTAGTGCCGTGCTCATGAGGCCCGAAGCTAACCATTGGTTCTATTCCACTGATATGAAGTAGCCATTCAACATATGCTTGATTCTCAGGGTGGCTGTGAACCCGCATATTCTCGATTGGCTTGAGTGTTGTCACCGAAGACCAAATACAAGATCTTTTCAAAGATCCATCCTCGATCTGAGCCTGCGTCCCGCGGATGACAACTCAAAGTACCTGTCTGAAATCACCGCTAAACACAACTATCTTGCCGCCAAACGGAGTATCTTTGAGTCTCATGATATCTTGAAGCAGCCTATCCACAGCCTTCAAGCAGTGCCTGTGCTGCAGAGGGGCTTCATCACAGAAAACAACATAGGTATCACGTATCACTCTTACTGCCTCATGCTGCCTCATAGCGCTGAAGGTGTCAGTGGTAAAAAAAAAAAAAAAAAAAAAAAAAAAAGGAAGGAAGGAGGAGGAGAATAATACGAAAATGAAAACGCAATCGAAATGAAAATATTACATTTTTATTTCTTTTGGCTGATATAAAGAAATAGCAGCTAGTCTTTTAGTCTTGACCTTGCTCCGCTATCTCTTTATATGATTGTCAATCCTAGAGATCCTTTCAATCGTCGGCAATGCCCTAGATAAAAATGGCATTTTACACTAAATCTACGTCTCCAAGACTTTCCAAAGTACGCTCGTCAATCCTTTGCCAAGTAGATTTGACGAGCGTGCTGTGGAAAGACTTGGAGACACTGACACAGCGTAAAATGCCGTTTTTGGTTAGAGAGTCGCCAACGATTATAAGGATTTCTGGGATCGGCCCTTGTTACTAATAACAAGCAGGAGCGCATCCTCGGTGACGTAATTTAGGCATTAATTGTGCCGCTCTTAATTGAGCACATTCAACATCGGAAAGAAATGAATAAATTTCTTTTTCTTTCATCACATCAACTCCACCGAATTCTAAAAAATGGTTGCTCCTGTTCAAAACCTCCTTGCAAAGTCCATGTTGAGCCATATTGGCTTCTCTCTTACCTTTGGAACGTACGTCCTCATTTATGTTCTTTATTTTTGTTCAATAAAAAAAAAAAAAAAGATTTTGCACTACAATACAATCTAGTCTCGGATCTGTCTTTTCCCGAACAGGAAGAATCCGACATCTATTAAATCTGCAGTATCACAAAAATCTGTGTCTTACATGGCAACATTTAAAACCAGAAATCAGAAAACCAGCAACATGTCATTTCAATTATTTCTTCAGGAGTATCCGTAATTTATAATGAATTAATCCGATGCTAACATTTTACACGTTAACCTTTTTTTTTTTTTTTTTAAGTGTCGCTGCTTATGGCTACTGGTACAAGGTTGCTCTCGCTAACCGCAACACTCGCACGGAGTACTACCTCAAGTACAACGCCAACAGAGCTCAAGCACTTTAAACGATCAAACGATTCAAAGTCAACTCAAAACGTTATTGATAGATTTTTTTCTACCTTTACACGCTTGTCATTAAAAAAAAAGAGATTCTAATAAAAACTCCACTCTCATCGCGACTTTGACATATTCAAATAAGAGTATATTTTCTGTTCCGTTGATTCTCATAAATCAGGTCCCCAAAAACTATGGATGATATAGATGGCTACAGAACCTGTCGCGAGTACAGATCACTGGTCTCAATGAACTTGAGATTCCGATAAAGTATATTATTAAATGGCAAGGGAGCCATCATCACTTTTACGTGGTTGTTTTTTTTTTTTTTTTTTAAACAAAAAAGGGTCAATGTTCGAAGATCATGGCAGATAATTCAGCGTTACGGAAATAATGCGGCTCTTGATATTGACAATTTCCAATTAATGGATAAGAAAGATGACCGCGCGGATCAAATACAAATTCCAATCCTATGCTGTTTCCTCCTTTTTCATACACGAGTCCTATTCCGCTCGCGTATAATCAATGTCAAGAAAACTATATCCCCAGCTTTTTTATTGTGTTTTTTGTCAATTTGGCATAGAGAAGAGATATTCACTAGCGTTCGAAACCGACCATATGCTTTAACATAGAATTGGTTTTTATTATCCATGCTATGGATGATGGCCTTCACTTGAGCAATTGATGGCTCAATGAGCCTGAGCCCCATATTTGCCCGAGTTGTAAAGGAAAATGTAGTATTTGGCAAAAAAAAAAAAAAAAAAAAAAAAAAAAAAAAGAGGAACATTTAGTCACTTTGGGTGCTAAAGAAAAGTTGGCATTCATAATATGTACCTACACCCTTCTAACTATTATTATCTGGATACAAAGTTTTCGATCCAATTCAGTTGTAGTCTCATTAGTTAGGGACATGCCAAGCAGTCCTGCAAACAAAAACTAGACAATAGAGAAGCTGAAAGGCCTAGCAGCATGTTTACTTTCTATTATCTCTAACAGTATTAATATAAAAAAAAAAAAAAAAAAAAAAAAAAGATTTGTTTCTTTACGATGGAGATAGACTTGTGGTTCAAGGTCATTCATTGGTATCATCAACTGCAGGCAAGAGCTGTCATAGTGATCACATCCTAGAGCATCCAGATAGCTTCAGGTACTTAACTGAAATATCCTTTTATGAACATCATCAAGAAATTTCGAGTGAAGTCATGTGTTCCAAATGGATAAAAAAAAAAAAAAGAAAATCTCGATCGCTTTTAATTTTAAAGAACCCTGGATAAAAACGCTCTAATGAAAACATTCAATCAATTCATTTTTTCTCTCATTTTCTGTTTATTAATTCGAGCAATCATCATGGCATCCTCACTCCAAAAGTTGACTTCAGTCATTCACAAGGCCAGTGCCAAGCACACTGCCACTGTCATCTTCTTTCACGGACTCGGCGACTCTGGTGAGGGATGGTAAGTATCTTTTATTTCAAAAATAAAATCGAATAAATAGAAAAATAATATTTATCCAGCCCGATGCATTCACAACAAGCGATTCCTGTCCGTTTGGCTTTTAATTGATCTTGGTTTCCCTCCTTCCTCTCTCTTCCTGTCTTTGAAATCTTCATAGGGCACCGGTTGGAGAACAGGTAATCTAGAAAATACCTTACTGAAATATATACAAAGGAATTTTGAACAATATCATTCATGAAGAGATATTACCGGAATGTTATATTAAAAGGAGGTTTGACTCATTTCGATAGTTGGGAGAGCATCTTCCCCATGTCAAGTTTATTTTCCCTAATGCGCCCTCGATGCCTGTGACTTTGAACTATGGCATGAAGATGCCATCTTGGTATGACATCAAGTCATTGGCCAATGTTGACCAGGAGCAGGATGAGGAGGGCATGTTCAAGTCACGTCAACAAGGTTAGCTAAAGAGATAATATACCATGAGTTCTTCAATCTCTTTTATTTCTTATCTTTTTACTCTTCTAATTAGCAAACTCTTTTATTTTTTATTTAAAAAAAAAAAAAAAAAAAAAAAAAGCGATGGAAATCATCCGAGAAGAAGTTGAACAGAATGGTATTCCCGCAAACCGGATTGTCATTGGCGGATTCTCTCAAGGTTGTGTGATGGGGCTCTTGCTAGGATTGACTTCTGAATACAAATTTGCAGGAATCGTCTCCTTGAGCGGATATATGCCTTTGCATGGGAAGATCATGAATATGGCTTCAGATGCCAACAGAAAGACTCCTATCTTCTGGGGACATGGTGATCAGGATCCTGTGGTCCGATATGAATATGGCCAACAGTCTGTGGAATTGTTGAAAAAACACAAGTTCAACGTTAGATTCAACACTTACCGTAATATGGGACATAGCTCTTGCCCTCAAGAACTTCGAGATCTGCTGAGTTTCTTTAAGGAGACCATCCCAGAAACCACAAATAGTGAACCCGTTTCAGCAAAGGCTTAGAGACACCTTAATTGTAATAAGAAGCTCATATTAGAGAAATACATAAAGACAACTTTGCGTCATTCATTTGTTCCACACAAGTGTAATACGCCTTTTTATTATTGTTATTATTATTATTATTATTATTATTATTATTGTAACTATTCTTCTTCTGATGCCGTTGCAATTGAAGAATTTTTTTTAACCCGCGGCGCTCTGGGTTTTTTATAAACAGCCTCTTGACGACCTGCCTTCATGGCAGCATATCGTCCACATGTAAATAAATAGTCGCTCAATCGGTTCAAATAGACAGCCACACTCTTATCGACCCTTTGTTCCTGCGCCAGCGGCACGACTCTTCTTTCAGTCCGACGACTTACAGATCTTGCAATATGAAGCGCAGCAGCAGCCTTGCCTCCAGACTATATCCAAATCAAAAAAAAAAAAAAAAAAAAAAAAGTATTAGTGTTAACGTCGACGTCATAGAATTATAAACGATTTTAGTCGCGCTCTTACAGGAAGGATGAAGCTGGTCAGCGGAGGTAATTCCTGATCCATAGTATCTATCCAGGTCTCCAGATCCTGGACATGTTGGCCATCCGAATCAAATTCAGTTCGGGCAAGACGTGGAGCTGTAGCGGAGTCCCGAGGTGTCGCAATATTGGACCCGATATCCTGTAACAAACATTGAATCTGTTCCAGTTGCCCGATCATCCCATTAAGCCCTTCACCTTGATCCAAACAGAACTCACGGGCCAAACTAGCAGATTAATAATATTACACCGTTGCAAATATTAACAATAATAATAATATTAACAATCCACTAAACATGCTTGTTTAATAAACAGCGACTCTTTGGTATTTTAAAACATTTAAAGTCATCCGATCTTAATATCCAAAACCTAATACCCCACGTACCCGATTGACGATGACAGCTCGTCGTTTGTGCCTGTGTTCAAGAGATAAAGTAAAAAGAAGTTTAAGTAACAAGGTTCATGGACAATTTTTTCTTCTCAGCTTTTCAAAAATGTATACAGTACATTGTTCTAACTCTGTTATTACCTAACGCGTCAAAGACGACGTCATCTTTGGGTCTGCGTTCTCCAGTAAAAAGAGCAGATGTGCCTTTGTCTCCCGTTTTAGTGTAGATTTTGGGTCTTCCAGCCAACAACACCCTGATAGTTTTCAGATGGACTTGTAAAAGTTAGCTTTGAATTATTTTGATTACAATAGTTATCATAACGATGATAATTGTTTTTAAAAAAAAAAAAAAAAAAAAAAAAATTGGAAAGCCAAACTCGTTCTCCTTGCCTTGTCCCTGTAGAAAAAGCACAATTGCCCGTTCGTCTTAGTGTTGCCCGAAATGCGCCGAGATACATCGTCATTTACTTGGATGAATGAATGCTGAATGAACATGCATGAGACCTTTGACAATGAAACCTCCAGGAGTCGAATTAAAAAAAAGCCACTTCATTATCTTTCAAGCAATTGCTATCCACACCGTACACCGTGGGACATTTTTTCAGGTACACAGGTAATCCCATTGCTTGCCTCATTTGGACATCGAATATCTTTCCTCCTTTCTTCATTCACTTTTTTTTTTCTTTTTTTTTTCTTGTTCTAGGCTTTTAGTGCATGAACGAAGCTCAGATTAGCGTTTATTATATCCATATTGTAGTAAATATATACACATCTACTTGGTCCAGTCAAGGCCCAGGTTCCGAGCGTATGATGCTCTTTTGAAAACAACCAATTACATTCCTTAGAAGTTAGAAAAGTATCTCCTTTTGGAGCTCCGCTTTCTGCATCCATTCAAGCAACAAAAGTCTAATAAGAAGTTTATGAAGTTTAATGGTCTCACCCTCGTTTACATGTATAAAGATCTAACTGGCATGTTAATCTTCGCATATAATACTGCCATAAACAAAAAAAAATAAAAAAAAATAAAAAAAAATAAAAAAAAAAAATAATAAAAAAAATAAAAACACCATTGGTGGCACAAACATTGCTTCATATAGCCCTTTTGGCCCTTTTTAAAATAGGACCCAGGTACCTCTTAAGTTCCTCAGATCATAGCAAAAAAAAAAAAAGTTAAAATAAAATAAAGAATTTAAGCGATTACTTTTTTTTTTTCCTGTCTGTCTTGTCAACTACTCATACCCACATCCTTCACTGTCCACTCTATACCCTTTATTCCTACTAGTCCACGCACATTGGTATCCAAAGACATCATCACTACCACCGCCACCACCATCACCATTAACATCATGACAAGCGATGACACTTCCTCATCCACTTCAACTTCAACTTCAACATCCTTTCTCCAATCTATTCAACCAATTGCACTTAACAGTCCAGAGGTGCTTGGAGGGACATCCTCTGGTTTTGCATTTCCCTCTTCTAGTCCTTTCGAAGATAGTAGACTGCATACACCTGCTACCGTCCTTTTTGCCTCATCAGGATCTCCTTCCTCCACTCTTGAATCGACGCCGTTGAGGTTCTCTGAAACTGAATTATGGAAACTGAGTCTGGGTATCGAGCGCTATGCCAGAGCTATTCAAGATCCAGACCTATTAGGCAGTTTCTCGGGTACTGTGCCATTGCCATCGTTGATACATCAACAACAGCAGCAGCAGCATCAAGAACAACAGAGACTACAAGAGATGACAATAATCCCAGGGGGAGACACGAGTATGAATGATAGTAAAACAAATGACATCAGAGACAGGGATGAAGATGCAATTGCAACTGGAATACAGCCAGGAGGAAATGGTAGCAGCGATAAATCGAGACTTGCATCGATCAAGCGAGCCTTCACAGTTAGACGGAACTATAAGCTGGATCAGGATAAGAGAGCTGCGAGAGACAACGATGATCTCGAGGCAAATTTGAAATATGTGGAGCAAGAAAAAGAAAACTTTAACCCCACTTCAAAACATGATGAGATTTCACCAGAAGACTATCACGATGAAAAAAAGAGGCAGGAGAACATTACTACACATCTTGAAGAAGACTACTACAACGGTGTTGATCAATCGGGTCAAGAGGGGCTTCATCGTCGGTTTAATAAATCCAAGGGAGGAGTTCTTAGTCATCTCTTAAAGCTACAACGCAATGAAACTGAAGCTGCTGTTGCAGCAGCAGCTAGCGCAGTGGCTGTACCCGCAAATGCCACATCATCCACTCCTATGTCAAATGAATATCGGTCGTCTGTCAGGCGTCTTATGCCCAAAAAAACAAAAAAAGGTCTCTATTACCGCTCCAGAAACAACTCGGATACACATTGCAAGAGTATATCCAAGTCGGCGTCGCCCTCCATTACCACCACCCCCAAGGTCTCTCCACGCAACTCTTTCGCTTTTGATGAGACTAAAAAGACTCTACACTCTTGCCATTGCCATCACTTCCATCATGAAAGTAGCAACGACAATGACCATGATCCACATCTTCATTCATCCAAAGAAAGAAGCAAGAAACACTATATTAAGGACCTCGATAATAGAATTATCCATCGTGATATTGCAGATATTCTGAGTCGCCAATCATTCTTAATCATGATGGCAAAATCCCTCATTCTGTATGGCGCACCTTCTCATCGAATCGAAGAAACTTGTGTGCTCTTGGCAAGGAAAATGAGTGTTGATGCATCGTTCGCACTCCTACCTGGAAGTATGACTGTGTCATTTAGTGACCCAGAGACTCATACAAGTGACACTCGACATTTAAAGTGCAACCAAGGCATGGATATGAACAAGCTAGCGGAGGTCCATCGGATCGCACTTGCGGTCCTTAAAGATCATATGCCAATTGAAAAAGCCAATCGTGATTTAGAACAGCTGACATCAGAACCGGGGATGTATCCATTGTGGTTGACATTGTTGGGGTGGATGGGATCTTCAGCATTTGTAGCGCCCCTTGCGTTTAATGGAGGTGGTTGGGATATGCTCTTGGCAGGATGTTGTGGATTAATGGTAGGGATGTTGGCTGTCGTGGCTTCCAAATTCCCAGTCTATGGAAATGTCTTTGAGATGACTTCCAGTATCTTGGTGGGATTTGTGGCCAAGGCCTTTGGGGACCGGGTCTGTTTCTCTGCTGTGGCGCTGGCAGGAATAGTGGTATTATTACCTGGACTGGTCCTAACGCAAGCCATCATGGAATTATCGTCCAGGAATATTGTCTCTGGAGCAGTGAGGATGTTTTATGCACTCATGTACGCTTTCTTTCTTGGGTTTGGACTCTCCATTGGTGCAGAACTGTGGGATTATGTAAGCCTGGTTTTCTTTTTATCGTAGGTGTTGATGACAATAGTATCCATTTCAATGGACCTCAAAACTCAATTCAGTTGCTTTTATATATATGGTACATTACTAGATCTCCCACGGCTCTATCAAGACCACTGTTTCAGTATGTCAAAATCCAATTGATCGATGGTGGTATTTCTTGATTTACCCAGCAGTCTCTGCATCCATCAATATTGTGTTCAATGCTCATCCTCGACAATGGCTCGGGATGACGTTAGTAACAGCTGTAGGGTTTGTGGTCACATTGTTCCTCAAGAGTTCTGGACCTCAGATTACAGCAGCAATTGCTGCCTTCTGTGTTGGGATTACGGGTAAATTGTATGGCCGACTGACAGGACAGTTGAGTTATGTACCATTGTTGAGTGGGGTCTTGTTGTTGGTGCCTGGGAGTGTGGGAGTTCGAGGGATCTTGGCGATCATTGGAAGTGATCCATCTCAAGGGTTCGTTTTTGTCTTGACTATGATTCATGTATCCGTAGCCATCACTTTGGGCGTGTTCTGCTCAGCACTCGTCTGGTATCCATTCTGGCGCAGGAGTACTTTTATGAACTTTTAATAAAAAAAAAATCTTCTTGTGTATCATTTAAAAAAAGCTCCTGATGTAAATAACACTGAAAAAGGAAATAAAAACACAATTGCCATTGCCATCGAAGAAAACAAAGGCGGAAAAACAGTGCCTTAGAATTTACAGTTCACGCTTTCGGAAAAGCAATCTCCGTTCCAGCCAGTCAGCTAATTCTGTTACTGTTATTCATGATTCATTTACTTGATCTTGTCACCATCAAGCAGAATTACAATCCCTCATTCATTCACGTCATTACAAATGTCGACTGCATTCCGGATAGCGACTAAAGCGAAACTTGAGAGGACTCTTGTGATCCCATGCAACAATGTCCGATCCAGATCTTCTATTCTCACCATCACACAATGTTGTCGAATGAGTACACTCCGTTCCACGCTTTCCACCACAACTAGGACTTCTCTCTCATTATTTTTATCCCGTGCCTCTTATCACCATAATACCTACCGTGGCAGTCCTACTGTCCAACAATGGCTTACATATTCCAATCTTCGTCGCTTCATGTCCACTAAAGTTAAAGAGGAAACGGAAATGATTCAGGGCTCAATGCCTGCTTATAATCGTCATCTTGTAATCTGCACGGGTCTCCCTGGTTCAAAATGGACCAAAAAACCTGAGCTCGCCGATCCATATCACAATCTATTAATGACTGTTGTTCGTGATCAAGAAGTCAAAGTCAACTTTGTGGATGAACCATCAGATGCTGTAAAAGATGAAGCAAACCTACTTCCAACAAAGGGTCCAAGGCACGATCTGATTTTATTCCCAGATAATATAAAGTTCAAAGCGATCCGATATGAGGCTTTTAAGGATTTGGCTCGTTATTTACAACAATATCCTGTAGGAACTTTACGTCCAGCAATACAGAAAGCAATCGCTGACTCTACCGATCACCACGATAGTAACAACATTACAATGGAATTGGTACCTGGGAGTGGCGAGCTGGTACAGATCGAGTTGGTTCCAGAACCGAGTGCAGTTCTGGTCTGTGTTCATGGAGCACGAGACTGTCGATGTGGTGAACAAGGCGGCGAGCTTTATCGGATTTTGAAGGATATGGTTCAAGCAACTGGGTTGCAGAATTCAATTAAAGTGTATGGAGTCAGTCATATTGGAGGACATAAGTGGGCCCCTAACACTATCATGTATCCCTTAGGGGATTGGCATGGATATGTGTCTGAACAAGATTCAACGGATGCTCAGCAGATCTTGTTTGATGCGTTGGCGAACGGGGGTATTGCGGCAGATGTAAGGGAGCAGAGACTGAAAGAAAGGGCGCCTATCATGATTGAAAAATGGAGAGGAAGGATGGGTATGACTAAAGAAGAACAAATCAAGTTTTATGAACACTGGTTGGAAATGCGGAAACAACAAAAACAAGGGCTAACTGCCCGGAATCAAAATCAGGGACAACAACAGCCTCAATCTCTATTCTCTCTACCAGGAGAGGATTTGTATGAGGATGATGGTCTAAAGGAGCAACGTACAGCCTTATCCGTCGATTCAGAGAAGTCAAGCAAATCAACAGTAACAGCACCAACATCCACGACCGAAGAAGGTCAAAGAATCAAGGTTATCTTTGAGTCATTCCAAAAAGTCCGAACAGAGATCAATGCTAAAGTTGGTGAGAGTATTCTGGACATTGTTAAGGACAAGGATCCTAGCCGCCATGATATTTATCAGGCACTTGAATGTACATGTGGAGGCCAACTTGGTAAGTAAAAGAAAAGCAAAAAAAAAATCCCCATTTATGTTATTTTTGACCTTGAACATTGCAGCTAATATTTTCTGAATGCGTTCGGTGGCGACCAAAAAAAAAAAAAAAAAAAAAAAAAAAATGGATAGAGTGTGCAACTTGTCACGTGTATATCGAGCCACCATTCAGCGCAAGACTACCAGTAGTAACAGATGCAGAGGAGGATATGCTAGAGTATGCGGTGGGTCGTAGAGAAACATCTCGGCTAGGGTGTCAGATTAAGATCAAACCTGAATTGGATGGCATGATTGTGAAATTGCCACAGTACTAAAATAGTGACCATAGTACTAAAATAGTGCAAGGTTTCAGGGAAACGTCACAGTCAGGATGTCAGATTAAGATCAAACCCACCAGATGGCAATTGCCAAAATACTAAAATAATCCAATGTACAGTCGAATCTGATTTTTATAGGCGTTTTCTTAAGAAAAACGCCTATAAATTTGATTAAATTGACCTCCCTAAATGTTTTATTCTAAAATGACGTTTGGAAAGCCACACATATATATTTCTCACATGACACACTTTTTTTGTTAGCCTTTACAATCAAAAAAGTACATCTTTTTACAGTCATCACCACAGTTCAATTAAAACGATGCAAACAATAAAAAACTCCTTCTCCTCCCCACTAAGTATGATAAAAAATATACAAAGCGCGAGCTGGAAGAGCTCGACCGCACTCATGAACAGAGGTATAGTGAGCTTCTAAAGAGTGCCCGAAAAAATGACATGTCCGCTGTTATTTTGCTCCCAAACCCCAAACAGTTTGAGATCCCGATGTCTAGGGTCTCATACTCCCTTGAAAAACAAGTTGAACTATTGGATATTTATCATTACCTTGAACAGCGGAAAGACTGCCTCCCAGTCAAGCTTTCTCCTAAATCTTTCGGATGCTTAATAGGAGTTATACGTTCCAAAAAGTAGCTTTCAGCGATTACTTCATAATGAAAACAAAATTCGAGCTGCAGCCGAGGTATACCCCCCGGGCTCACATTATATCGTTGAGCGAAAAAAACGTGGTTCTCGAGGAAGTCCTCTACTACTGGATACAGCGACAACGAAAGAAAAGTCGGTATATCAACGGCAGGATGCTCAAACACGCAGCCAATGTAACATACACGGTTCTCTGTGATCTTCAAGATGAATCAGGAAATACACTATCTGAAGCACAGCCATCATTTTCGGCTTATTGGTTCGATACTTTTAAGAAGCGCCATCGTATTTCATATTGTCAACTTCATGGAGAAGCAGCTTCGGTTGACTTGGACGCAATTGAACCTGAGCTCGAAAAAATTCGCCAGATCTGCGCTGAGTACACCCCCGATAATATATTTAATTGCGATGAAACAGGGTTCTATTTGAAAGAGCTGGATTCCAAATCCTACACGATACCAACCTCCAAAACTGGTGCCAAAGCTCTCAGAGAATGCAAGGTGTCTATCTTATTTTGCATCAATGCCTCTGGCACTTCTCTCTCTATGGCCAATACAATGACTTCATTAAAGCCATTAGTCATCGGTAATACATTGAATGTAATAGTCCATGTTAGCTGTTATTTTTTCTTATTTCCTTTCGTGACAATTGCATTTGTTTGATATTCGTTAGCCAAACACTTCGCGAGACAAGTCGAACAAGATAAGGCATTGAAAATGACTATGGAGAAAGCGGATTCAGGATGGATGAATCGATGTATATTCATCAAGTGGTTGCAAAAGTTTGATGATGAGCTCTCGCAACCCACACTTCTTCTCCTTGTTTCGGAAGTAAGCAATTCCAAGAACGTCCGCTTGAATACGCTTATCACCCCAGCATCGAGAGGCTGAGTTACTGGAGTCGAGTTTTTTGGTAGTCGCTGTATTCGGATATGCCTCCAAGGGATCCCTTCCTCTGGAACGCGCATGTCGATGTCGTTGTGCGCTGACGCGGAGTCGTATCTCGTTGAATTTTGGCAACAAAAAATCTATTTCTAACGGCGAAGCATGGGCACTGATCCCTGAGGCATGGAGTCACATCAAGCCACATACGCTTCGAAACTGTTTTGCCAAAACGCCAATCCTTCCGACTGAAATGCGTGAGCGGCTCCGTTGTCAAAGGCCGGCAGTCGATGAAGAAATGCGGCCGCTTATTCGACATAACCGATACAAAAATCAAGAGAGAGCATACTTCCAGCAGTTGATCGCTGAGGTCTCTATGACCAAAGGCTGGCATTTCGAAGTAGTACAGAAAAAGGATGAGCAAGAGCTAGTTGAAGAAGCCCTGCAACAGGAGAGGACCGTGGGAGATAGGACAAGCAGCGAATACGTAGCAGAACCTAGTAGTGCTACTTCCAGCCCTGCTGAAGCTGAAAGCTCACCGCTTGCCGATATGGATATGGATGTAACCTTTCAAATATTGAAGCGTTTAGCAGGAGATCACGAAGTACTCAGTCATGAAGGCCTTAAACACATCAGACAGAAGACTAGTCAAGGCTCTGCAAAGAAACGGAAGATCCGAAAGATAGTGAAGGACTTGGTGCGTACTTGTGCAAGCTGCAGGGATGAAGTGGATACTTACACGTCGAGAAGCAGCAATGAGTAGTTTTTTTTTGTTATAAGCAGCAATGAGTAAAAAAAATAAAAATTTTTGTTTCTCATCACATGTCATGTGAGAAATATATATGTGTGACTTTTCAAACGTCATTTTAGAATAAAACATTTAGGGAGGTCAATTTAATCAAATTTATAGACGTTTTTCTTAAGAAAACGCCTATAAAAATCAGATTCGACTGTACAAGGGTCCTAGTCATGCTGTGTACTTAAAAATAGTTGTAAAAGAAAAAAAGGGCCTTCTGGCGATCAAGGGATGAGATGCACAATTGTCCAGAAATACCAGGAGAGAGAGACTTTTACAAACAACAAAAATTGATGAAGAGAAACGGCGGTAAAGTGATACAGTATATATTATCGTTATCTCGATTGCAGTCTTACACGTACTTGCATGAAAGAAGGCTGAGTAAACCTTATTTTTTTACTTTTCCTATACAATTCCATTCCCTATCCCTCTCCCTGTTTCTTATCCTTGTTTCTTATCCCTCTTTCTTATTCCTCTTTCTCTTTCTTTCCTTCCGCCTTTACTTTTTTTTTTTTTTTTTTTATTGCTCCATACATTCCTCCTTCTTTGCCATCTCCACATTGCTCCTCTCATCATTTTATAAGGTTCCCACACTCTAGTAGTTACAACCAACTGATCTTCAACCTCATTTGCTAACCTTAATGCATCAAGTGACTACTCGTACCAGCGACATTTCGTCGATGGAGCAAGTGGCTGATCTAAATATGAACTATGAAGAAAAGCAAAAGCATAGTCATAGCTATCAGCACCCTCTGAAAGCACTTAAAAAATCAGAACTCTGGGCCTGGGTAAAGAAAAAGTTATTATAAAAAAAAGAAAATAAAAAATAAAAAATAAAAATAAAAAAGACTTTGTGCACTGACCATGTCTGTGTTTCTTTTTTTTTTTTTTTTTTTCCTCTGGCATTGTTTGTAGTACATTCAAAGTGGCACGTAGGTACACTCTGCATCTTCCTTACATTACAAACACAGCAGTTATTGGTGGCCAGTGTACGAACACAAACATAGGCTAATCTCCCTTCCGCTCATATCTTCTACTAAAAAAAAAAAAAAAAAAAAAAAAAAAATACTTGTAAATATGAAATTGATAAACCGATAGGCATTGTGGGTACGGCTACGTTGCGGGGATAACATTGATCCCTCTGTTGATCCAAGACACAGCCTCCAAGATTGGGGTGGAAGCGCATGATCATTCCATTCCTTGTGACACGACAGTCCCAGGGTTCAAATGTGTAACGTCGGTATTTGGTCATTATCTGGAGCCTGGTACAATCTCACTCTATATATCGTCACTGTCTTCCGTCCTATGTTTCGTTGTCTCGCTTTCCATTTCAGCTGTCGCTGATTACGGCTGTAAGTTTGCATCATGCTCGTAACCACCAGCAATTACAGTAGTAACAGTAGCAGTAACAACCTGTTCGTCCCTTTTTTTTTTTATCCTGCTTTATCACTATTACTAATATTTATCATATACTTTAGCTTACAGGAAAACGTTAATGATAGTTTTTTCAGTTCTTGGCTGCGTCAATTCTTTTGGGTTTTTCGTCCTCCAGCAGCCTTCACTTCTCTGGGTTGCCACAATCTTGACTCCTCTGGGTTGGACACTGTTCAATGTCTGTGGCGTTTTCTCTTACTCATTTTTACCCCTTTACGGCCGAGCTCATCCAGATGTTTTGGCTGCAGAAACCTCTCAAGTAGCATACAAAATTGAGGAGCAAAAGATAAATGATATGGCTTCATATACAAATATAGCTACCGCTTGGGGGCTAGTCCTCACAAACCTTATCTGTATTGGTATATCACAGAGCATGGGGCAAACTACTCTTAGTCTGGCAATTGCCATTGCGTTTACGGGTCTTCTGTGGCTCGTAGGAATGCTGGCTATCGCCCCATGGTTGGATCCAAGGCCGAATGAGCCTCTGCCCAAGGGAACAAACTGGGTGCTGTATTCATGGAAAAAGAGTATGTTTTTTATATTTATAGAGATCATCCGTTTCCTTTAATTGACTTGGGGGCAGCATCAAAAAGTACTAATGTTAATAATATTAACCATAACAATCAGCATATAATACTCTACGCGCATTCCGCAAATTGCCTGAGATCTTCAAGTTCATGTTTGCATGGTTCATCCTCTCAGATGGAATCAGCACAATTCCTTCGGTTTTAATGATCATACTGTACCGAGAATTAGGATTCACTCACACGGACTCGCTTATTATAGCAGTGGTACAGGCCTTGACCGCTACTGTCGGAATTTATATCTTAATGTGGGTCCGCAAAGCATGGTCCCTAACAACTCGAACTATGATCCTGATGACGGTGGGGTTTTATGTGGTATTCCTATGCTATCTGGCCATCGTCCCTTACCTCACTGATAACCTCGGCCTGCGACACAAAGGAGAAGGATGGTTTTGTTATGTCTATACAGGATTGATCGTTGGTACATTTTACGCATCTACTCGGGCCATGTTGTCAGAGCTGTGTCCAGAGGGAGATGAGAACGAATGGTTTTCTTTGTATCTTTTGGCAGACAGAGGATCATCATGGTAAGCTCTTCACTACTTCATTTATTTATCGCTTTGTCTCATAGCTTATTTCTTATTCTTACGTTCAACTCCTCCTTTTGTCTCCCATTTACACATGACAAGGATCGGACCGTTGGCCACAGGCGGGATCTATACTGCAACCCGTGATTATCGCAAAGCGTTTTGGTTCCCACTAGCCCTGCTCATCCTTGGGGCGTTCGTAATAATTAAAGTAGATGTCAAGCGTGGAAGGGATCAAGCTCGATGGTTTGCAAGGGAGAAGAAGGATAACAAGTTGTGATATGAGTCAATAAAAATGAACAAGTTGGTATTTAGCATGGACATTTTTCGCCTCACATTTGTTTCTCTATGGTGCTACATTGATCTGAGTAGAGTATCCATGGGGTAGCTCCGAGGTGGCAGTACTCTCGTGAATGAACAGCTATTTCTCTTTTTTTTATTGTTCAAGTATTGAAAAAGCCTGATGACAGCGATGTATATCCTTTATTCCTCCAAGATAACGTTCTACAAATGAGCTTACTGTTCTTCATTGGGAGAAATCATGATTTTCTGTATAATAACCCCCTTTGAATGCAAGATGGCGTCTATATGCTCCAACAGGCGATATGACGCTGATGATGGTCGAATCTGTATAAATCTGAATAGAAATGATTATTCGGATACTCAATGCGACCGATATACCACAAGATAAATATGAGGAATGAACAATGCCTAATAGGGAAAGGGAAAAGTTTGCTTTGATTGCCCTAAAAGAACACAGACAGTGGTAGTGCGCGTGGGAGCATAATTCCTTTCTTTTTTTAAGACAAAGGACCTTGTGAAGCAGTGATCAGTTTGTTCAGGCAGCTCCCACGCTTTCTTGGACCATTCGCAAACAGCCACGGAGAACATACCATGTGGGCAGGATAAAAAAAAAAAAAACGACAATTTCTTGTTTATACTAAAGAGTATATCAAATTATTCTGATATTCCATCCGCCAGAGTCCATCACCACCTTTTTCTCTTTAATGCTGCAAGCTTTGTGTATATGAAATGGACAGAAGTGAGAGGTGTCACATTTTGTTTTTGTTTGTATGAGCATTTGAGATTCTTTTGTTGACGACAGATGTAACAAAAAAAAAAAACTCAATTGCTTAACTAAACTCGAAAAATCATGCAGAGTCAAATCAATTCAATTCGCTTGATCTAAATATGCATGAATTTGCATTTGCATGAATAAGGAACATAGACATATTATATATAATAGGAGCATTGGCACTCGGCTTAGTACTACGGGATTCTTCCTGAATCACGGGAAACAAACTCTTCACCTTCTCAAGTTTCCAATGGGTCGTGAGGCTTTGACGTCCATGTCCTAATTGCAGAGCAATACGAGGTGGGAAGGCATAGACGGGTAAGACACTGATTACCCAATCGCTACCCCTAAGCTCCTTAGGGTAGGTCAAGTTGTAAGAGCCCTTCTCTCTTTCACTCTCCCTAAATCCCCATTTCTGTTCCGCATAACCAGCGACTATTAAGGCTTGAGGGTAGGCCCCACCCTACAACCCAAGGTAACGACCTGTCTCTGGGCTCGAGATAGTGGCGTATTCACTATCTGCTGGATGTGCCAGACTTGTTTCGAAAAATCACCACCATGGATCAAGAAGGTAGGTGATGCCGAATTTGTCTTTTCTATACTAATCACTTGTTCACCTCGCTTGATACGGCCCATACTAAGGGTAGCAGCAAAAGTCGTCTGCAACAAGGCAAGAAGACTAATCAAGAAGGCAACTGAGCGAGCCATTGCTAAAAGGGAAATAGGAGACTAAAAATAAAATAAATTAACGACACTCAGCGACAATAGAATATATGAATATATGGTTCATCAAATAGTTATAGAGAACACGTAATGTCTGAAAGTTGAAAATAATGCCCAAGATGATGATATTTCTGATATTAGCGGCGTTCTAAAAAAAAAAAAAAAACAAAAAAAGCATATCTTCGGCATAATTTTTTTACGAGTCTTCTTTTAGAGTAAGGACGATCATCACAAAGGATGAGGAGCGTGACATGAGGGAGATTGTCTTTTTTTTTACTTCACATATTGCTTTTGCTTCTATTTAGACCACCAAGTTTTAATTAGCTTTTTTTTGACAACTGTGACGCATGGGCCCGTGAAGATTCAATGCAACAATTCTATATTGTCATTTGATATCATACGCAATACTCATATTGATCTTTTTAAAATATTTCCACCCAAACCTCCATGAGTTGGTTTATTCGTCAATCGCCAATTGATGCTTTATTTCCCAAATGTGCTTTTTAAGTAAAATGCCGTCGCCAATCAAAAAAAACTCCCTTGAGCCTAACGACGCGGCACACACCAGGCTTATGGATTCATCTATATCCCTTACAAGAAAGAATTATTGATAATGGATAGAACACTCACTTACCTTCGCCCTTTAATACCGCCAGGAAGATACATATAATGTTGTAATAAGTAAATATCATATTTGGAGTAAGGTTACCCTTCATTGGAGAATACTATTTGAACACAGTTCAATGTTATATGGACAACAGATAGTCCACCAAAAAATGCGAAGCCTGGATAATCAGCGAGTCACTCCAGAATAATGGTGATGAAATTTGATATCCAGTCCTTCGCGATTCGAGCAGTATGCTTAAATATTGTCCAGCTGGGTTAATAATCCAAGCTCTACATCGTATCAATCCTGACAAGCAAAAACACAATCGTCGAGACATGGACGCGAGTTTCTGTGTTGGGCTCCCTTGGAGCCGGCACTCACCGCCTATTATCTGATATGTAGCAACAGGGTGCTGCATGCGTATAAAATGGTGAGCTAACACTACGAATATAGCTACAATGCCTTCGTGTGCCACGACTCATTGTTTATACGCACAAATATTGATAGCTTCGGTGGAGGTATTTATCTAGAAAATCAATCATAATGAATAACAGATCGTAAATAGCATTAAGAAAAAAAATTTGCTCAATTTTGCTGGGCCTTGCAAAGGAGTAAACCATTATGATTATAGGCGGCATTTATCTATATGGGCTTTTGGAGCGTTCAATATTATAGGCATGGAATATATGGATAATATAAGCATTGATGCATTGAAACCAGACAACAAATGTAAAAAAAGGCATTCCAGATCCTATATAGAGTGACATTGGAAATGAGCTATCGTTTTTATTAATAAAGACTATCAACGAAGAAAACCCAGATCCTTGATCCTTAGTCCCAGTTTTATCAATTGGGAGTGGAAGCGAGAGATCTCTCAGAGCCGCATGAATGCAGGATAATCAATCCTCTCAAGTCTCTAATGAGTCGTCGTGCCTAAAGATCCATCTAGGGCGTCAGAGAAACACGAACAGGATGGTTTTCGAAGGGTGAGAGGTTGCTAGCTCATTCCTTGTATACAACCTGCTCCGGGTAGACAAAGCTCTAGTGGCCTTTACTTTCCTCGCTTTTCTTAAGCTTCTATTTCTATGAACCCTTGCCAGCGACTATATAGGCAAAGGGATAAGCATCTTCATGCAATCTGAGGTAGCGGCTTGTCTTTGTGCTCAAAATGGTAACTTGATTATCGCCAATGTATCCGATGTACCAAACTTGGCCGAAATTTCCATATTCCTCAAAAATAAGCAGGAATTTTCGGCTTTGCCATTCCCGTGCTACCCAGTACAAAGGACATTAGCAAGAGACGCTTGTAATGAGATAAGGAAGGTAAGCAGGAATATGGTAGATGGAGCCTTTGCTGAGGAAAATAATATAAAATAAAATAAAAGTTGAATATGCATGTAAAATAGTCTTCGCACAGGAGCTTCATTTGATTAGGCATGGACTTGGTCTGCACGTTTTCACTTTTAGAATGGAACTTCAGTATGATAATTCACATTCTGAGGACATGCTCTGCACAGATTACAAATACGTCTCATTATACAGGAATACCAATCTACTTTCACATTTGATACTCGGCCTTGGACATCCCTCACTCAATTTTGCCGCTCTCCTGGATTGCTTAGAGGTCCAAATTGGAATATACAGCTTATTCCACCAGTACAGAATGAACTTGGCGACTTTTTTGCTGAAATAACAAAAGAAGACTAAGAAGGTGTCAGTGGTTCCCAGCTTCTCCTGACTTTTTTCTAGCATACCTTAATTTTTTTTTTTTCGAGCATTCCATGGTCTCCTTCCACAATCCTTTGATTTCCATATGCTCCATTGCTGTTGTCATCCTTGATATTGTCTCTCGATGTTGCCACCTCAACACCAGGTTCATAAAAAGTATTTAAAGGGGTTGCACCTTTAGGATATCCGTATCAACGCTCAATCCGTACCAACGCCCTCTATTCTCCGCAGTGTAACAAAATCCATCACAAGAGTCTTCCGCCTCGCTTCCTCAGCGCTCAAGCCAAGAACGCTCATAAGAACCCCTGCAGAACCTACATTGCACCACTCTCCCTAAAATGCTGAAAGGATACATCATCGCCCTGCTCTTGGTTGCGACCACTATGGCGAATCCAATGTTACAGAAGAGAACCAGCTGTCAAGCTTGTGAGTGGTGGGGCGGCGCAAATGCCTGTTGCACTGCATCCTGCATCGCGCAAGGGTATATTCATGGAGGACATTGTGATTCTAACATGGTTTGCATCTGTACTGTTTAATAACCCAAGCGATTATACAGTAGCACATCGCAGCAGGTTACTAGCACTTGATCCTATAACCCTATAAAAAGGAGTCAAGCCTGTATACCAATAAAGTTCATCTTTGTTTTTGACATCCTCTTTCACTTTCACATCGGACCTTTTTTTCTTATTAAGGAGAACAGGTTGCGCAATATCACGTGCATTGGGGGGACGAAGGCATAAATAAAGCCTTCTCCCTTTGTTTCCTCGTAAAAATCATCGAATAAGAATGTTTAATGGTATGTTTCGTAATCTTTCCTGCGACTCTTTGAAGGAGCCGTTTTGATGCAAATCTTCTATAGCCATGTCATAGCCTCTGAAATATGCTAGGATCCTAATAAGTGACGAGAACGAAAGAAAGATGTTTATTCTGATCCAAGGAGCTTCGTTAAATAAAAAAGATAAAGAAATTTATTACAGCAAAAATCCATATGAAATGACTGCTAATCGCAACACCCTGTTATCCATTGACATGACAGAAGATGGCGCTAACGTCATGTCCATTATGTTATCCCTCGCGATGTCATATTTGTTGCAAAGGTCCCCTTGACTTTAGGGAAATGCACTTCAGCAGCACTTTCGCTCCTCATGATGTCCTCTGACATAAGGCATCAAATATACTCAATTCTGATAGTTATCTAACCTCCACTTGCCCATCGCCTTTCATCGATATAAGAACGCTTGTTTGGCACTGCACATGGCTCTTGTATGCCCAGTGAACGGTACGATAGAGCGACGCAATGCTGTTGCAGCCTGCTCAAGTGTGCCCAATCCTTCGTAAAACAACCAAAATGTCGTACATTAATGTATTGCTGATTATTGAGGGATAGTGATGAGAAATTGTCATAATTGGTACTCGGTAGCTAACAACACCTTCATTGCCATTAACATTGTAACTCTCTTCGACATTTTTATCCACTTCCTCTTCATCTATACCTTTGCTGCCATCATTATTTTTGTGGAGCTCCTTTTTATCAGCAACCCAACATAATTATACAGGTATTAGTTAAGGGAATATAGAGGAAACGCACGCACTTCGCTTGATTCATTGTTATTTTATTACCTGCTCCAACTGGAAACTCCGATTGTTTTCGTCTGTATCGAGAGCAAAAAAAAGATAGTAACGTACACCTCTACTGGAAGCTTTAGATTTAGAAATGATAACCCAAGGGGTCCGTGAGGCGCAAAATCACGATGAAAAGATGCTATTTGCAAAAGATCAATCATCACGGATAACAAGACTCTCAGAACTTGGTTTAGGAAAGCCTTGTGAGGGATATGCACATACACGGAGCACATCGTGCTCTGTTAAGTCTATCCCTGCCCAGCACAGTGATGCTATATAATACCTTAGTCGCCATCTTCTTGACAGGGGTTAGAGGATTTTGGCCATGGCCATGGAGTAATTAGTATTTCTTTTTGCGTAACCTGCGCTCCCTCACTTTCCATTGACGTGCTTACTATGATTCGATTGGCGGGACCCTCAAGCCTCTGGCCAGTCGTTCGCGGGATGAATGGCTATGCATATCTTCGGGAGCAATCGCTATGATAATGTGGTGAATAACTTAATTCCGATCAAGGGAAGACTACTAACACGTTGAATCTTAAAATAAGTAATACATTACAAGCATTGGTCCGTGCGGCTTAATAAAGTTGATTATGGTGGCGAGGCAGGAAGGAAACGATGGATGTTTGTTAAGAGTCATTGATTATTTCATGTATCCATGTGCATCAAGTCCTGAGCAGAACGTCATGTTTGCCGTACCAAAATAAGGTGCTTTTTCTAATATATACTGTAAGCTTTGTACTTTCGAAGCAGTGAACAGAAACGAGAGGTAGAATAAATAAATAATGTATTCGTGTACCACGAGCCATTGCTTATGCGTACAAAAACCGCTGCTTCTGATGGATGCTAGATCTCGAGTAGTGAGGCAAAAAAAAAAAAAAAAAGGCTTAATAGCGTAAAGGAGCATCGTAAGAACAATTTGTTCGTATTCGGTTCTTCAAGGCACTCAATCTTTTAAGGAGCGCATCTTTATGCTGAAAAAAAAAAAAAAAAGTAAGGCTGGGCAGTCCTGATCTTTTCATTTTAAGCAACCATTTATTCAACTCAATTTAAAGCGCGAAGTGTGGAATGCTTCTCTCAGAGCTGCAAGATTTAAACTATTCAACCTTATCAAGCTCCCAGTAGGTTGGGAAACCTCCTGGTCCTTTTACTAATTGTAGAGCAACTTGAGGTGGAACGATTGGGAGAGGCAGGACACCGATAAAAATATCCTCGCCGTTAAACTTCTCAGGATAGACAAAGCTGTATGTGCCTTCTTCCTTATTCTTCTTGAGCTTCCATATCTGGAACTTCTTACCAGCGACCACAATAGCGTTAGGGTAGGCTTCGCCATGCGGCCCGAGGTAACAACCTGTCTCCAGGCTCGAAATGATGACGCTATTACCTTTAAAGTGCTGGATGAGCCAGATTTGTTCGAAATCTCCATTGTCGGGCATTAAAACCGCCGGCGATCCCGGCTTCGCTTTTTCCGTACTAAGTTGTAAACTTCCTTGTCTGATACGATAGAGGCCGTCGGTTAGGGCAGCAGCAAGGACCGCTTGCAGCAAGACAAAAAAGGTAGCAAATAGGACGGCTATACGGGCCATTACTGAAAAAAGAAAAGAATAAAAGTACCAGAAGGTCAAAACTCACCAGTTTTAAACTTTAGTTCCACTATACAGTAGTAAAGGCCAAACAGAGTACGTAATATTTGGAAGGCGGAAGCACCTACCTGAGATGTCAATGTTTCCGAAAAGAGTAGGAGATGCTTGGAGAAGGGAAAGTTGAAAGGAGAACAGGGAGATATTTAAATGATCTCGTCGAGTAGACATTCTTTTCTTTTTTTGCGTGAGGAAGTGGCACCTTTTCTTTCAGTCTACCATAGGCCATACATTAACGTTCACTCAACCCAATTCATGCTTCCCTATCCTGTTTTTTAAGATGAACCCGCGTAATCGACCACTGATAAGTACTCTCCCCTAGTGCACACAAGGTTGATTCAATTCAGCAATTGGTGCAGAAAGAGATCAGATGCAATATATTTTCCAAACCAATGAGAAGGTTTGGGGATACCTCTGCTATCTATCCTTTTTTTTCCTTCCTGATTTAAGTTACTCCACCGAATTATTTAGACTGCAGATCGTTCGGATGTCTCCCTCCTTGGCAAAAAACGTCGTTATGGTTGATACGAAAGATCAAAAGAATAAGAAATTAGACGTTTCCCTTACAAGCCTTTTAAGATGCCGCTCTCTTCTCACCGCTTTCCCTGGTCGCAAAAACCTCTATGCTTTATTCCTCAAAATAAATATTACATTTTAGATAACAATAGGTGGCCTTATTGGGAAAAACTCCTAACAGGTAATTCACTTAAAAACGCTATTAGGCCAAAGAGATAAAAAACGCCAGAACAGCGACGTTGAGCTTTGAAATTCCATTTATATTACGAGTAGTATGCTCGAGTATTGTAGATGTAAATGTTGCGATACTCATTTCATATCGCCCACGAGGAATAAGGACATAATTATTGATATGCGTATTGCTGCAGCTCCTCTTTTTTTTTTTTTTTTTTTTTTTTTTTTCGGGCTCGCTCTAACGATACTCGTGCTGACCCATATTCCTTTGATGTCCCTTACTGCCATTTGTGGTGGACAAGAGCCATATATTCATTCTATGAGCAGCAGCCTCGTTGTAGACTTCGACATTTTTGAATGCCACCCTACTTTTAACGCCGGAGGAATATCCTTGTTGCTTTACCATATCTAAGAAACGGAACTGACTAATATGGATGATTGAAATGAAATTATTGCCTTTCATACATCGGAAATGCTTACTTTCATCGCATGGAAGAGTCAAAAAGTTGTTCGGTTGCCTAATGCATAGCAATAGGTAAAACGAATGTCAATGGAAAACAGCTGGAAGGCAGGAAGACGACCTACGAGGATTACATTCCTATACGAAGATAGGGTATACTCCGTAAATAATTTTATAGCCTATTGTAGATTAAACGTACATCAGACCCTTGAGTAGTTCGAGTCCAATTACAGTCTTTTATGGTTAAAAGGACTTGAATGGAGAGAAGCAAGGTCATTGGTACTTAGTACCGCTTTAGTTGAGACAGAAGCAGACGTGATGAATTTAACATTTCGTATAGTCGCTGATACTCCTATTAGAAGCAAAATAAAAAAATAAAAAAAAAGAAATTACAAATACATCTTTCTTCTATCTCTTGACCGCTACTGGCCGGCCACATGCACATCTTGTTACCCGAAATAGGCGCTGGAAGGCGGCACAGTGCATATATCATCCTCGGACCCACATTTTCTTATGGGAAGGGCTAATGCTCCTTTGTTTTCTGTTTTAGTGTAGATATTGGGCCTTTCAGCTAACAATACCCTGATGACTTCCAAATCGATTTTTAAAGATTAGCTTAGAGTTATGTTGATAATACTAATGCCAATAATAACATTATTATTAAAATCATAATAATAGTAAGATTTTTTTTTTTTTTTTTTTTTTTTTTTGAAAATTAAACTTGTTTTCCTTGCTTTGTCCTGTTTGTCTTACTGCCGCCTGAAACGCGCTGAGACTAATTGCCATTAGGTTGAATAAGCAGGCTCCGATGCCAATTAGCTGCTCCTACTGTTCAATCCAGTAAGGTCTGTTACCGAGAGTCGTAGCAAGAGCTGGCTACACTAATACAAGAATAGCATTCAAGAGGCGGCTGGGCGAACCACCTGAAAAAAACAAATAAATAAAAAAAAAAAAAATAGCCAACAGCCTAAATAGCTATATGAAGATGCACCATTATAGCACAGCACTAAAGAATAAAGGAAGCACACAATGCCAAGAGACTAAAAGCACAGACCCGAAGTGTGAATGTCTCTGAAAGAGTGCCGTTAGTGGAATGGATAGTATGTAGATGTGGATTGTTTGGTCTGCGCTCCTCATGGGTTAGAAAAAGGGGAAGGCTGAAGTGGTAATCGTAAGTCTATTATGAACGACGTGTTGTCATCCATTGACGTCTTGGTGGGGATTATATTAAGTTTGTTGAACGCCTCATAAAGAGCCTTTAGGTGTCGAACTGTATTTTCGAAATTTAATAAAAAGTGACGCGTACAAGATACATGTTTATAGGCATATAGAAAAAATCATTTTTTTGGTTGGTGGTCCTTGTGGGAAATGGAATGTGGTTTTCCTTTAATCGATTTTTTATGCATTACATATCTTTATTCCCCCATTTCCTGGGGAAAGTGCACTCATACTTTATTCTCATAATATATGTTGCCATTGTCAAAACGCACCATTGGTATGTGCCAAAATAAAATTTACATGAAGAGATCCTAATTGACAGTAGCTACAACTATCAAACTTTCTGTACACGGAAGAGAGGCTGCGATCGTTCAGGGCCGCATGATGATAATTTGCCATCGCCGTGCATGCGCTCGAAGCTCCATTTGGCATGGCTTGATTCAGAGTTAACGACTTCGAGGTGAAGGCGATTAGTGGAGCGGTCATTTGGAGAAAGATCAATAGCAAGGGTATTTCCGTGCACGGGGCCACCAGGATAGGCAATAGCATATAAACCGCTATCAGAGCCTGGTTCGAGCTTCCATGTCTGCCAAAATCTCGAAAACATCACGTATGCGTGTGGTTGCGCAATTCCTTGGCCCAGTGTGAGGAAACGCCCCGTGTCTGGACTGGTAATGGTGACAGTACCATCGCTTTCATTTTCAACTCTCCAGATTTGTTCCCACTCGTCGTCTCCGGGGAGTAAGAACGCAATTGAATCTGACTTGTACTTTCCAGCACTCAAATACCGATTGCCTTGCTGGATACGATAATTTCCATTAGGGATTGACACCGCAAGGGCTTGTTCAAGCATGAAGAGCAGAGACATGACCAAGAAACCTACTAAAGGATACATACTTAACGTGCTAATAAAAAAAATGATGAGATATGATGAGATGAAAAAAGGTGATGTGGCAATTTTTTTTTTTTTTTTTTTTTTCATCTGAAAAATGAGAATAAACAGGGCAGCTGCACCTTGTACCTGAAGAGATGGTGAATAACAATGTAGTTGTTTGAGGAAGAAAGAAAAAAGCAAAATAAAAAAAAAGGGTAACAGGGAAAGTGAAAGGATATTTATACATGTAATGCGAATGCACAATCTGGAACTGATCGCTATACGATTGTTTGCATAATTTGTTCACAGGTTTTTTTGTCTTTGACACCTCCTTGAACAAAGCGTAAAAACATGTACAAAGCAAGTATCTAGACTGGGTCAAATCAAGAACAACGCTTCTGCGCTGAAGCACCGTGCTTTCCTTTTTCTTTTTTTTTTTATCCGAATGGTCCGATCATCCGACTATCCTTGACCTTGTTTTGCGCCGACTTCATTGTGTTCTTCCCATCATCATCTTTTCTCACCAAAAACGTTTAGAGGGGCTAGCCCACAATAGACGCAAGGGCTTTGAAACCTTCATTCAGCCAAATAACATTGAATTAATAAAGATGCAAAGGGTGACTATTCCTCTTCACGAAAAAGTTTTTTTCTCCTAAAATCCTCTTCGTACCAAAATGGAAGCGCGTTCCAACCTTTTAAACACGGCATTTTGTTGAATGAGCTCATTTTAACATCTACCTCATGTTCTCATTAACCATTGCCTCTCTGGCTTTTCTACAGTCCATTCATTGACTTCGATTGCAATAAGCAAACAACCCTACAATTCATTACTGTCAATTGATATTTAGTTGCTTTCACCTTGCTGTCAAGTATGCACTTGTCCAATAAAATCATTATTTCTCTTTCACATATGGCATAAGAAAACCAGATCGTTGCTCCTGAGTAGATGAAAGTAATGTTTATAACAATAACTCTGTCTACAATCCAGGCACCTCCGTGTTTGTTCATTACCAATATTCAAAAAATGGCCAATCACAGCAAAAACTAGAGTAGCAACTGACAATTTGCGTCTGCAATCATGCTTAGAGCAAAAGCCACGATCCATGGGACTTGCCCTTAACATAACCCTTAGCATTCTTTAACAACATAGATAGCGGTGTTAATGGAAAGCAACAGATAGTTTTGTGGCGGTCCATGTTGACATGCTGAGGTACACTTGTGGACCAAAGGGCGACTGTTCAGACTCCATATGGTTTAAGTCCCTTAAACAGTACTCTTTGCATCACACCTGAACTTTTGCGAGGGATGTGTATATTTGATGGCTACGTCACAGCCTTTGAATTGTGGAAGCGCTGAAGTATGCGGAAAACGGGAGCCATTTGTGTTTTTACCAGCAAAAGGCGTAGCTTCAAAAAGTTTGCCTCCAAAGAACAGATCCTATATCCTCTATTGCTCAATGCTGTCTTTTCTACGCCTCTAAAGCACGCCACAATCCTATTGAAGCGTCCAGAGGCATTTTTGCCTCATGGTTTGAGAATTAATAGACTTACGGCCAAGTTTTATTGTTTTTGAACAACACAGTGAATCCTGTCCATTCTAAGTAGCCTCTCTGGATGGCAGCTATTCAAGGGATGCTCACTAATTCTGCTAAATACGGTTAAATCAAGAAAGGTTTGGGAAACCAACAGCCATCGAACAGTCGCCAAGACAACATCAACACTAATAACAAAAAGACACAACAACCCTTAATTTAGTTTCAAGGACGACTGCTAAACTTCGCCTTCTCTCTTTTTGTTTATTTCTTCGCGAACTCCATTTCCTTTACACATTTTTCAAGTCATGGCCAAAGATGGCCGTAGAAGGCATGCAAAGCATGTACAACAGAAACCATTAGGAAGTGTATCTCGCGACAAGGTGCGCCATCCTAACCAGCCACAGTAAGGATGCCTTGGACAACTCGCACCATAAACGATTCATAATTGAAAGGTTGCAACAAGGAGAGCTTAAACTTTCTTTGACATATTGACAGGATTTTGTCTCTTGAAAGAACAAATACAGGGCGGAAAATGCACGCAGCGAGCACCAATGCTTCGCAGTCGGCGGAGAGGTACTCAGCGTCCCTGGGAGGCGTGAATCAGAACATATCTCGAACAAAGCATCGCTCGTTGTTCCTGCCACCACCAAAACTCTACAAAAATATCTCCGTCAAATCGCCTATTAAAAAGAAATTGGCCCAACAATCGCCCGAGGCTCGCTCACACATCTCCTTGAGCGATTTAGCTCTTTTAAGCTCGCCTGCTGCCTCGACGGTGTCAACAGAATCTATCCCATCTTCGCCAACTGTCTTACAACATGATAGTCTACTAGACCAATATTCTTTTCATCATGATCTCTCGGATTCGGAGCCAGTCAAGGTAAATACTTGAATCTTGTTAAAGCGTCGTCGTGTATCTTTATTTTCCATTAATGACGTCGATGATGATATTGAACCTAGATTTTCTTACGTATAAGGTCCATTGAGAGCAAAGGCCACGAAAGCTATGTAAAAGTTCTGAACAAAAGCGATGTACTCTTGTCACCTTCACCTCATGTGAGTTGAGCTTGGCGATTGTTATGAAAGACATTGGTTGATTTCCTGTAAGCATACGACTGATGTGGTCGACTCTTCGTATTAATCGTGATGAAACCACCGTTACTAGGTCCGTTTCAAGGAGCCATCGAAATATGAGTTTTTTCGGGCATTTGAGCCCACAGCAATCCAAGCTGAAGTCTTTGAAGAGGTATGCTTCCCACTCATAGCATCAGTACTCCTAGAAAGCAATTTCAGCGCACTCCTGTTTGGTTACGGAGGCAGGAACTCGGGGAAGGCCCATACCATGATCGGATCAAACCATCCCGGCAAGGCTGGTATCCTACCAAGAGCTCTTGCTGTCATCTTTCGCTCTATTGGACAATGTGTTGAAAGTTCTGATGAGGCCGACCAGTACCGTCCGGTTGGATACCAAGGAGTAGAGATGATTGAAGAGAGAGGACAAGGTGTCCAAAAATCTCTAGATGGTATCAAATCACAGTTCAAGAAACACCGCAACTCCGCCAAAAAACTCGGCTTCAAGTTAAGGGATCTACCAAAAGTAGATAAAACTGATACTGAAGACCATAGTATGTGTAGGATGTGTACCGTAATCATTTCGATTATTAAATTTCATTGTCCATGAGTTGCTAATGACAGTTTTATTACAAATATAGTTGTTGATCTCCCGAACGGAATGGCTTATGCAGTTTGGATCTCATATGCTGAGTTATACATGGACAAGATTTATGATCTTCTAGGAGAGGCGGCGGCATCAAATGGAACTGTGCCCAGTTCGATTAATTCCCAAAAACCCGCACTGGACTTGAGAACAGATATCACAGGACAGAAGTACATACATGGACTCAAAGAAATCCGGGTTCGAACTTTAGATGAGGCATTATTAGTTCTTCAAACTGGGCTCGCACAACGACACGTTTCTGTAGCACTCAGTAAAACGCCATCTCGAAGTCACTTTGTGTTTACAATCAAGGTTCTCAAAACCCCGCAGCTCGGCAACAGTGCGGCAGAAACTGCTGCTATAGGGAAGACATCAGTATCTCGTTTGTCAATCGTGGACTTGGCTGGTTCGGAACGTTTACATTCGGCCAGCAGTAATCTGCAAAAGCAGCGGGAAATTGTCAATATCAATAGTAGCCTGATGCACCTTCGCCAGTGTTTGGAGGTATTCAAAACAAATCTGCAACCAAAAGTAAAGGTTAGTTTTTGGAACCAACACCTTATTCCTTTGCTATTGCTATCGAAAAATATGGCTTATTGGTATTGGTATGCTAATTCTAACCCGAAAAATAAATTGCTATCAAATTCGTCATTAGAGTCGTCAACCCGTACCTTATAAGCAAAGCAAACTAACCCAGACCTTTCAAGCTGCTCTTAACGAAAAATCAAACAGAACAAAGATCAGCGTAGTTGTAAATGTCAATCCTCGTCATGATAATTATGAGGAAACCAGAAGCACCTTGCGTTTCTCGATGGCACCGGAATCTCGTCTAAATGTTCACAGGACCGAAGAGCATACAGGTCACCATAAGATAACAAGTCCAGACTCTCATCCTCATTCCTCAACGCATACTTCAGCGAAGCAACAGAGGCGGGAAAAATCGCCTTTGAAGGCTCTGAAGGAAAACCCTGCTAGTCCGTCCATTACTCATTGTTCTGAGTATAAATCATCAATTAGTTTGCTTCCAACGCTTCAATCTGACCAGAGCATCGTTATACAAACTATTCAAACCCCGTGTACGCCGCCACGCAAAAGAGCAAGAAGATTTTTAAGAGATGATTCAATGACGGGATTGCAAATCGATGGTGATGGCAATAACCATGAATGTTGGCAGGATGGTCATGGCATAGGCATTCAAGCTCAAGGTATTCGGGATCCACTAGAAGTTGAAAGTATTAGTCCAAGTAGCTTTCTACAAGATGGTCACATGCAGATTGAAGAGTACACTATGCCCGAGATACTGGATGATATGGATGATAGCGACGATCTTGGTCTCGTATCTGTGTCAAGTACTCAGGCTGAATCATTTTTGTCGTCCTTACACTCATCATCAGTAACAAATAGCAATCCTGAGGAGAGCTACCCTGACATAGTCAAGGATCACCCTATGAATGATGATTTTATCGATACTATTTCTGTGGATGTTTCGTCTCCTTACCCTGTTTGTTCCAAGTTCTTGTCACCATCATCAGTAGATGAGTATCAAAACTCAATGGATACATCAGGAATGCTTCACGGAGCGACGTGTGACCAATACATGGCATCCATTGATGATGGGTTGGACAACCATGATATGAATCATCAAGGTGACATTGAGGTAACGATCGAGGCCAGGGATGACGATGAGGACAAAGATGAAGCTTTGATCCAGTATGACCGAGGTCAGACTCTTTTGGCTGAAGAACTAGTTATCAATACGAGTACTAATCTAGACGAAAAGGTTGCTGGGAATGATGCGATGGAGGTAACAGCCAAAAAGCCAAAGAGGCGATTGCGGATCAAGAATGCTGTAATGCTAGAAGAAATGGAAGAGTCCATTGGAATAATGCCACAGTCGAGATCCACGCGTTCCAAAAAGCGAGCTTATAGAGTGCGTTGAAAGGCAGAGAAGGAACAAAAGGTGTTTTTGGCTCCCACCGCACAAATGACGCATTTGTAACACTACCTTATTATTGTAATGAGGACTCATTGTATTATAATAAAACATTGTTGTTGTATCACACATTAAGCCAATGGAAATAGACGCGTCGCACTATTTTTTATCTACTGCGCCTTTACTTGCCCTAACGCCCAATGAAATAAACGTCTGATAGTGAGTTATTTCATATTCATAAAAAGTCGCCTGATACCTTTCTTACATCTTAGTATGTGTTTCTCTACTCTCTTTACTTCAGTTGTTTCCAATCCTCTTTCTTTCACTCTTTTTTTTTTATCCCTTTTTTCTTCATTGAACAATACTCTTACACAATTATTTAAAAGCATATTCCTGGCTTCATTTGATATGGATTCTTCGTTCTACATGCCATTAAATACTCAAGCCAGATGTCGGATGTTGCTCTACAAAGGCAGGCAGCCCATTCAACTAGCTCATGTAAAATGAACCATCATTCATGTTCATGCTCATGTCATGTCATGTTCATTCATCAGCTACATTCCAATAAACGAACTTTAATTCATTTTTCAGCTCTTAACAAAACCAGCCCACTCTATCATCAATCAGTCCTTTGATTCAAAAAGACCGGTCGACGGCCGTAGATTGATCAATGGTAAACTAAAAACGAAAACAGAGCAATATCAACCATCGACCTTTCCCTTGTTTTTTTAGTAACTTTTTTTTTTTTTTTTTTTTTTTTTTTTTTCCCCTTTTTCTCGGTCTCGACAAGGCGATGGATTTGGTGTTGGTAAGTACTAAAGTACTAAATCTCCGTTTTTTTTATTTTTTACTTTTTTCAGGAGGTCTAACTTAAAATTCCTTTGGGGACATGTGTTTACGCAATCCAATCATTCATTTTTTTTTTTCCGAGGTTTTAGGATGGTATGAACCTGAATCTTCCATTGACGGGTCTGCAGCACCTTGTATCTTCACGTCTGTGACTCCAGCATGGAACAATATGAACTTGATCCGTCTAGCGAATAAGATCAAGAGTCCTTTAGTCTTTGCTCATGTGCGCGCTGCGGCTGCTGGTTCGGTCTCTGAGAGCAACTGTAAGGTCAATCAACGGTCTCTGGCTTTGGATCTTTTTTTTTTTTAAAAAAAAAAAAAAAAAAAAAAGAAAAAAAACATTGACGATAAAATTTTATAGATGTTGATACATTTAATCTATCTTCCCTCAACGCACTTTGAGAAGGATGAGATAAGGAGGACGGAATTACGTGTTTATTTGCTTGATTACTAATATCTATCCAATGATAACTCGATAGGCCATCCATGGCAATATGGAAGACTCATGTTTATGCACCATGGCATGGTTTCCGATTTCCATTTGGTAAGTGAGACAATGGAACGTATTAAACTTCGATGCTAAGAGGTAAAATTAAAAAAAAAAAAAAAAAAAAAAAAAAGGCAGGTACGAGTAGAAAATCACGCAAGTCCGGAGAGAGCTTGCGCCATCTATGCACATGTGGTGAAATCCGTTATGTATTTTTTGCTATTGTTTAATACTGATGATCTTGAGAAGAAATAAGATTCTATTATTCTTGGCTCTCTTCTGTTGGGAGAAAAATGAAGCTTTACAGAGGATCATGCAGGGCGCATGCAAACGATATACTCTGCAAAATTAATTTTTTCCAGTACCGTCTTGGTCATTGCCCCATGTTAACGCCTCTTTTTTTTTTTTTTTTTTTTTTTAATACATGTGTGTTTGTGTGTGTTTGTGTGTGTGTCAGATCAAGCGACGTTTGCAAGAGTCTCTTTCAGATGAGATCTTTCTTAGCGTTAACGGCAACACTGATTCAGAATGGGCCTTTGCAGTCTTCTTAAGCCAGCTCCAATGTCCACGACAATGTGAACCATTTGGCCATGAGACTCTGAAGGAAGCCATGCTTAACACCATCCGGAAATTTAACATGTGGTTCAAGTCTATTGAAAAAACAGCGAACAATGGACTCACGCCCTCAATGCTGAATTTTGCGGTGACTGATGGTGTCTCTGTCGTTTGTACTCGCTATATCAATTCTTCGTCTGCCGCCCTCGAGCCGGAAAGGCTTTATTTTTCTTCAGGGACTAGATTCGAATGCTATAAGCCAGGGCACTATAGGATGGTCAAGGAAGCAGCCAAAGTAAAGCGAGAGGACATTGTGATGATTGCATCTGAGCCATTGACTTTTGAGGAGACTGATTGGCGCTTGGTCTCAAGAAACACGTTAGTAGTCATCACTGGAAGGATGAATGTATTGATGTATCCAATTAAGGATGACTACTACGGATGTAGCAGTATAAAGGCACAACAGCAATACAACCATTTCAAAAGCATAGAATCAACAGCAACAGTAATAGCACAAACCTCAGAAGCGCCCTTACTTGCAATAGAAAAAAAGCAGATCGGACTGAGTAAAGGGAACCGACCAGCCGGTTTTGTGGTAGAGCCAATACGAGCAGAGGCAAAGGAAATGACAACTATTGTCAATGCCAATGTTGGTCTTCGTAATAATGGTCTCTCTTCGCCTCATAAAACAGACGTATCAGTTAGTAATATGGATTCAATTTTGAAAAACAATGGCTTTAAGCCATCCCTGTTGCAGCAGTCGACTCTATCACTATCACTTTCGCCTTTACCTTCGTCGCCGACTTTGCATCAGCCGACCTTATCCATAGCCCCAATCGCCAGCATGCAATATCTAGACTATGACGCCAAGAAGTATGATGAAGGAAAAGATATGTATGGCCATGGAATGTTCATTGGGTTTCCTAGGCGAGATAGTGGGAATGCGGAGTATTCAAGTGAGGGATATAATGATTTAACAGAAAGAAAAGAAGAATACCAGTTGAAGAGTATAGTCAAGATGAAAATAGAATTTTAGACCATTAAACGCGTGTCCCTGAAGGCTAAAAAAAAAATGGGCAAACGATGATGTAGCTTCATGCTTCCTCATAAGGCCAAACAGAAATAAAGCCGATCATTAAAACTATTGAAGTTGCCTCCATCCCTGCTCTTGCTTAAAAGTGATGCTGATAATTTTTAAACATTTAGAAGTTGTTACGAATATTGATTTGAAATAAAGATCGTCGCCTTGTCATCAGTCCTGTTTGGTCCGCCGCCTCGCAAAGGTGTGGCAGAAGATCTTGAGGGATTGCCGCATTAGTCTTGACCAGGGAAGCCGCACTGCAGTAGCAGCGCGCTCTGCCTCTCCTCATTTGTATTATCGAACCTTAGTAGATGATATAAAAGATAAGACAATAGGGTATAGTCTTTCGGGAATACGGATTATGCTCTAGGTTAAGAGCGTACCTAGTGTTACGACACCATACCTCGGTCATGGCAACCCTCGATGTTGCGCTATTTTATTTAACAGAATTTTTTGGGTTGTTGTCCTCAGGGGCTTATAGTCATGCAGCAGTGGAGGGACAATCATGCCCATGATAATAATAATCAGAACTGGGTGGCTTGCAAGGCCGGCACTGATTAGGTTGTTACTCTTGTAGACTATGATGGTATCAATCTGAATGTAACGGCTGAGAGATGGAGAAGTTGTTTAACTACTGCAGTGCCCTAGAAAGAGATAAGAATCAAAGGTCTACATTGTACTTTACAATATTGCTTCACATCTATAAATGAGGCTTTAACTTAGAGCTTGATAAACTAGACATGAGAGGTACATCATATAGTATACCAATAAGGTGATGTTTGGTACCAAAGATGTAGTAGAGAGCTAATCACGAATGAACAGAGGGAGAGTGGGAACTGAAAGCTCTTAAATAGAGAAAACCAATATAACCATTTGGCGCGAAGTTTTTTACATTAAATTGATGAGGTTGAGTAAACTAGTCGAACAACAAAGCCAAGGGAGCTAAAAGGATGAAAAATAAAAAGAGTACTCGACTCGTTGCCTGTCCACATACGAGCATATAACCCAGGATGCGCCACTTTAAGCTGGTTTTTCGCTCGAAAGCAATCGGACTCAAGAGATATCCCATTTGAGGGTCATCTAGTTATTGGGTTTCTCACTAATCCTTTTTTTTTTTTTTTTTCTTCTCCTTTTAAATCAAAAAATATGTACTTAGCACATGCTCCATTGTCACTATAAACTCTGATGAGGGATTCTATTATCAGAGCCAAAGGCTTGGTCTCCTGTATATGCCATGCACTTGTACGCTTACATTATTCGTTGGAGTGTCCACTTTAGGTTCAGTCTGCGGTCTGTGCTCTTTTATTACCCAGTTCAAACAGAGTTTGTCTGCATGGTATGCTTGATGCACTGTCTTGCCTACATTTCAACTCAATATCATAATTCCAAAATGGTGGCAAAGGGACAGAAGTTGGAGTAGCTTTCCTGAGATGGAATATTCCACGCAGCGTCATTTTCCATAAAAACGCTCCAATCAACAGAGTGCCATGATTTTTTTATTTATGATGGTCACAAATTTATTCAGCGGAAAGAAACTCATTCCTATTTTCCTTCACTTCAATCTATTTTCTCTGTTCATCATTGTTGTATTCTCTTTCAATCACTTCTACGCTCAAATCTTACTTTGACTTTTGCTCTCTCACTTTTTTTTTTTTCTTTTTTCCCTTGCTTCTCTTTATCTTGTTGGTGAAGGCTTTGAGGGTATTGATTGTACTTATCGCTTCAGTAGTTTAATAGCTTTTGTTTGTTTTTTCTTGCGAAAAGCATGTTGTCGAAAAGAAAGGCTACAGATCATCTCTATGCTGATTCTAGTAAAAGAGCTTTTACTGGAGACAATATCTTCTCTGGAGAAACAAGCACAGCTACTTTTACTGCCACCTCCACTTCATCATTATTAGATGGAGCTAATGAAGCGAACGCTACAGTCTCTTCCTCGAATACCTCCGCTAGCATTAGCGCTGTCAGCGCTAACGTTAGTATCTCCACTGATAGCGTGTTGTATACTATTCCAAGCAGTGGTGCCTATCTTTCTTTGTTTACTGGGTTGTCTCTCCTGAACGAATACTGCTCGACATTGACAATCCCAACCACTCCGCTTTTTTCTGCTGCGCCTCCTCGTAATTCTTCTATACTTATTCTCAATACTTCTGCAGTCACTTCTACTTTGAGCTCACAACCATCCGTCCTCGAACCACAGTTCAGCTTTTTTCCAGTCCCTAACAAGTTTAACAACTGGTACGTCAGTGTTCTCCTTCCTGATGGAGCGCCTTTCCAGTCACTTTCGTCAGGTCCACATTATTCAAAGCTCAAGGCCAAGCTCCATCTCTCAGTTGAAGTCTGCAAGCGATTACACAAGTTGGGTGTGCTTGACTTACAGCCAGCCCCTGTAAAATCGAGCACGAAGACCTCCCATAGCAGAGAAGATAGCTCTGCCTTGCGCTGTCATCCTCCTCTTCATCATTACGACGTTATTAATCCAACAGAAAAGGCCATTGTTGACGATGATGCTGCTACATTAAGAGAAATCAATGCGGCTATGCAGATGTTTAAAGAAACGGAGCTCCATAGAAGCGACGATCAATTCCACGTCTTTGCGTTATTTATGCAGGCAAGGGACTATCTTCTTTCATTCATGGGATCTCATCCACCCTCACCTTCTGCTTATCCCAACAAGGCTTCGCCATTAGATGTTCGCTTTAGGCATTTGGACCATGGAGACATAGTTCCATGGGGTTACATATGCGATATCACTATATGGTGGCAATCGAGCTTTACCAAGGTAGAATCAGACTTTTACATAAAGCAAGGCATGGCGATTTGCCACGCTGCCCTGCTTCTTTGTATGAAGCTTGGTTTAATACAAGGAGTCTCATTGAGGCCAATATCATTTACCGGGATCTCATTCTGCAGAGGCTTAGGAAGAGCAATTCTCAGTTTATTGCTAGCAGTAGAAGCATTCGTAACCATACCTGGTGGACCGGGTGCTCTTACCAAACGACGGGTGTGGTATAGCCACTGTATTAAAGATATTAAGACTCGGCTTATGCAAATATCTGGAGGCGCATTCAATCCAGAAGAAATACAGCCGTTCTTTCTAAACGCTCTGATCAAGATCACATCTGCAGGAGGATTTGATTTAGCTCTTCGAGTTGTGAAAGATTTGATCGGGGATGGTGTTTTCCCACAAATTAATCGATGGAAAGATTTAACCAAGGCTTTCAAAAAAAACCCAATATCCGCAGCTCTGTATAGCACAACAGAACCGGGACCACTGAGCGATCAAGATGTTGAGGAAGTCGAGACTACTTTAAGGTACACTTTTAAGAACAAGGCGATTCTTCAAAAAGCCTTCATACTTCAATCGCATGATTTCGAAAGACTTGAATTTTTAGGTGATGCGTTGATGGGCTTTATCACGGTCTTATATTGGACGCATTATTTGGAAGGGCAGCACCCAAGGCTCAGTGTTTCGAATGACTCCTTCGGGAAAATCCTTTATCAACTTGGACTATGTCAATATATCAGTGGTGGAAAAGGGAAAAGATTTCATCAAAAAATGGCCCGCATCAATGCAGAAGTAGAGTCAGATAGGCGCTTGAAAGATATGCACTTTGACAAGCTGTTTGGAGACGTGTTGGAGGCATTAATGGGGGCAGTGTTCGTAGATTCAGACTTTGATATAAGAGGATGTAAGACGGTCTTCTTAGATGCTCTGATGCCTGTCTATGTTTGAAATATGTGAGTACCTTTATATGCTTTACATGCTTTATATGCTTTATATGGTAAAAATATCAAAAAAAAAAAAAAAAAAAAAAAAAAAAAAGGCTATGGTTCATTGGTAGGGATCACTAAACTATTTGCTATCATTTATCATTTACGTTTTTTATATTGACTCTGAAGTTGAGCCTTTTTCACCTTGATCAACATCGTAGCAGTAGCTTTTAATAGAAAAATCTGGACGCATTATGGCAGTATAGTTGGAACAAAAAAAGAATTCATCAGTTGAGAAAATCACACGATAAGCATGAAATTGACTATAGCAAAATCCAATAAAAATAAAAAAAAAATTAATGTATTACTTACCACTGCCAGAAAAGCATTGCTAATGTGGGGTCCAGCCCAGACTAGGCTTGTAAAAACGCCGTGCTCGTCAAAGTAATTATCATCAGAAAACACCTGCCAATGCCGGTTTCCGATTCTGTTGAGTGGCTCTGACAGTGCAGCAAAAACGACTATTACAAAATACAATGAGCCGAGTGAAAAATAAAATAAAATAAACATCGATATTTCTTTTTACAGCTTTCTTTGGGGCAACTTCCTTGTCTCTCTCCGTGGGACAAAAACTCTGGTTACAAAAAAAAAAAAGAATTTTGTATCAAACAGTGTAAATCTTACTAGTACAAAGGAGCGTGGCAGCGAGAGCGTTGGGTTTGTTGCGTAGTAGTATAATTGTCACAAATATACAAAGATGTAGTGTCAAAATCAATAGGATCCATGTTTGTTGCCACTCAATCTAGATATTGGCGAGATGGGAGAAGAAATTATGAATAGAATGGACATCAGTCTCACTCATTTGTATATATGAGGAGTTTGATAAAAGATGAAAAGGTAGATACATATAGCGCTTACAGATGAAACGAACCCAGTGGAGGCGGCTATAAAGTCAGCCCATGCGGCTTTTGCGTGATCAAGTGGAGTGTTAAGCTGACTATCATGGTGGAGCTTTCCCTTCTGTAGTCCATGCCAAAACTTATTGAAGGAGCTAGCGTCCTTGAAATGAAGTTTTGCGTTTGATTCTACTGTGGCAGCTCCGGTAGCTTGTGCATCAGGCGATTGTGGTTTGGTTAAGATGGCCTCCTGGCTGTCCGCATCAATGTCGCTGAAGAGTGAGTCAAAGAATGTAGACGAGAACGGGTGTGTGAACTGGTAGAGCGTGTTCCAGAAGTCGTCCCAGAACTGTGAAGTACCTTGCGTCCCGCCCGATGCTCCTGCTGCTGCTCTTTCAGCTTCTGCTGATATTCCTGATGACATTTCGGAAATGTTCAGAAGCGATGCCATTGACATCTTTATGCATTGCGAACCAAATGTGGTGTACATCTCTTTTTTTTTTTATTAACATCAGGTGACGTGGCGCGGCGGGTGGATTTTTCCTTTTTTTGCTTCTGACTTCCCACGGTTCTCGTACCCTTCTTTCTTTTTCCTTCTCTTTCTTCGACACATTCCAATACAGTTTATTCCACCCGATATTATCTTCTCATCATGGATGCACAACTCAACCAGTTCTTCGCTCAAGTCGATAAGGACCAGAATATCTACGTGGAACGTCTCCGTGATGTTGTTGCTATTCCTAGGTAATTTTTTTTTTCTGTACCATCTTTGTTAATCCATAATGCTTTTTATTATTGAGAGTGCATGTGTGTCCCTTTACCATAACACTACTCAGCAAACCCTTTCGCCTACAGTGCATTATCCATGTGAAATAAGGAAAGAAAAGGAAAAAAAGGGAAAAGAAATGAAAAAAGAAAGGGAAGGGAAAGGGAAAGGGAAAGGGAAAGGGAAAGAGAAAGGAAAAGGAAAGGATATAGAAAACACAAAAGCTACAGCTACAATTCTCTCATGCCATCTTTTGCTCAAGAAATACATTTGTCTGGACAAAATAATAAAAAATGCGAAAGCAAAAGAAGGTTATATCAAATCGTCTCAATTCCCAAGGAGCACGCCATTATAATGGCAATTGATTTTTTTTTTTTTTTTTTTTAATTAGTGTGAGCTCCGATGTTTCCCTGCGTCCACAAGTCTTCCGCATGGGCGAGTGGGTCCAGAAGGAGTTGAAGCGCCTCAATGTTGAGTAAGTCACAAAATGCAGAAGAGGCTTGTGAGTGTTCCTGGGAAAAAAATTTGTCTCAAAACTTACTAAATTTTCTAAAAGGTATGAAATTCGTGACCCCGGCACTCATATCATGGATGGACATACTCTTCAGCTTCCTCCCATTGTTTTGGGTGCCTATGGACGTGACCCCGCCAAGAAGACTATCTTGGTTTATGGACATTACGACGTGCAGCCTGCCCTTAAAGAGGATGGTTGGGCTACAGAGCCCTTCGAATTGGTTGAGAATGAGAAGGGCGAGCTTGTCGGACGTGGCTCCACCGATGATAAAGGTCCTATTCTTGGCTGGCTGAACGCTATTGAGGCTCATCAGAAGCTGGGGCTTGAGCTTCCCGTCAATCTCCGCATGTGCTTTGAGGGTAAGATTCATTCCGACATCCTGGCGAAAAATATGTAAAAGGCAAGCCTAATCACCTGGTTACCCGACCGTTTAGCTAAATATATATGTCCTATTCTATTCTATTCTATTTTATTGGGATAGGAATGGAAGAGAATGGATCAGAAGGCTTGGATGATGTGATTATTGCAGAGGCAAAGGGCTGGTTCAAGGATGTTGATGCTGTTTGCATCTCTGACAACTACTGGCTTGGTGATAGCAAGCCTTGCATCACTTATGGTCTCCGTGGAATCTCTTACTACAAGGTTGCTATTAAGGGACCTGGTCGTGATCTTCACTCCGGTGTCTTCGGTGGTACTGTTCATGAGCCCATGACCGACTTGGCTCATATCTTTTCCAAGCTTGTCAGTCCTCAGGGCGAGATCCTCATCCCTGGTATCATGGACGACGTTGCTCCGCTAACTGGTATGTTAAAAAAAAAAAAAGAAATAATCTGGAGATCAAATGCCAACATTCGTTGCAATTTCCTTATATTAATATTGCGACACGTGCGATTATAGATGCCGAAGAGGCTTCCTACCCTCCTTTGGACTTCAATTTGAGCACTCTTCACAATGCCATTGATGCTCAGAACACCATTCATGATAACCACATTGATGCCTTGAAAGGTCGTTGGCGCTACCCCTCTCTTTCGCTTCATGGAATCGAGGGAGCATTTTCTGCTGCAGGAGCCAAAACTGTCATTCCTGCCAAGGTTATTGGAAAGTTCTCAATTCGTTCTGTGCCCAACATGGTCCCTGAGAAGATTGATGCCTGTGTCATCAAGTACATCAAGGAGGAATTTGCTAAGCTCGGTTCTAAGAACTGTATCGAAGTCGAGTGTCTTCATGCTGGAAAGCCTTGGGTCGCCTCTTTTGAGCATCCTAACTATGGTAAGAAAATGAACAAACATCATTTGTTTTCAATAAACGTAATTAGACGTGTCTTTTTTTTTTTTTTTTTTTTTTTTTTTCCTTAACGGAGCCTTTAATCTTCATTTTATTTTTTAATTCTTTTTTTTTATGATGAAATAGTGGCTGCTGCGAAGGCTGTAGAGCGTGTATACAAAGTTAAGCCTGACTTGACTCGTGAGGGTGGTTCCATCCCCGTTACTTTGACCTTCCAGGATGCTCTTAACAAGAACGTCCTCCTATTGCCCATGGGTCGATCCTCTGATGGAGCCCACTCAATCAACGAGAAGCTGGATCGCTCCAACTATATCGAGGGTACCAAGCTGCTCGGTGCCTACCTCTGGGAGCTCTCTGCAATGCAGTTTTAAATAATATAGTCGTAAAAAAAATTGCAGCGCACACTTCCATTACCCCTTTTTTTAGTGTAATAAAAACGCCACCAAATACCAATGCATGACACGCACATGAATATGTGACCTGGTCCTTGACATGGAAAAAGCATTTTTTTTTTAAAAAAGCAATTCTCATACATTAAAAACATCATTCACAGAAAAAAAAAAAAAATGGAATATAGACGGCTTGTGAGTGATGCTCATCTTATGGTCCAAAATTTCCTGCAGAGCCAGGGGTACAATGATGCGCTGAAAGCATTCGAGAACGAGGCAAAAGTTGTGTTGGAGGATATTCCACAAAGCACCCCTCCACCTAAACCTCTTATTGAAGTCCTAACGGATATTCGTATGTCGCAACTGCATAACCAACTTGGACAACTTAACTTACCAAGGTAAAAAAGAAGACATCATAAAGCACAACACAGTTTATAAGCAGAATGTTTTATATTTTAACATCGGTTTTTATATAAAAAAAAAACGACATATATAGCTCAATAGAGGAGCAAGATTTATCAGCTCCAGGAGATGGCTCGATGCCCGACACAGCGGACGAAGTAATTCAAAATTTACATTCAGTGAATATTATCTTTGCCAGGACAGCACAAGTGGCTGTGGCCCCTACATGGCAAGATCTCGATCAGGATCCTTCGATGACAGTCAAGTTCATCCCTGCTCTCGTCACCGCTGCTGCAGATCGGACAGTGAAGTTTACAATGCTCAAACAAAAGAATACCATTGAACAACAACAACAAAACACTAATGACCATGGTGACCATCAACCAGGAGAGGTCTTCAAGATTTGGCAACCTCATAGTGGTGTAGCTCTCGATATTGATTTCCATCCACTATTCCCAGAATTGATGTTGACCAGTGCTATGGACAAGACTGTTGTCTTGACTAACACAGTTTTGGGTGAAGAACATCAAATCTTTAAGGATCATGCCAAGTTTGTCGTGCGGGCCAAATTCGCCATGGACGGATCCCGAATTATCACTGCCTCCCATGACAAGACGGTCCGTATCTACAAGGCAATTGAAGAAGAAGAGACAAATAATAGGAGTCAAGAGAAAAGACTCCCTCGTTATGTCCTTGACAAGACATTGACGTTCAAGGGCGCTGTCGAGAGTCTTTGTGTCCTTCCTTGGCCTTCAAACTCTGGCGTCAGCAGTGTGGACAATGGCATCTGCAATGAAACTCGTCCACCTACGGCTGTAGTTGGAACAAGAGACGACAACTACTTGCACTATATTAATCTAAGTGATTACTCCGTCACAAAGTACAACATGAACCTCAACAACGATAACTGGGTCTCGTTTACCCCCATGGAGATCTCGGCTTCTCCTCACAATAATGGTGGTTACCTCTTGGTTTCAACTGATTCCCCAACAGGTCGCCAGATCTTGTTTCGAACTGGTTCTGCATTGCAGCTTTTCAACTACTATGGCGTCCCTACAGATGGGTTCTCGACCCCTCGACATGTCTGGGATCGGACTGGCAAATATTTTTATGTCACCGGAAACGACCACAAAATTTACTGCTTGCAAGTGAACAATGCCGATGATGGTGCCGCGGTAGCTACTGTTGCAGGAACACGCGGGACTAAACAAAGCCATGAGCAAGCCATTATTAGAACTCTGGAGGGCCATACTTCCGTTGTCAGAGGTCTATACATGGACTATCATAGAAATATGCTAGTGAGCTGTAGCTTTGACAAGACCGTACGTACTTGGGTCAATTGTAACTTTCACAATGCCACCAGTATGGCGATAGATATTTGAAATGTATAAAATTATACAGCTTTTCATCACATTTTTTTTATATATAGATATATAATTTTTTATTAATGTACATATGAAAAACTGATTAACTCCACTATGCATTAATTCAACTAAAAGTACTGTTATTCTGTCGGCTCAGTAGCCTTCTTCTCCATCACTGTTGCCAGCTCTTCATCAAGATGAGGGGCCTATCCAGTAATCCCAGTCATAACACTTGGATCTTCTGCTCCACTATTGTTCCCACTCGCATCTTGATTCTCTACAGGTTTTAGTACATTAGATGACGTTGTTGTTGGTGGTACCGGCAGGAATCTTGACATGCTAGAGCTGTATTTTTCTGGTACTCGAGGTAGAGCTTCATAGATATTCTCCTGTAATCGCCTTAAACGAGCAGAGTCTTCTGAAATCTCATCACGTGCATCAATATCGAGAATTACAATGTTTTGTAAGGCCTAGTTATCAGGGTTTGAGGCGAACATTTGGGAAACAAACGTCATTCATTATCATTATCCAGTCATTCAACTCAAAGGACTTAATATCTGCTCTCTTTTCCGTCCAATAATTAAAAGCATAAAGTGAACTTACAATAATAAGGTCTTGACAATCTTGATCAGGAGCCAAAGGAGGGCCGTTGTTGTTGTCCATATCACTGTTCATATCGCTGTCTCTAGCCTGTTGTTGATCTTTGTAGCCTGATTGGGACTCCTCAAGGACTACGATCCTTTTTAAAACATGTTCTGCTTTGGTAAAGCTTTCGTCTGCGATGGATTTTCGAAATGATTGCTCCAAATCAATAGCCTTCAAAAGCAATGCACAAGCGCTCAGCCGAGAAGATTCGTTCAGACTGGTAAGATATTTTTCACGCTTCAGGAATCGCTTCATGAACAGCGCCACATTGGAATTCTTAAACAGTAGCAGTTTATCAGCGTTATCAGCGTTGACTATGGCCTCACATAAAACATCCATATGAAGAAGGCAGCCCACATCAAGTTGCTCTAGAGCCATTAGAGCAGCTAGGAGCATTTAATTAACCCAAAGATGAGGTTGTTTGAGTGACATGTTTCTTCGCTATCCCAAGGGAAAATTTCAAAATCAATAATGAAATGAGGAAAGAGAATTGGCGCTTACCTAGGTCAATGGATTTTTTCTGATTCTCATGGCCATCAGCTAGACTACATGCTGCTCGGGCCATTGTCCAGTAAGGCATGAACCATTCATCCAACACCTGTTTAGCAGCTGTATCACCGAGACGTTTGTACAGCTCCGAGTGCATCACGATAAGAGGACCTATCCTCATAGGGGGCGAGCGCACATTGGGAATGGCTGGTCGTGATTCAAGTACTCCATATTGAGTATATGGAGAGTTAGGCCCTCCAAAACATGTTTGAACTGCGAATGGTGGAAGGAATTAGTATTTTATAGGGACTTCATGTTGTATCTCAGGCTGGGCGATCTTTTTTAAAGTTTTACTTACTTTCCGCTTCCAATACACTATCCCGTAATTCATGGTGTGCTTTATCCAAAAGATCCAAGATTGACGCCGCCTGAGACTCTGTAGCCTCACTCGCAATCACGGTCAAAATTGTGACCGAGGCTGTATACACATTAAAAGGAGCTGTCCACATCAAATTACCCATAAGTATTTTGATAGCGATGTAGATGTTGCTCCAATGGTCCATAGCTTCTGCAAATGCTGCAATCAGAAAAGAAAGCATTGATTTTAGCCATCTAGCTAGACCATGTTGCATTTATCTTTTCGATACCGATCAATTCATTTACCTGCAGTGTTACGGCAAACAGTCATTCGGCAAAGGTAGTCGCTCAAAAGCACGAGAGCATCAACAGCAAAAAACTCATCCTCGTTTGCTTCGGGCTGGTCGCCTTTTTGAATTATCTATAGATGTTTAGAAGGAGATATTTGATCCAAAATAATGTACGTTTAGATACAAAGTATTTTCTAGCTATGGCAACATGTGCATGCAAAAACTGTTGCGGCACAGCATTCGATATCATACCTCAGTCAAATGCACGAGGCCGCGATGCTGATAAAACAAAGCGCCAGCCATTTCATTTTCAGCTTCGAACATCGCTCGAGCGATCCTAAGCGGAGAGAAACCATGTTAAGCCTTGCAGTTTGTTTACATTGTAAAATGAGATGCCCAATGTATGGTATCACCTACTGCATGAACTGAGCGTAGAATCTTGGGGTATCTGGCGCAGACAACGCTCTCCAACACTCTTGTCGGTAAGGAGGAAATTCTGAAAGTGTAAAGACAAGTAGCTCATCAAGCTCCCTAGGGCACTATGGGAACAAATAAGTGAAAAGAATACATAAGTCAACCCATGCTCGTGTTCGTGCTCATATTTGTACCCATTGTAATCGTTAGAAAGCGCGGTAAAGTAGTTTTGCCATGAAGCTCCGATTTACATATTGAGTGAAGACTCCCCACTTCATTGCACCAAGGGCCCAAGTGAAGTTGTGACAATGCACCCATTCGGTATGAAAAGCAGGTTGGAGCCTGCTAAAGCGAAGTACGAGACCAAAGTATATAGGAAGGGTTTCCCGGTGAAATTGCAGATTGGTTGGGTTGGGCTGAAGACACACAAAAAACTTTCGAAGTAGCGTGCCCAATGGTTTATAGGATGCTAGTCGCATGTTCAATTCCTGGTTTTCAGTCATGATCTTTTCCCAGAAGATCATCATTTCCTAAAATCGATCATAAAAGGGAAAATGCCTTTGTTCAGTATCTCGTTCTTAAAGGTATAGAATCGCGTGGACGACATGGCATGCAGCCTGAACCTAATGTACCTTCTTATCATAGTCCAGTTTGATTTGTTCTGAGTCAATCTTTGACAGAATGTCAATAAACAACTTCCAGCTTGGAGTAAACTATGTGCAGCGGCGAAATAATAAATAACCACAGGTATTAGGATCGGAGACAGATTTTCAAGACATATCTCTGTCTATAGTCTTTGAGCAATACCTTAATCCTTTCAGCGTCACTCCGGACTAGTTCTGTCAACGCTTTGAAGTACTCTACAAGTTTCCATCCGTCAGGATCATCATCTAAACAAATAAAATACAATAAAATAAAAGTAAATACAAGAATGGAACATATGCAGAAGTTTGTCGTATATCGGAGTATTCTCTAGCTAAGTATGCACTGGAAGCATTTATAAAAGAAAAAAACTAATAGACCCACCTTTCCTCATATGATCTGGATAGTAAGCCAACAACTCAGGGATGGCCCCCATTAATTGCAAGAGTTCTTCGAAATGTCGCGTCTGTGCTTCTGCTGCTTCCTGGTCATTCCAACCATTAAATGCACGTTCTGAGCTTAAAAGTTCCATATAGAATAAGCGTGCACGTAACCGCGTCTCTGAATCATTCTGCATTAGTAGCAGCTCTTGAAGCCATGCTCGGCTATTCCGCAGTAACCATGCTTGCGCCAATCGTCCACATTGGCCATAATCTGAGATTGTACGGAAGAAATCGAGACAATCATACGCTACTGAATGCTGAGGTGTATGATCAAGGACCTGTACACATTGGAAGAAAAATATAACAGTAAGAGCATGTTCAAAAATCTTTCAACAGTACCCACATACTTAGGCACGTTGTAGTCCAAATGAGATAACGCAGTACCTTGACTAGCTGCATGAGGATAAACTCAACTCGGTTCTCGAGTTGATCATCTTCAAATAGCACCAGTTCTTTAAAGATCTGTATTATAACTGAAAATTGGTCCTCGTTGGCATAGTTTAAGGCAGTCGAGAGTGATCCTAAGAGGCGGTTACCTAGACCATGGTGACTAGAGAGGTGACTCACTAGCCTGGCAATAATAGCTGTGTCAATGTGATCTTGAATCATCTTCGAGATTAAAAATGGCGAGCGCTCGGGGTTCCCATGCGGTGCATGGGATGAAAAGAGTGCGTTAAGATCTGCTCGCGATAATATTGCGATATTATCTAGCTCCGGTGACTCATTAGGATCACGCACAATATCCTCATTGACATCCTCTGAGCTTAGGCTTGAAGTGGCTGACGATGTTGATGCAGATGAAGTTGACGATTTCCGGGACACTTGGCTACCACTTCGGCCATGTGCTATTCGCTGTTCCTGGTCCCGCTCAAGAGCTTCGTATGATCGGATTACATCACAGGTAGTAACCAATTCATGGACAGTTAGGATCAAGTAACGGAAGGATGGTTTAGTGAATTTATCGCCCATCTTCTTTTTCTTCGAGTCGTTTCTCTCATCGTAGGTATATAGGTCAATCAGCTCTGAGATATACCCTTCACGCACCATAAAGATTCGCTCTGCCCGGCCCAGCTGTGTGATGTTGTATAAGAGCTTGAAGTACTCGTCAAAATTCCTCCAGTTTGCACGCGCCTCTGGAAGTATTTGAAGTAGAGTTGTGATGAGCCTACAAATAGGTGATCCTTGTGCGCACATCCAACCATCGCCATTGCTCTTGTCTCTATCTGCCACCTGAGTTTCCATCTCACTCGTCTTAAAATTCGCCCACTCAATTAGTCCATAGTCATGTCTACTTTCCCCTCGCAAACCATGCAGTGCTTCGTAAATGAGATCAATGACTGCCTCACGAACTTGTGTAATAGGACAGGCCAAGAGAACACTCGCCAGGAGCGTCTGGTTATCCGCCAAGCTTCGTATGAATGTAGCGCATTTACTAGGATAGAGTACAAGCAGCGATGGCAAGAACCGTGTCCACTGCTGAAGCTCTTGATCAACATCACGGGCATGGATTAGGACATAAAAGAAAAAGTCCAGCCCATACTGCATCGATAGGAAATCAAGCGAATCTGTTGCGCTATCGCCATTCCCGACCGGTGTTGAGGTTGTTTTGTACAGGTTGAACAGGTCCCACACGAATCGATAATATTGGCGATCAAATACTGCCAAGTCTTTTAACAAAGAAGTATTCTCCTTGATGACACCATGCCTAATGTCAGCAGGTACAACTCCTGAAGACACAATATCTGATGCTGAAGGTACAATATCTGATCGCTCATAGAACAGCATATATGCACTGTAGGGTTTTGTGGTTGATCGTGATTGGGACTTGAGATAAGGCGACGCATCCATTGGAATGAACTCTGTACCTCCAAAAGCTTTTGCGGGAATGTCACTTGGGTCAAACTCTTCAACTCTAGAGTCATTGAAGAAATACCATCGTTCATTCTCACTTCCAAAGCTATTTCTTTCTCTGTCCTTGATGTAAGAATAATAATGTCCCGAATCAGCGGTCCCAGTGTGGACAAGAACGCCAACGAGGTTATACTGAAAGGCGGCTGCATTGCTATTCCCCGAAATGGGCTGTGTTGACGGTGATGCGGAACCACCTTCTTGAACTTGCTCTTTCCGTGCCAAATAATCGAGCGTATATGGCTCCATATCAAGTCGCATGGGGAACTCAAAGTGGTCATTAATTTTGATCCTTCGCATGGTGTCCATGTCATAATCGAATCGTTTGAGATGTAGAATCAAATTTTGTGGTAGCTCTTTGATACAGGCTCTAAATTACATTACATCAAAAGTAAGGGCCCCCACTGTATAAGGATATCGAATAAATACCAAAAGTATCAATTGTATTGACAACAAGAATTTCTCCTTACCGCTTGATAGCATCCACATGTTTGTCGCAGCTTGAACATTTATACTTGTTGTCTATTGTATGAGATAGAGATTGGAATAACCGTCCACACGGTATCAGATACTGAATAAATGTCATAAACAACTCAATAAATGAATGATCGCTTCAAAGAGTAAAGACATCATGTAATACCTCCATCGAGAATCTCGCCTTGAACATACAGCTGCAGGCTTTCTTCTAGAGACTTCTTGTTCTTGACTTCACATTGTATTGAGAAGAAGCTATCCTCTCGTTGTGAAACATGCTCACAATCTTTAGACTTGATTTGTTGAACCAGTTTACCGCCGTACTGCTTCTTAAACAGCTCTTCTTGTGGTGTACTCTTCACGCTGTTTTCGAGGCGGTCGAACAGAATGCTGAAGAACTCGTCAACATCCATTTGCACTGCTACATTCATTGGGTTGCCATCCCAATCTTTATAAGCGTAACAAAAACCATATGCATTATATGCTCGCCTAATACTCTCCTGAAGGTTGCCAAATAAAACCTGGAGCTGATAAAGCAATGTGTCGTGTTTGTCTGCCTCCATCTCATCGATTGGGGCATCTAATATTCCATATCTGAACTCCTTGTTCATGTAAAACTGTTGCATAAGGGAATTTACATAGCATGTTGCCCCAAGATTCTGAAGTCCAACGAATCCACAGCTAGCCCTCTTGGTCAACTGAGGGTCGTACCCCCACTGATCCTCCATTTCTAAACCTAAAACATAAGAGAATATCCGTTCATTAATGTAGGTAGTATACTGCTGGCTGAGTGAAACCATCCATTAAACCATCTAACTTTACGGCTTTGGACATTACCTCGATCAAACAGTAGACGAGTCTTTGTGATAACATGGCGCAGGATTTCTGGCTCTCCACGAGCGTACTCCTCCAATAACCCAAAAGCAGCAGATCGCGATCCCTCACTTTGACATTTAGCCATGGTTGGCATCGTAGGATGGTCCAATGATTGAGCGTTGGGCGACTGTGGGAAAAGACACTCGTCAAAAATATAGTCGATGACTGTAAAATCAACGACTTGGTGCTTCAACTTCGGCTCCGTGCTGATCATAGCCGTCGCTACTTTGAGCATTCCAAGCAGGACAGTATCCTCGTTTGATAATGAAATATCCTAAATCATTGAATTATCCATTAATTAGATGGATACCGTAAGAGTAAGCGCAGTAATTCAAAATGACATATATGAAGAGTATATTACTTCTGATGACGGATGCTCCATGATGATTCTCAAAAGTCTTGAGTATAAAGCACTGTAATATTCCTCTGTGCAATAATGAATCGCCTCCCTAAAATTTATAAGCAGTCGTTAGGGCAGTTGAAGAAATTTACTATTTGGATGCTATAATGATTGATACAAAAGATGGCTTTACCTTGCAATGATCTCAAAAAACTCGAAGAGCTCAGAACAATTGCCCTCATACTCTTTCGAGACTGGTAAGAATGACTGGATTATGTCCAGGAAAAACATGACCGGTGGTACATCTGAAGGTTGGATGTCCCTACTAAGTAAATTCATTTGATTGGTTTTTATCAGAAGCAAGAAAGTAAATTTGAGGATAGAGTATTCAATAAGCAGAAGTAGCCATCGTAAGATAAAGATAGAATATGCTTACACTTGTAAGCAGAACCTTCGACCCATATCTAATACAGTCTCTCGGATAGGTGTTGAGTCGCTCTGGACCATAGAAATGAAAATCAAGGAGCGAACATCAGGCCCAGTGTGGAAATGATGCCACCCCATGGGTCCGGTGCATAGATGTGAGATGAGAGTCGCAGCATTAAGAACAATACTCTGATCGTCTATTAGATGTCGGCCCAAATGTATTAGAGTAAGCTTAAGCATTGGACTCGTCTTTACTACCAGAGACCCGTCATAAAATCGCATATTAATTAAACATAAAGGCCTTACTGGGATTGGAACCATCTTCACGTGAAGCAGATGTCAATATCTCAGAAACCAATCTGTTTAAGAACGTAGCAGCTGTAACCCCATCTGTATCTGTCGCACGACCGAATTCGGTTTCAGATGAGTTTGTAAGGCGGACCAAAACTTTCAACATCAAGGCCAAGGCTTTACGGGACGTGAGGCTGGAATTTGTCGCACCAAGCCCTGAATCAGACATTAACAGTGTTGTCAAGTATTTCTGACCGCCAAGATTTACGAAACGCCTTATCCATTGTTGATTTGTTTGATCCTATTGTAATTATGGTATCCAGATAAAAGTATCAGCTATCTAGTCCGCCTACATTAGTGATTTTGCGAACCTCTTCTGTATGCATACCTGAGATCCCTGGTCTCGCTTGACCATTGAGTTGATAATCTGTAACGAGTAAAGCAAGAGAAATGGAGACCGCGCATCCATCAACGTAGTCCAATCCAAACCGTCCTGCAGTTGTTCGAACGAACGAATCAGAACAGGACTCGTAGGAAGCCTAATTACGACTTCCCATGCTTGCGCAGCATACTTTTCGTCCAATAAGAAAATTTGACGCACTCTTTCAAAGAAGTCAGGCATCAGTAAAAGATCTATGGGCAACTTCTTCTATAGTGGTTTTGAATCATGAAATTATGCGTTAGTAGCTAGTGTAAATGTTCGAGAAGTTATACAGAATACAACCATTTGAAAACATCAACATACATCTGTTTCGACAGAGTGTGTTGAGGTTGAAGGTATTGTGCGCTTGGACGCAAGGAATGACTGGCCATTCTCAACTTGCAGCTCTTCCAGTGTTCTTCCGTCCCACGCCATTGAAAAATCTTTACCGAGCGAGAACAATCGGACTTCCTCTTGATCACTACAATGAAGTTTATTGGCAACGGCGCGCCTTAGTGAAGCCAAAGTCCCTGAAGGGTGAACGGACACTTGAAACTATTATAGGCGTTTAATATATTAGGGGCGTTAAGTTGTTTGCCTTTAACAGATTTTTCGCAATAAGGTTGGCTTACATTTATTCCTGAGTTAACCCTGATAGTGAGCATGGCTTCTTCATCTAGTGTTCCATGCATCTCAGGTCTTGCTGCACTATCAACTCTTTCTGAACTGCAAGCCATCAAAAATGCTTTTAAAGTACCGATACACCGTTCAAACACAAGTGAAACATCCAACATATTCATATTGTCACTACTGCTCAATTGATCTGAGGATTTGACCAGATGGTCAACGCACGTTTCAACAAGTCCTTCGCGAAATTTGTAAATTTCTTCAGGCACGGGGCTTTCAATTTGTCGAGGATGCGCCTAGTAATGATGATGGTAGCGGTTAATATTTTAGTACACTATACAGAGTGAGCCTAGTATTCGAAACCATCACTATCTAAAGTATCTTCAATGCATAAGCTTGCATTACCCTTATCAAAGATGATAAGAAATCAATCGCATACGTGCCGACAGTAGGCGTCTGTGCATGCAAAGCAATTTCCCAAATCAAGTCCATCCCATAGAGTGAAGCAAGGACTACAAACGCTGGCGAGTTATCGTTCGACATGTCACTCTATTTTTAATACAATAGAATAATAAATATATAAAGAAAAAAGCATCAGCTGAGCGTTCCAATAACAGTAGCATTATCACTAACATTTTATCATAGCACCTACCGCTATAAGTTTCCCTTTATTCCAATTAAGAAGAAGGAAGTAGCGCTGCACACAGTGCCATGCTCTCTGAGTGATTCTGGCAATCTCAAGGGTAGGGAGTAACTTCTCGTATACATACTCGACAAAATGGGGCTCATTCATGGACTCCAGACAGATAAAAGCCTCATCCTGTTCCTGGATGCCTATAGGATCAACGATGAGACTACTCCAAAGAGTGTCTGCCAAATCTGAAGAGTTCCAGTAGACTGGGTATAGCCGTGCCATCACTTTTAGAAAATCAAGCCTTATTTTGAGTTGCTGTCCTCGCCAATAGTCTTGAGAGTTTTGAAGCGTAGATAACGGCAAAAAGGCTAATTATTTTGAAGCAACATTTATAGTCATTAAGAAGCTTGGAAAATGACACAGATAACACTTTACAATCTAATAATTGTGTACAACTAATTACCAGACACTGTCGGACTTGGAGTTGGAGGAAGTGTTTTCAGAGCCAACGTATAGGCTTTTAGATTGGCGATGAAGAGGTCTGACAGTGAAGCACAGGATTGCTCATAAAATAACAGTCCTTCGTTTTCACCATTTGGGAAATGGCTCTCTATTCAATTGAGTAAACGATGTTGATGAGTCCTCCATGTCATACCGAGCTAAAAATCACGCCTAGGACACTTCTAAAACATATTCTTATGTCTTACCAAACACGCTCTGTATAACCTGTAAACTCCAAATTGCTCCAGGGTGATTTTTTTTTAAGTCCTGTATGCACAATTCAATAAGATGTGCGCAGTCCTGAGGCGATGGACCTACTCCAAGACCCTCCTTAAGAAGATATGCAATACCGCCAATGACGTCTCGATTACTTGGGACGGAGACCAACGAAGGATCTTCTCTTGTATTTAGCGACGGAGTCGAGTTTCTCAGGACGTTCAGGAGCGTCTCATATGGTATCAAGGAGATGGAACCATCTTCCTGTAATTATACATCATGATATTCGAATTAGTAATAGAAGCCAATGGGTTTATCGTGCCCACCATTTATAAAAAAAATAGCTCCCTTACTGGTCCGGATCTCGAGCGCTGAACTATAGCATTGAAAAGCGATCGGGAGAGGTCTAACAATTGTTGATCCCAATTTGCTAAATGAACCGCCTGCAACTTTTGGAAGAGGCTTTTCAGGAAATCATGAGGAAGTTTACTGCTGAGTTCGCCTAAAACTTGGTAGACGCCATAGACAATCGATCGATGTTGATTTTCCTACATTATACATGATATATTCCAGTGATTAGCATGGTGGATCAGTTAAATAGTGTAGCTAAGTAAATTTGCGATGGTCTGCTAAAATGCTTACACCAGCTGCTGCCCAAATCAGATCAATATCATTGGCAGTAAGTACACGTGCATGCACCATGAACACCAGTACATCTGTGCTCCTCTGAACAATCTCCAGATGAATATTGGAGCCAAAAATGCATGCGACGATATTCATACTTTGCAATCTTAAGCAGAGATGCCTAATTAAATCATGGCGATTTTGAATAATGTCAGGAAAAAAGTACAGAACTTGACTCAAGCATCCTCACTTTCGCTGTCTGAACATTACTTACTCGATTGGCTTCCTATCTGTATCCATATGCGCATCCATGTCTGTATCTGAACGTCTGCGTAAGCGTGGCCTACCATGCTGTAACCGCTGGATCCTGAGAAGTACTTCCTTAAGTTCTGCCAAGCCTGCAAGTCTCAAATCTAGGCGGCTGGTTTTCATCAACCTGACAGCCATTTCAAGTCTGAAATCTGCGAACTTGACCTCGCCAAGGTTAGATCGGGAAACTGGGTCGCTTGGATCAAAATCTTCGTATCCTTCATCAATTTCCTGATTTGTATGTGACTGATGGGCTTGTATGCGATAGTTTTCAAGCAAAAAAATCCCCACAAATGAGATGACATCCTGAACAGAAGCTTTACTCATTGATCTAAAACTGTCGTTATGATCGGGGAAATATCCTAGAACGGTCGTCATTAGGCGTCTTGAGTATCCAGTGAGTTTGGAAAACTGAGATTGATCGGAATCTCCAGCAGACACAGGGATCTGAGAGGAACAGCAAGGCTTTGTTAATATATATATGGACTTTAGGTCATTCTTTTCGAGGTATCACATGTGTTGTCGTACTTACTCTGGATACCAAACCGAGCAACAGCAGTAAGTTCCGTAGCTTTACTTCAGCACACTCTGAGCTTTCCATGTGGACTTCAATCGCATGAATACATGCTTCTAGCCCTCCAAAAATGGAAAAAGATCTTTGAAAGTCTTGCTGTAATTGAGGTACTTCATCATCCTATATCATGGTTATATGGATGAAAAAACGATATACATTCAGCTTTAATGGTTATGAATTACCGTTTTTTGCATGATAATTACTCTATACAGTATATTAGTTTACCTCAGGTGGATATTCAGTCGAGTAAACGTCAAAGTGCGAAATCTACAATTAAAATGAAAGATATATTGTTAATGGAGATTGCAAACGCATCATATACATTCCTTTGACTTGGCTTAGTATTTTACCCTTTCCAAATGCATCAGCCGAGAGGGACGCTTGGAGTTTCTTTTGTGGACTTCCAAGTAGTCCTGTTCAAACATAGCACTCATAATTTGAGCGTATGGTTCTGGGAGCGTGTTATCTTGCTGAATGATCAAACTACCAAGCTGAAGATAGGCTTTCAAATACAATACGATTGGGCTGTTGTTGGAGCTAGGCCTATTTTTTTTTTTTTTTTTTTTTTTTTTTTTTAAAAAAAAAAAAACAAAAAAAATTAGAGAAGTAGAGATAAGGGAGGAAGTGGAGACGTAATTGTTTAGAATCTTTAGAAGCTGCCCAGCACCAATAGTAAAGCATTATGCACTTTTTACCTTCGTTCAAGTAGCTCCTTCGCCCACGTTGAAAAGTAAATGCCTTCAAGAAGCTGTAATTGTTCGGCAGTCTGAAGGCAGCCTGGTGGTATCTCTCCTGATCTCCTCCGATCTATGGCATGTGTGATCCACCGATATATGATCTCAAGGCCGTGCTGCAATGGACCTGGGTTATTTAATGGAGTATTTTGGGATTAAAACTGGAACTTTATGCCACCAAATAAGTCGTGCTTTTTTATGCTGTTACAACAGACAATATTACTACCTTGGCGAAGCATAAGCGCGACATCATCACATGTCTGGACAAAAGCCTGTCGAGATGGGGAATCTTCTGAAATTCCATCCTGGTTTAAGACACTGTTGATACCTGGTTTTGCAGCTGAATCCGTATGTGTGCCTGCACTGGAGATTGTCCGCAACCTTAAACGACTTTTCCTCAAAACACTCGTTCGATTCTGATTCCTTCTAAATTGTTCGACCTGCCGGCGAGATTTGGGGTATGGACCATGATGAATAGGTCGATTGTAGTGGTGGTCGTTCTTTCCTTGGTTTTCAACTAAATCATCAGTGTCGGCTGTATCTTCTGAGAGGTTGTCGTCATCGTCTTCAAGCTCATCATCCTCATCGTCTTGACCATCGTCCATGTCATCACCATAGTCATCCGAGCTTTGAGCAATGACATCGCTGCCATTTCCTGATGTTTCAGCCCAAGCAACCATGCTCGCCTGTCGCAACTCGTTCTCGGAAGTCGTGTCATCATCATAGAATCCTTCAACGTGTTCTATGTCTTCTTCATGGTTGATCTCATCTATGTAATCCTCATGTCCAACACCAGCGAAACCGAGCGTTGCTGCTTTTGTAACAGCATCAGTTGAATGGTCTTTCGGAACACCCTTTGCTTGTATCGATAACTGGCGGTGGTGGTTAACGATCATCTGCGGAGCTTCTCCTTCAGGTTGAAGTGGCGACAGTAGTGAAGGTTCTTGAAAGCCTGTCTCAATGGGCTCTTTATCCGAGGAGGTCATCATGTAACGCCAAGCCCACTTTTTTTTTGTTTTTGATTTTTAGATTTTTTTGATTATTTTTCGCGATAGATGGCAGACTTTCTTTTTTCTCTTTCTATGAGGCAGTCCGTGTGAGACCAACGTCAGTTCTGGAGAGTATAAAAGAAACAGTGTACGTTTAGTGTTAGCTAAAACAAGGGCGGTAGACTTTAAAAAAAAAAAAAAAAAAAAAAAAAAAAACTCTGCTCAGATATCGCGTACAATGGGGCGCAAGGATAGGCTTTTGGTTGGTAGAAACTGCGGGACAGGTGGCTGCTTTTTTAGCACGGAAACAAGATAAGCGCCCAAAAAAAAAAGATTCTGTTTGTTTCAGTTTAAGAGTGAATGGCAAAGCGGTTGAATAAGTGAATGGGTGTACTATAACAAGATGGGAGAGAGAGGCAGAGAGAGAGGCAGAGAAGGAGCAATGAAACTAGAAAATAGAGTAGGCGCCACTTTCACTAAAACAAAACTCCTATTTTATGCTGTGCAACTCTTTGTCGAGTGCGGCAACTAAACCACCTGGGCTGTGCTTTTAAAAAAAAAAAAAAAAAAAAAATACAACTTATACAATTGTTGTTGCAAGCTTGCCGCAGCAGCCAGAATGTTTTGAGCAACTAGAGAAAAAGAAGTGGCGAACAGCGCAATAACTTACAAAGAGTAAAATGAGAGAGTGGAAGGAGATAAATATTTACAGGAGATGAAGAGAGAGTATCAAACCTTGTTGTTTGTAGCGTTCGGGTGAAAAAACAAGCAAAATGATTCGACGCGTATGTGTAATAATATTTTTGCTCAGCTGAGAGAAGGATGAAGCGTATATGTATTGGAGGCGAGTGGAGCGAAGAGCAAAATGATTCTAAAAAAGGAGCAAATTGGAATGGAAATGGAATCGTTTTGTTCAAGAATGTGGATTGTATAGGAAGAAGGAAAGCATTTTAATTACAATGCTTAGTCGTGGAAAATGACCGCGTATTGTATTCGGGCAAAGTATTCAAGTATGGAGGGAACAAAATGGTGCTTGAGGCCAGAGCACAACGACACATGCGCACTCACATTGTATGCATGCATTGGGATCCAAGCGCAATGTGTACATGTGTGGCAATGGTATTAGTAGAATTTGCCTCGGTTTTGTAGACAAACATGCTTGGGGTCTGGAACTGCTTCTCACTGTGGACACCGTTGAGTCCCACATGCGACGCAGTACTATTATTACTTTATTACAATGTATATGAACTTAATATTGTTTTCCTGACTGATATGACAGGCGACTGCTCTGTACTTGTGGCGACCTAAGGCTGGAGGACCCTTCCATTATAGGAGCAGTGTTGAAAGTTGACACAGGCCTACTATATACTACTCCGCCATTGTTCATTGCCTGTACAGTATCAGCGCGTGGGGGCGCACGAGGCAGCACACGATGTTGTGTCATATAGTCCACAAATTGATCAGGCACCTCTGCAAGGACAGCTTCTGCAAGAGCTTCGTCTGCAAACGCGCCTCCTTGAAAATCTCGGAAGGGAACAAACTGGACAATATCGCGTGCCATAGTCATCCCGTTGGCTCGAAGTGGTTCATCATCTGCATCCAATACGTTCATATTGTCGAAGTTAGCTGGCCCAATACCTATAATAATGATTGACATTGGTAATCGCGATGCCGCTATAATTGCACGGATAGTATTGTCCATGTCTGTGATGACTCCATCAGTGAGGATCAAAAGTACATAGTACTCTTCCAAATCGCCTGATCGATGCTGGTTACAAATAGCTGCTGTCTGATTGATGACAGGCGAGAAATTAGTAGGGCCATATAGTTCGGCATATTGCAGTGCATGCCAGTATGCGGCAAGAATCCCTTCTACTCCGTCCACTTCGGGCTAATTTAGCATCATACCATGTTGTCACGAAAAAAATCACATTAGTAAACTGGATATCTCAATAAACGTTACACTTTTTGAAAAAGCGCTTGAACACTTACATATTGCGGGTTTCCATTAAGAGCAAAACAGTGGCTCACTTGGCCATTCACTCTCCCACCAAAGCCATAAGCAGGGAATTTCTTATCCGTATCGTAGCATTGCAGAATATTACCTACACTACGGATAGCACGCGTATAATCATTTTCACCAGTTGGGCTTCTGTAGTGCAACGATTTTGGGTTACGTGGATCGCCGTTACTTTGAGTGAAATCGATCGCAACAACTAGATTCAGAGGCACTCCACCAGCTAGATAATCAAGGAACGATGGAGACTCCGTGACTACCATCCTCCTGATCAACAACTCAGTACCGACAGGCATAGGCGATAATGGGAAAGGCTTTGGCATTTGAGTACCCAAAAGCTCCTGCAAGGTAAAGACTGGGGTATTACCGATTGTAACGTGCTCTACTTGAAATCGAGCATTGAAAGTAAGAAAAAAGGCATTCCTTGATCAGTTATATAATATTATTTGTGTAAAAAGCGTGACAGAAGCTTTCTTCAAATATTAGTGCCTTACGCCCATTTTCCTTGAACTTCTTCACCTCGATTTTAAGTTGTCTGTTTGGATCGCCATTACAAAGTAGATTCTCCTTAATAGAGAACTCTGGCCAGATTGGATTGTATTTTGATCGAATCACCGGAGACTGATATATTGGCGAAAAGACGCCGTTCTCTGAGGCACGATGGATGGTAAAGAATGAACTAGGCTCTGAACGGAAAAAGCCCTTTTTGGCAATCTTTGTGGCCTCAATGTTGAACCTAAAATTATCATAAAGTATAAGATTTAGCAACAATCGACAATCACATCATGAACCTTTTTTAAAAAATCCATATCCTCAATTCAAAAACATACTTGATCACACGCTTTGACAGAGACTGCTCTTCCGCGCAAACAATAATAGTTCCGCGATGAGAGCTGCGGTGTTGTGGGTGTTCTAGCCGACCAGCAAGGGTTCTACCTCTGCTTCCAACTAGAAACACAGCAAATTGACTTTGTTGGTAAGCCTGGTGCTCTTAATTGAATACATAACACCATATCAAAGAATGAAAGTAGCGCAATTTACCAATCTTTCCAACTTCTGTGTCGAAATGCCCAATGAGCTCTTGAGCTTTCCATGAAGGATTGTTGCGATTATCAACGTCCACCATCGTGAAACGAATAGGCTGAATAGATTCAAAACGATAATCAATAATGATACTCTGGACAAAATCACAGTCCAACTTGTTCAGAACCATCTCTGTCCTTCCTATTGGCTCTGTTGCCCATGTTCTCGTCTTCTGGTCCATCATAAAAACAAAACATTGGGGGTCAGATTTCGAGAGAATATCTAAATCTGCAAGTCCTCTACAAATGTTGAAAAGTTTATAAAAAGTAAAACAAATCAAGTTAGATCCATAGTCTGGAAATATATTTCCTTATGCAAGATAAAATCCGAGTAGACATTGCCAAAGCATGTTCCCAGCTGACCTGCATTTGATCTTGAGCTCAAGTTTGGGTGCGACGGGTACAGTCAAAGGAAGTGAAGGTGGTCGATACATTTTATGTTACTCTTGCTCTTATTATTGCTATATGCCAATTAATTAGATAGGTGGTATATATAGTTAATTAGTTAATTAGTTGTCTATGGTGGTAATGCTGCGAAGTGGTTGGAGAAGAAAAAAAAAAAAAAAAAAAAAGAAAGAAAGAATGAAGGAATGAGAAGAAAATAATTGTTTTAAAAAAAAAAAATAGTTGCCCACCGGGCCAAAGCTCAAATGCATGTCTGGTATCCGGTGTGACAGAAATTTTTGTCGACCTTGCATCTGAAGCATGGTGGTCGAAGGTCGAATGCAAAAAGAACTTAGAAGAATCCAAATGATCCATGCTCTCTTCTTTTTTTTGCGCGCGCGCCCTGACCCCGATTCCTGAGGGCGGCCCATTTCATAATGACTACGCCATGAGCCATGAGCCATGAGCCGCAGTGGCTCTCCCTTCGCGATCCCTCATTATCACGTGCCCAATATGATATGGCCAGCATTCCCTTGTGTATTTAAATGTGTCAGAACTACTTGACGCTTTCCGCCTTCCTTCTAATCTTCACTTTCCGCGTCAAAACCACGTTCTTGGATAAGTTTGGGGAAAAGCTTGGCACAAACCTCTGTCTAGCTTATAAACTCGCTATTGAATAACCCCATGGTGTTACTCTCTTTCGGTTCAAACTGGTGAACTTCGGATCAAGAAACAGATAGTTACATCCTGTGCTTTGATAATGCTGCTCACCGAGAATGGGGGCCCGGTCGTTTCTAGATGTGGTCTATTTAATATTGTCTGTAACTACGATTAATGGGCGCAGCGTTTAAAACTTCTCTGCTATCTCAACAATCTTATCCAACTTGATATTGTTAGAAAACCCATGATGAAAGCGTCAACTCCTGTTTGGTCTGTCCTACCCCTCTCTTTACACCCCCATGCCCTTCTCAATCAGAGCCAAGTTCTTTATTACAATGGTAAGAGGTTCGCATCAGCGTCCGTGTGGCTCAATTCCTGCAATGCCATGCACAAGTCCAAGGGTTCAGTGGTGACACGAAGAAAACAAGCTAATTTGAAAAGGTCGTCGATCTTTCAACTTCCTACACCCGCGCATTTATCTCCATGTCGCGCACACAGGTCATTAATGAATATGCACGTCAGTAAGCAGGAGAGAGACACACCTGCATGTGAACAGGTCTTTGTCAGATTCTCTTATAATTATTGCTTTTAGAGTTCCTGAATAGAATTTCCATCAATTTATTGCCAATCATTCAATGCTGTACCTCGCATTATGCTCTGCCTGACAATTCATGTGCTCATGCATCATTACTGCATACGCTCTGCAGTCGGCTTATCTGGTGAAAAGCAAACTAGCCACTCTCCAGACAGTTTAAACTGTTCTCGTCTACTTTGCACCTATACCTCTCTCGGTTGGACTTACCTCTCTAGGGCACCTAACGTTGGCGAATTTGCTGTAAAACGATTTTTGGCTAGAGATTTCTTTTCCGGGAATACCTACGATTTATTAACCCATACCGGCCAAACGTACGATTCCTAAGCCAAGATTGCTGGGCAAGGTCTATAATACCACCATCAACATCAACCGTCGCAGCCAAGTTTACGAGCAAATGTCAATTTTCAAACCCAATGTTGTTTCCTAATGTCGACCAACTCCAAGGCGTTACAACAAATGAAAATCTGCAGTCCGCTTGCATTAGCATTACTTTCCATTATTCCAGCCATTTGGAGCTAAATAGAGCCAAGTAAAGCCAAATGGATGACTATGCATCTAAAATAGATACTCATGACATCCTCTTTCTACAATGAAGTAATTATAGTAAAAGAGCTGTGTAGCATCATCCAAGAAATGTCCCTTACACAAAAAAAAAGCTATCAACATATCGTAACATGCTCAAAACAAATAAACACATGATGGAAGCACTGGAACTGAATCTTTGAACTTTTGCCGTTTGCATACACACTCATCATGTAATCTCCTTATTCCTCTGTCAATGCCCCTGCCCAAAGACAACTGACCCAGCTGTTCCTGGGAGAAAAAGGCTGGCGGGAAGAGGAAGAAGCATGTAAACTTTTTCCCTTTTGTAACCTTCTATACTTTTTTCCTACATTCAGCTCTCACACCTTCATTACAGAAGCATTTCTTTACGTCTTCTTACCATGCCATGCATGAAATCGCGGCCCATTCATTCGTGTAGGGCATAATTCTCTGTCTCCAATATAATTTTGCCATTTCATCAGTTCATTCGCCACCATAAAATATTTTTCTTGTCCTCAATCCTTTGTCTTTTGTCCCTTATCCCGCTATTTGGTTTTCAAAATCAACAGAACAACAAATACGAGAACATCGCCACATCTGCTGTGGATGGGTTTGATATCGCTGAAGAGAGTGGCAAACCATCCTTTTAGTCACAAAACCACTATTGACACACATTTCCGCGCCATGGAGCCCTTGCCAGTGTATCCACGTGCGGCCACATCAGTAGAGGTTGCTGCTCATCCTGGAACCACTCGCTCTTTAAACCACTTAGACGCGGTGGTGACAGATATCAAGATTCCACACCAAGCACACATCAGAAAGAACACACCTCCGACCTCTCGTCCGACTAAAACCCCGCCTCTTTCTCCAACATCCAAACGGAAGCCAGCCCCTCTCGTCGCCCCAGCTCCACATTCTTCTCCTTCTTCTCCTAGATCAGCACCCTGTCCTGTTACAGCCATTGTAGTAGCTTCGCCTTCCGGCAACACAACAGCACCGCAGACGCGTCAAAGACAACACTCTGGCGAAAGACTTGATCAAACTCGTCGTACTAGGCAGTACAGCTCTGGTAGTAGTTTTTCCAGTCTTAATGGACCTCCAGTCATCCCTAGAGTACCCTCACTACTTCCTACAGGTACACCGAGTCCACCACTAATCTTAACTTCCTTCGGAGTAGACTGCTCTCCGCCTTCTTCCTATTCTTCTTCTCCATTGGAACCTTCTATGCTACCATATTCGTCACATAGTCATCCATTTCCAACCAGCTTTGGAAGAGAGAAGAATTTAGTCAACTCGAGTCCCACGCGTCGGGCGCCTAGTATTGATTCACCTATCCGTGATCCGTATCGTTTTCGGACGTCTAGTATATCTGCTCGAGGAGTCAAGAATGGTAAGTGTGAGGGGAGGTATGATGCGATGCTCTTACACCATCCACGCATCACAGGTCTTCGTACGCTATTTCTGCTCCCATCATTCATTTTTTTCTGTGTTTTGTGCATTTATTGTACACTTTCTGGAAGTCAAGCACAAAGTTAGTCTGTTCTTTTTTCAGTTAGGATTCCTTTTATTTGAAAAAAAAGCTTTTTTATTATTATTGCCTGCACAGACAACCCAGAACCTGAAAGGAGCTTTTCTGGTCTGTGCGTGAGTTGTGGGAGTGTGGTCAGGAGGCAGTTACGGGATGCGAGGAGAGGTGATATGGTCGGGATGGGAGATCCTTAGTGAGATCGTTTTTGGAACCAGAGAAGGATCGGTTATTAATTATCAGCTTAGTGTGTAATGAATTTTACTCTGACCGATTTTGACTGTAACAAAGACAGTGCGATGGTAGTTAATGTTTTAACCGATGTGTGCGTCCTTGCCTGGTGGGCATGACTGACCAAGAAGTGGCTATGGTAATATGACAAAAGGCAAAGCGTGGCTCAAACATGCTAATAGGGCAGGTGGATCGTGCGCCACCCCTTTGTCTAAATTTACTTTTATTTTTATCATTTTTACGCCCATCGAATTAATAGCAACACATCATCATCATTCCTCTCATCTTGACACTTTGGTATTTCGTTCACTCCCCTTGCTTTTCTTATTTGATATCCTTCTTTTTGCTCTTCCTATTGTTCGTCCTCACACACTCATCCTATTTCATCGACTATCCTTTTGCTTGCTTCGCTCAATAAAGATTACCAGTCTCAGATTCAGCTCCAGCCACAGGTACAAGGACAATTGCAGACACAATCTCTAGCCCAGGCACACCCTACCATGCGTGCTTACAGGACATCAGAGGGCTACCAGAGCGTGCCCGACGAACAAGGTTCACCAACATTGGCTGCCAGTCAGCCTCTGTGGGCTCGTACGCAGACCAGTACAGAAAGTTCTGCAGCTGCAGGAGAATCTTTGGGAGCTGGCGTAGACCCATCGTCATTTAAAGGCTATCAGCCGGTTCAACAACCATCCCATCCACCTTATCCTTCCAGCCCCATTTTGCAAACGCAAGATCGCCAAGATTATAGATCAGATCCTTATCGCTCAGCTTATTCTCAACACCATCACCACCAGTTTCAACAAAGAGGATCACACTCTCCTTATCATGATTCACCTGCATCTTTTGAAGAAATGAATCAAATGACTCACAGTTCCAAGTATTCTCTAAGCAGCACTAACAGTGGAGGAGGAGGAGGCCACAATGGTAATGGTGGTCATCAACAATATGAAATGCGTAGACTTCATAGTCTAGAACCTGATCAAACAACCTCGATACCGGATCAATACCCCTTGCCCAATGCACATTCGAGTCAGCAGCGGCTCAAGCAAGAGGAGGAAGGCAAGAATGCTGATGTCATCCCAAAAACTTCATCAGAAACAGGAACTCCAAGTGGTGTCGGCCAAAGTAGTCTTTCTAGTAAAGGCAAAAAGAAACAGTGTTATAATTCAGAGGATTCTGATGAAGAAGAGGGTCAGGAACGTGGAGCACTTCGACAAAAGGATTCGAAGCGATGCTGGTGCTGCTCCAGAAGAACTTGCGTATACATTTCATTTGTGGTTTTGATATGTCTGGCCGTAGCATTGTACTTTGTCGTGCCAAGATCCCCAAGCTTCAGCTTTGAATCAGTTACACCTTTAGGTGATCCTGTTGTGACCAAAAATCAAATCCAAGAATCATTTTCACTGCAAATGCGTGTAGATAGTCAAGTTAACTATGTGCCTCTGCGATTCACATCCCTCGAAATGGGGGTAAGTGTTTTTTTTTTTTCCTTCTAAAAAAAATACAAATATGTACAGGCTCGTTTTAACCAAATTTTCTTTTGCTCTTCTATTTAGGTGTGGATGAAGATTGATCAGACAAAGATAGGCAATAATGAAGGTCTTCCTTCGTCGTTTTTGATCAGACCTCGGATAGCTCAGGTGATCTCTGTGCCCATGACACTCGATTATCGGTCATTGAAGATTGACACGAATGCAGATGGCACACTCCAGGAACTTTTTACTGCATGCAAACCTGTGGATCTGAGTTCAGGCGCTTTGGTGCCCGGTATCAATCTAACCATTGGAGGCAAGATGTTTATACGGGGTCTCTCCTGGATTTGGAAACCACAGTTTAGTTTCAATGTTGATAGGGTACCATGTCCTGTGAATGCCAGGAAGCATGTAACAGAGCCAACATCTCCTTCCTCTGGATCAGGAGCTGGAGCTGAAACTCCGTCAGGAAGCAATGGTGGTGCGTCAGAAACTATGAGCCAGACTACCAATCCGAGCATAACACCCTCAAGTAGGTCATCACAAGCGTCAACACCTGGAAATACCGCAGGATCCACAACCACCCTTTCGTCTTGAAATAATCTAGACTTTGTGTCTTGTATTGTATTTGTACATACTATCTCATTATCTGTAGCAATAACGATTGCCTTCATAGTAAAATATAGACAACAAAGAAGGAATGAAAGAAAAGTGGAGTGTGCGCATGCATCATCTGCCAATGTGTTCTAGGTACAAAAAAAAAGGTCCAGACCAGCTCTTTAGGGTATAAGCTGCATAATTTAATTGAAAGAAAAGGTTCAGAATATTTCCATGTATTCGATGAACGTGTGTTTGTCAAGTTCGACCATCTTCCCATGTTGCACAAAAAGGATGCATACAAAATGGACAAGCATAAAAAGGCAAGACGGCGGAACCAATGAGCAGGAGGAGCAATAGAAAGAATAGATAGAAGGAAATTGACCTCCTTCTCCTTCACCTGGTTGTGGTGCACGACTATGCTCGGGGCTGTGCCGCTTATTGACCTACCCGTTCCTGGGCAAGTCGTTGTGAACATTGGTCGCTATGAGTATGAATGAAATAAAATAAGCAACAAACGTTCTTGACTCTTTCCTTCTTCCTTCATCACTAACTTTTATTTTTATTTTTTTTTCTAATCATCTACCCTTCATTCTCTTTTTTTTTTTTTTTTTTCCTTTTTCTTTTTCTGTCACACATTCTCATCATTCCTGTTTGTCATCTACATTCGTCAGCATTTACACTTCGAACTTCAACATTCAACGTTCTCCACTGCTTCTCTAGTTAACTTGACAGACTCTTTTCTTTCAATATACACGATTTATTTACTAATTGATTTGATCAAAGATCAACAACAACAACAACAACAATAACAAACAATAACAACAATAGTTGGCGCAAAGAAAGAAAAAAGAAAAAAAAAAATGGCTCCTAACCCACCTTTAACAGATACAGAGAAGCTCTTAATTGATGCTTATACTACTATTCTTGAAAAGCCATTCAAGGATAAGTATGAGGATAAGTGGGAAGATGAACCCTTTGATCGCGCCGTTGATCAATTCAAGACACGCGCTCAAGAAATTGGATTTGCAGATCCATTCGAGCTCCTCGCTCGCTTCAAGATTCAGTCGTATGACGCGATCCGAGCAGAGCTCAAAAAGGGACCTGCCCCCTGTTTCCGTCCAGGTTGGAGAAGTCCCATCTTGGGAATGAAAATCGATCCTATGGTCATTGTCTCTAAATGTGCATACATCTCTGGGCCTCATTACCGAGGTCAAGAAAGAGTCGTTGTTCTTGATTTTTGGGCCAGTTGGTGAGTAATTAGTAATTGACAACGAGATGAGGTGTTGGAGTGAGACAATTGTAGAGAACTCAATTGGTGCCTATCATTGGTGTAAAAAAAAAAATGCGGCGTTTAAGAGCATTTTCAAGCGGGCATATCTAATTGCCATCTCTCTGGCTTTAATCTTACTTATTTCTAACAGCTGGAGCAGCAAGAGAAATGGGATTCTTAGATTGATCCTATTGTATTTTTTTTATTTTTTTATTAATGCCCATTCTGAATCACTACAGTGAAAGATTTAAAGAAAAAAGTGACCATCATGTTAATCCTTCCAACTTCTCATATTCATCTTGAACCCCTATAGGTGCGATCCGTGTCTAGAGGCAGGACCAGAAGTATCACAATTGGCAGAGGAATTCGCGGGACAAGTAGCTTTCATCGGAATCAATAATGAGAGTATCTTTAGCACAACTAAACCGACCGATATAGATCTTCTCAACACGTTTCTCGATGAGCATCAAGAAGCATTTCGATATACAATGCTGGTTGACAATGCAGAGGGGTTTGCAAAAGATTGTAAGACAAAACAAAACAAGGAGAACATGTTATATATATATATATATGACCAACATGTTTAAACTGATACTAACTTTTGTATGCGATATACATCCTTATACTCTACATAGCTGTATACAAGCCATCTGGATACAGAGCTATTCCTTGTGCAGTCATGTTAGTTGATGGAGTTGTCGTATATGTGGGATCGCCTTTGGGAACATTTAAGTCTGAGGTGGAGCAAGCATTGGATTCAATTGGCTCTGGATCATTACCAGTTTCTACCAGTCAATCATCACATGCAGTATGAGCAGTAACATTAAAACAGAGTTCGAGAGTAGAGGGATGAACAAAAAAAAAAAAAAAAAAAAAAAAAAAAACCAGCAACAATAATATAATAAATAATATATATAATAAACAATGTATATAAGAAAATAAAGCCTTGGGTGGAGGCAAATGGCATCTTAAAAATTAAAAAATTAACTATTTTATGGCCATGGAAGCCCATCAAGTGAAAACTTTACATATCCACGAGATATGTTTTCAGCCCTTCAAGACCCTGTAACAAGAAGAAGAAGAAGAAGAAAAAAAGACTTTTATTATTCTACATATGATCTAAGGGGCCCCAGAAAAGATGTATTGTCCCTGACCGAATTCACCCAGGAACGAAGTAACGTTCATATCAAGATGGTGGGCTGTATTAATCCCCGCGCTGGTGGCTGTTATGGTTGTGGCTGTGCTGCCTCCGTGCTCCATGCTTACACCACCAACTTCGAAACCCAACCCCAAAGGCATACCCATGTTCACATTGATGCCCATATTCATACCCGTGCCCATATTCATATCCATGCTAACGCTTTGTACACCCATATCCGCACCATTGTTATTACTATTATTAATACCATTACGGTGATGAGGATGAGGATGGTGATGAGGATGAGGATGGTGATGAGGATGGTGATGAGGATGGTGATGAGGATAGTGGGTCCTTATACTGCCGTTATTGATACTCATGCTGTCCACCTGCATATTCAAATTTATCATGCCCACCTCCAGGTTCTTATTCGCTCGAACCTTCCTTGTTTGTTCCTCCAACCGCTCGAGTTGCTTTCGAATTAAACTTTCTTCT